AGTGAGCACAGGCAAAAGGATGGAAGAGGTTTGTGTGTGTGCGTGTTTTTGTGTGTGTGTGTGTGTGTGTGTGGGAAAGCAGAGGAATAAAGGAGAGCGAGTAGAGAGAGAGAGAGAGAGAAAGCAGAAGATCGACAGGGAGGATAGAGAGAAAGGCTGAGAAAAAGAGAGAGAGAGAGGAAGAGAGAGGTTGAGGGGCCCGGCGCAGGGAGTGAGAAGAGGCCCTGTAGTTTCAGCCGAGGGGCGAGACAGTCAACAACACATGTATCCAAACCTTCAGACAAATCTCTTCATGCAGGACAGTAACACACAGAGAGAGAGAGACAGAACCACATGTAAAAAACCTTTACTCCTGTCATTTTTGTCCTCTCTGTGTAGATCGAATGTTGTGGATGTTTTGTGTTGACCCCTGGTAGAGTCTGTGGGAACGGAGAACTGATTGAGGGTTTGTCAGTGCACACTCTCTGAATCAAAAGCATAAGTTAGCCTAATAAAACAGGTGTTTAAAACAGCATAAAGGGACACAATGATGTATCGGGAGTGTTAAAGCAGGTGCGGGACTGAAATATGAACTGTATTGGGCATCAAAGAGTGTTAAAAACAACTTTTCTTTACCAAAGTTAAATTAAGAACATTAATTTAAAGCTCCTGTGTCAATTTTGGCGCCCCCTGTGGACAGAGTTATATACTTGCATTGCCCTTTAGACAAAAATGTCATCCTACTGATATCTGACAGTCAAATGTATCGTCTTTTTGAGAATTTGATGTTGAAAATATCATAAAAAAATGTGTCTTCAGCAGCTCCAAGCTTCAAGTTAAAGCTCCTGTGAGGAACTTTTTGTTTTGATTATCAAAAATACACATCTGATCTTCTTTTCCGATTTTTTTTCTGTGCATTATTCTTATCTTGTTCGCTTCTGAAAAGTTAGCCCTAATGTAGCTGTCTATGTGCACACCATACACTGTATATAGAATGGACAACATCTGCCTCCTCACTGGGTGAAGCCACTGCAAGAACAGCACCCTCTAGTGACTGGCTGCTGTATAGGTCATACTACTGCGCAATGCTGGTTTCAGGAATTGGAGAAAAAACGTGGAATTACCGAGAGCTTTTTGGCTTCAAATCCGTATACTGGCTATACTCCCCACACAGATGGCACTGGGTTCAATTCTGACTAGCAGCTCCTTTTTCCACTCTCACCCTGTTTCCTACTCTGTTCCCACTGTCCTGTCAAAAAAAGAGACCAAAATCACCTACCTTGCAGCAGCAGTTTCAGATGATGACACATCAATATGCTGTTGCTCTTGTTCGTTTGTAAGTTATAGAAAAACAACAGCAGGAAAATCCAGTCAGTTTTATACCCAACTAAAATTTACTCACATGAGCTTTAAGTTGATTTTATCGACATTACTGTTGGGTTTTGAAAAGGTTTGGTAGCCATGACCCTCTCTGCAGCAGTAGATGTCTAGCCTCTATCCTGTTTCTCCAGCCAGTTTCTAAACAAAGGGCCTGAGCTGACTATCGTCCTCCTGTTTGTAATACACTTACAACTGACAAGTGCCTCGAATGACACCACTTCAAGAACATTACACGATTTCTGTAGGTAAAAGATTAAACAACATACCTTAGATTTGACTATTGTTTCACAAATTCAACATTTTTGTCAAAGGATGGTACCATGAAGATTAAACTGGGAGCAGCTAACACAGCCTAAAGCTGAGATGAATAGGTGGCTATAGAGGTTTTGTGTCCTCTCTGCTTTCTAAACCTAAACCTACAGTTTTTTTTCCTTAAAACTGGATTGATAATCACGTGATGTTATTTGAAGTAAGTTATGGTGTTATGTTTAAAGTTGTAACGATAACTTTTTAGATGAACTGCTGAAGTTAATACACAAAAAGTAAGATATAGTGCTGAGGCTGCAATAGACAATGCGACAGCTCCCCAAAAGTCAACACAAGACACAAAGCGGTTAGTAGTCCCAAACTTGATCAGAGTGAGTTGAGGGTGAAAATGAACAAATGAGATGATTGAATATGCAAAAATGAACGTAAATTCTTCCCAAAGGCTGTTAGAAAATCTACACCTGACTTAGATTGTCTGGTTGTTATGCCCAAGGAGGACATCAGAGGAGAAACTCAATGTGAAACTGTAGCGAGAAGATAGAAAAAAAAATGATTATGTCTTTTAAATAAAAAACTTATTTAAAGCTTAGTTGCCATGTTGCGTTGCTTAGAAAGTGTGACGCATTCATGAGAAATCATACAATCAACACATTTACAGCAGCAGTTGATTATATGTTTATAAATGAGCAGGACTGGGAACAGCGAGACTGCCCGCCCTGGTCGCAACAGAACACGTTGTGCTCAATCTTAAAGGTGACAGATACACGGCATCTGAAATTGCTCAACAAGTTAAAAGAAAATAACATCTGTAGACTGTCTGCGCAGCCCATTACACCACCGCACACTCGTGTTTGTGTCTCTGATAAAAAATAAAAAAAAAGGTCTTGTAATTGTTCAAACGGTTCCAAGAGGACTTGAAATCTGGATCCAATTTGACATCCAAGTCAACATACGAGTCTGTCACAAGCTCTCAGGTCGAATGTAAATAAAAGACCGTGAGCTCTTTATGTTGTGAATTCTTCACCAAAAAAGCCTTCGAAAAAAGGAAATTGCCACATCACTGAATCCAAACCAAACGCTTGACTCCTGCTTATGTGGTGTAAAGAATGAAGTGTCACCGTCACTGCTGCTGTCTGAAAAAGAAACTCCCTTCATATTTGAACAATTGGAAACAGTTGTTTATACCTGTTTCCTCAGTGGACTGATTCAGAGGTTGGAACAACACTCAGGTTATCTCAGGGAAAAACACAAGCTTTGTTTCCATCTGCAAATATCTATAGCATTGCAACACTGGCAGTTTCCCTCTCAACCCTGTTCCTCTGAAATTCCAGCCTGTTTTGACCTAAAGTAACCTCAAACCAACTGTTGAAATCACATCACATCATCCTGCTATGATAAACACTTATTTCTGCATGTTAATACTCAGGTTTTATCAGTAATTTACGCAGATAAAAACGAAGTAACATAAAAAAACGTGATGCAAAATGTCACATATTACACAGTAACACAACTTTAAAATGCAACACAACCTAATGACACTTACCATCACAAATAAACTGGAGTGAATATTCGACAGCAAAATAACACGCAAAAGCTGTGATGTAACACAACATAGTGTAACATGAGATAAGGCAAGTGGATGTAAAGTGACACTATGTAACTCAACACAATGTAGTGAAACACATACTTATGTATGGGGCACCACAAGACAACATACAAATTAATGTTGCACTTAAAACTACAGGATTAAACCAGCGTAACGCAAATAGAGTAACACAATGTAAAGTTACAGGACAAGAGTACCACAATATAGAAAAACACTACATGGAGTAACACGACAAAGAGTAACTTTACTTAAAGTGACTAAATGTACTCAGTAACCAAGAGTAACACAACATGGAGTATCCTGAGATAAAGTTACAATGCAGAGTCAAGGTAGGGTAACATGGCGAGGTGTAAATCAACATTCAAGAACATTGCACAACATAAGGTAGCATTACACAATGATGTATTACAGGAAAAAGCTTAACATAATATAGCATGACACGGAATAGTGTAACACAACGTAGCTTAACATGGCATAATGTTACACAGCTTAGCATTACACTCACAGGGCTCTATTTTCATGCCTCGCAGGCGGTGTGGCGCAGGCGCGGTGTATGTCAGGTCTGCCGTGCCGACAAGGCTTGCCCAAGCATACTTTGGTATTTTAGTGAGTGGCGCAGCCCGGCGTAAGTATCCCCCCTCCCTAACTCAGCTCCTCCCAGCGGTGTAAGTCGTGGAGAGGGAGGAGAGAAGGCATGGAGTGGGTTTAACACAGCCGAGACCTGTTTTCGCCAATCATATCAGCTCCTGTCCTCACCTTTAAATCCGCCACTGGTGAGGCGTATTACAATTTTCATGCAGTAGTCAAAGAGGTCAAGAGATGTCTGAAGACAGCAATAGCCAACATAGATGTTGGCATATAAAATGAATTGTAGTAAGATGGCCGCCGTGTAGGGACGCCTTCGACTCCACCTCAAGTCATCTAATCTTTCTTATATATATCTATGGATGCAACACAATGATGCATCACAAGGCAAGTCGAGATGCCACGGCCAATCTTACAGGAGTATAACACAATGTTGTTTGGCACAATTCAGCGTACAGGAGATAAACGAAGTCTGATTTATGTAAGTTCTTCACTGTATCTATGTTTAAGCTTCTATATCTCCTGACTCTGTTCTAAGCTCAAAAGTATCCTTTACTTAATGTGAGGTTCCTGAAGTTTTGAGCTATAGAGTAAAATAATGTTGATAAAGCTTAACTCTTCCAGGTTTAGGTCTGCTGCAGTCTAACCACTTGAAGGCTGTGTTTCTTTTTCTCTTTCAAAGCAGACAGCGTTTTTTCAAACCTCTCTTCTTCGAGTACTTACTCTTTTTTTCTCACAAATGGGCTTTAATACAAATTTCCCATCTTAGTTATGATTTCTTTCTTTCTGATGTAACAGCCACGGTAGACACACAACAGATACAGCCAGAACAATCTTCTTCTCCATTATCACTGTTGGCAAGGTTAGTTCCATCCAATCTAGTGTATGAATGCTTGCCTGAAAAGGATCAACAGTGAATGCACCGGACAAGAACAGAGATCTTAATGGAAAGCACTTGGAGCGACAACATGAAAAGTGTCTGTGGAAACAGATGCTGCATACAGCTCTTTCTAAGAAGCTGCATGATTCTGTTCTCAAATTTGTTTCATCAACCCTGTTAGTAAAACAACCAGCTCATGACAGTAGAATCTCTCTATGTGAATAAGTGTCTTTCCTAAAGTGTGGGACTACTCCTTTAATGATGTGTAGGACGTTGCATAATTTCAGAGACGATCCACATAAACAGAGGTGGAAGGGCCTGAACTGGGTGGAATCATCTCCTTGGTTTTCCGGTCTTGGAGAAGTTGTAAGTTTTGAAAAGGCTGAATAAGGTGAAACATCGTTAACTTACATGGGATTGGGTCAGATGCTTTCAGTATGTGCGTGTGAATCTTTCTCTGTGTGCGTGTGTGTGTTTATATGTGTCACTCCCTAAAGGCATGTCGCTGTCAACCCCGGGAACTTGTGTGTCTGACTGTAAGTTCACAGTCCTGCCCTGTCAGAAATAGGCCGGGTTAGGTTAGAAAGTGTTTCATAAGCTTAGACTGACCTCTTTCCTCTCTGCTTCTCCCTCCCTCTCTCTCATTCTCTCACTCTCTATCTCTCTTTTCCCGCCTCCCCCACCCCCTCCTCTCTCTCTCTCTCTCTCTTTCTCTCTCTCTCCTGGTGTCGCTGTCTCCCTCTCACCCAAACATTAAAACAGTCGATACACAAATCCTACTGTTTTACGATAGCATGCACACTTTAGCCAAAATCTATACTTTTCTTACTCTTTTCTCTTAACTGCAGAGTATACCAACATCTTCCACAACTCCCTCTTTCTTAAATTTTAATCTCTCAGAAAAGTCTCTGTTCTCATTAATATTTCCAGGATTCTGTTTTCTGATAGCTTTGTGCTCCGACAGTTACACCCCTCCTACCAAACTTACTGAGAAGGTGACTGAAATACTTGAATGTGCATGAGAGAATTGTGCATATTTGCATAAATTAAGGTACATAAATGTTGGTTGCCTCTGCAAACACAAGTGTGTGTGTTTGCATGTGTGTGTGTGAGAGCATGTAATTGCATGCATGTGTCTCCGTGTTTGTCTTCGTCTTCCATTTGACTGCCATCTGAATCTGTGGCACGTACAGCACAGCTACTAAACAGCAGATAGACAGACAGGAGGAGGAAAAAAAAGGAAAGGGGGGTAGCGAGGAGGGTTGAGAAGGAGTGAAGAAGTAGAGAAGGGAACAAGTGAGGAGTAGGAGGAGGAGGAGGGGGGAAGAGATGAGGACAGAGAGTGGAGAAGGAGAGACAGGCAGGGAGACGGTGAGCATGAGAGAGTGAGACAAATAGAGATAGAGAAAAAAGAGAGACAGGCTTTGGGGAGGAGGAGGAGGTGGAAGGGGGTGGGGGGGCATCAGCATACAGAGGCAGTCTGTGGTCTTCCAAGCAGCAGCAACAGCAGCAGCAGCAGTAAAAATAGGGGAGAAGAAAAACAACGATGGCTTGAAAGATTAAATTCCTGTTGGAATAGGAAGTGCAGAGAGAGGGAAGGGCCGAAACTGGGGGAGGTGATGGGAGCACTGGGTGCTGCCTGGGCAAAGGTGCTGGATCTGGTGGGTACTTCATGAAGAAAACAATGCAAACTAAAAGCATCAAAAAGAACAACAGTGGGTAAGGATGGTTGCCAAGATGAACTTATTCAATCGAGTTAAATCTTTGAGATCGGTTCATCAATGATGATATTTGAGAAGTCAACGCAGCCGCTGGTTTTAACAATTTAGCGTCTAAATAGCCAGCAGGGGCCAAAAAATATGGAGTCATGAATGTAGTTTTTTCAGGATGCAAGATTATGTAAAAACAAGAGTTAAGTGGCTACTGTGTAATGGCCATGAGCTATCCAAGGTGGCACGCAAGGCTGAGATTTGATACTACACGATATATTACCATACAATACAATCTGATAGGATCTGATATTACACCATATGATATGATACGATACGACACGATACAATGCGATACAATATGATACAATACACTACAAAATAATACGATACGATATGATACAATATGATACAATATGATACGATATGATACGATATGATACAATACAATACGATACAATATGATACGATACGATATGATATGATACGATATATGATACGATATGATACAATTCGTCATGATCCGATATGATACGATATGATAAGATACGATATGATGCGATATGATACAATTCGACATGATCCGATATGATAAGATCCGATATGATGTGATACGATACGACATGATACAATACGATATGTTACGATACGACACGCTAGATATGATACAATACGCTATGATACGATACAATACGATACAATACGATTCGATACAATACAATACAATACAATACAATACTGTACTATACTAGTACAATACTAGCCCTGTGTGTGAACTTTGGAGCAAACACTTGGATCAGTACAGGTCTTATTCAGGTGTATACATGCCAGAGAAAATCTATTCCTAACCGCATTGTTCCGGTATGTTAGCATGACTCTAAAATTTGTGGGGCAATTCCAAAAGATTGGTTGACTCATTGCTACTATACTATTGCTATTATATGGCAAGGCCAAAATGTTGAACTTGAATGAAGTAAGATGTTCAGGGAACAGTGGTTGATCTCATGGTAGCAGTGTACTCTTCTTCTACATTCAAACAATGGATTGTCACCGGTAAAATGGAGAAAAATGGTGCAAAATTTGCTGCTAAGTTTATTTAAAAAATACATTTTTCTGGAACATCAAAAAATTTTTTGTGTTATTTGTAAGCAGATTCTTTGAAATGGCCAGTGACAGCCAAGTCCAGCATCATTTCTGTTAAAAGAGTTTTCAAACATACTTACCAGTTCTTCAAATTGAATTGCCTTTGCCTCTGTTTTATCAGGGTGGAGACATGAGTGTCAAGGTGTAGTCAGGTTGAAAGAGAAGCAAATATTTATTAATTTAAATTACACTGAGAGATTGTTTCACCGCCAGTTTGAGCTGCCAGAGAACCAACTGCTCAGAGGTAAACTGAGGTAAGCTGGCCAAGGGCTCATGGTGAAGTTAGCACAGAAGTGGCCAAAAACTGAAGTGTTTCAAATGGCCACTGAGGTTTTCTTCAACAGCAAACACGCCGCCGATGGAGCTTATGTTCAAATTTGCAGCAGAATTAAACATGTTCGCAGCTTAGTACAACTTTTCTATTTAAACCATTTCTTAGAATTCACGACAACTGCACTGGAAAGGTGACGCTTTTTTTCCTCACCTCTTTAATTTATCTTTAGGCTTAAACTTCTGAATACTTAAAGGCGTGGTTGTGTGGAGGGTTACGTGGGTGCTACTTGCTGCCTGGCAGACAACGGTAGAGCTAATTTGCTCGCTTCACTTAAGCTTTCTTTATTGTTAATGGTGCTGATTCATTTTGTCGAGTTTTTAACGAAAATATCTGATACGTTCCGCTGTTTGGATTGTTTTACTAACAGACTGTCCCAGATAACAGTGCTCCAGCTTGTATTGGTAAGTGACTTATCTATACATGAGTTTGCTCTGTTCGCTATACATTAGCATGATTTTTGTCATTTTTCAATGCAGAGTATGGCAATCCACAATAATAATGAGACTGTTTTTGTTCCTGTTTACTTAATGCTCAAAAGAACATTTTTAATTGTTGCAGGCGGAGTGTCAAGCTAGTTAGCAAGACACTGTGTTAGCCCCCTTTGCTGACTGTAAGTCACACTGAGGGACAGCCAATACACTCCCAGACAGGAAGTGTATTGGCTATGTGAAGGCTTGGTTTCCATTTGGGTGTGCATCTTGATAAGAGATCAAACTGTTCATACTGACGGCGCGAATAGATTTTTTTTCACAAGCCAGTTGATTCATCTAAGACTTTTTATTTTATTTTTACAGCCGGTAAAACCTTTTGCTACTCTTCCCCATCTTTCAAAGTAGAATGTTGTAAAAACTGGTGTCGTACAGATGCTTCCACCGACTATGAGCCAGGCGTAACATTTCAGTAGTAACTCAAGCTTGCACTGGCACTGCCTCAGCTGAAGCAACCCCTAAAGCACAAGTGAAGAGTAAACTTTGCCCTAAATTAGACATAAGGCTCAAACTTAGTGCAACCTAGAGTCCTCCAATCTCTCTACTGGACTCTACTGGTTCTTTGACTCACTACCCCACTGAGGTGGAATATGTCTTTATTTATGTCCTTGTGTTAACTAAGTTTCCCATTAAACTTGACTTTTTGTAAACTGAGTAAACCAACACTTTGACGACCCTGACCATGAAGATTTTCATGTTTCATAATCAGAAACTTCTTTAGCCGTTGAGCAACATTATTCAACATCCACAGAGGTAGAAGCTAAATGTAGATTCATAGTATTGTCAACCTCAGCAGTATATCATTATACTGTAAAGTGCCAGAGCATATTTGGGGATTTTAGTAAGAGGCACACCTCAACTGGAAAAACTTGCTCTCTTGCTGTCATTATCAGACAGTGCCCTTTTCAAATGCTCTGAATTTGACAAGTTAGAGCACATTTCTTTCAGTTTTACAAAAGGAATTCTTGAAAACGCTGCAAAATACCATATCAAGTACCAGAGCTGATCCCCAAATCTACCTGCGGTGACAAGTTTGACTAAAGGGTACTTTGGTCTTTACTATGAACAATTTAGAAATTTTAGGGGCCAACCTATCAAGTTGTTGGCAAACAAGTACAAAATCTCCACAAAATTGTGAATCAAATTAAAAGTTTTATCCATTCATGGACATTTAAATCATCCCAAACTTCACAGTTCTCACAAGTGCTGACCTCTCGTTTGGGTGACACCAAAGTTCCCTTTTTGCTAACCTCACAAATATTCATATTTGGCTTACAAAAAGATTTATTTAGCTTTATCCACGGGGACATGGCCAGAATGTTTTGTCCCAGCCAAGGTATTGACCTACATTAGGGTTAGCCTGAAGCATGTGTGCACACACACATATCATTTGTTTACCCTTTATGTCTCTATTAATCAGATCTACTTTAATGACTAATATTTAAGTATTGTGCAGATGTTGTATTCCTGGGTTTAATGTTCAATGCCTGATAAATAAAGGCTAAAAACATTAATCGCAAGACTTAATAAATTGTCTGCAACTCCCTGCACAAGATAAAACTGTAAAAAGACAGTTCCCCAAAGTTTGTGATAAATGATTATGGGTTAGGGTTAGGACAGGGGTGTTCAGGAGTTTGCTTTCTTTCTTTTTTGTGTGTGTTTATTGATGGATTGTTTCCCTTTGTGTACACCTTAGAGAAATGTGTGAAGAATTTTTCAAATAATATTGTTCAAATTCCAATTAAAGGAAATGTTCTCCATTTAGATGCAAAATGAAATCCAGGCTGTTGCAACCACAGGAGCAGCTGGTCACTGCGAACACCCACGGGATGTTTGGTTGTCAGTCAAGTCAGATGTGCTTCTCACAAGGCAAAACTCATAACAGGAATATCCTCAAAATGAATAGATTTTCAATAAAACACTCTCTGTATAGTGTGTACAGATGGAAAATGAGCCATGTTGACTAAAATTGTTGTTAGCTCTATGCTTTGAACACTTTTATTTGTGTTGTAAAGATGGGCTTTTTTAGTGGGCGTGTCTGTGGCTTCATTGGCTTTTGTGGCTAGCCTCAAGTGGACGCTTGAGGAACTGCAGCTTTTAAAACTCTGCATAGGCTTCCTGTCTTTGGAATGGGGGTTGCTGTTGTGCTGCAACACATTCCTGAAAGTTTTTTTTTTTTTTTTCACACAAGACAAGCATATCCATTGATAGTTAAGGATTTTCAGGACGGCACCTAGGGTTGCTCATCACATTTGAAGAGGGACCCTCGCCCACCCCCCTCTAGATGCATCCCTGCCTGTCAGTGAAGTATACTCCATTTGATTTGTTTTTAGCTTGTCTGATGGAAAATGAGTTCCCCAAATGTCACCATTGTTCTTACATCTCTTCATTACTTGAAAACAACAGTTTGAGATTTAGATTTAGATTGATACGACACTTATGAGGCTTGTTTTCTCTCTCTTTTTTTTCATTTTATTACCCCCTAACTCAGAGAGGGAAAGCCTGTTAGAATACAGAGGGGGACAGAAGGAAGGAAGTGATTGCAGAGTGCTGGAACGGGTCCCACATCTCTCTAAGAAGCCAATGAGCTCTGATAGAGAAACTTCAACAAACCGACTGATTGGCACTGCAAAGGATGCCATTCAATTAGAAATGAACATGTGAATGGAAAGCTTCTGAGAGGGATCTGGAGTGATGAAAAATACAGGTTTGGCATGATTGAGCTCAAACCTGTTTGGGGATAGCTTGTGTGTGTGTTTGTGTATGTGTGCGTGCGTGTGTGCGCACACTCTCCCTGATAGGATGGGGGCTTCGTTAGGGTAATTACAGCTTTGCTATGTAAATAAGCCTGTCATAGAGGAGAGAGACACACCCACCTCTTTTTCAGACCCAATTAACCTAACTCCCCTGGAATTTACATACCTAACAATCTCCAGCACACACACATACACACACATGCGCGCACATGCATGCACAGAGATCAATTCCTGCATTACTGCATACATTTTTTTAACACTTTATCTAAGTAAAGTGCTGTCAATCTATGCATGCACCAAACTTTCTCTTTTTCCAGAGGATTAGTCTAAGGCTCAAGGCCGTGGGGTGTAAGTGTGAGTGTGTAAACTTGAGCCCCATTGTGTGCATTGGATCCCCGTTAAGGTGCTAAACCACAGCCAGCCAGGTGATATCTAAATGCATAAGGCATCACCAGGGGCTAACTGGCTGCTGGGGCTGTGGTGAGCAGCATCTATCATCCGAGCCGCTGATGAATGTCTGTCCTGAGTGGCTCTGTGGTGAAGTGAGGGGAGCACAGAGTGCATGAAATGACTCATGGTAGTGGTGGAAGGAGAAATAAGGAAAAGGGAGGAGGAAGAGGGGGGCTGGAAAGACAAGGGAGAAGGGCACAAGGGAGAAAAGGGAAGGAGGAAGCTGCAGGAGTAAGATGATGACGAAGAAGGCAGAGGATGAACATGGAGAGGCTGAGAGAGGAGAACATGAAGTTAGAATATTTAAGAAGGCTGCGTAAGTATGGGAGGATGGAGATCCACGGGGAAGACGAGAAGTGGAAAAGTGAGGGCAAGGGAGAAGGGGGGAGACATGGGGAGTAAGGTGAAGAGTCAGAAGAAGCAGAAGAAGGAGGGGGGTGAAGATGCAGAAGTACGAGCACGAGGGGGAACAGAAACAGAAGAAGACTAGTTAAGGGGGCAGGAGGAGGAGGAGGAGGAGAAAAGACAGAGATAGATACGAGGGATGTGGGAGCAGGAGGAAGAACAGAGGGAGATAGTAGCGGGAAAGTGGGTCAGAGGAGCGGACGAGGATGTGGAAGAGGAGGAAGAGGAGAGTGATTAGGCGAGATGGAGGGAGAGATACTAGAGGGTACGGGGATCATAATGGGAGTTCAGTCAGGAGGAAAGAAAGCCGGATAATAAACCTTAAGATTGTCCTGCTTTATGTTAACTACTGCAGTGTTGACGTTCTGTGTATCAGCAAAATCAAATGTGTGGCAGATTTGGCATTAATGTACCATGAACCATATCTAATAAAACAGTTTGACTCTTGAACCAGATTACACGACAGTTGTGACATGCAGTCGCAAGATATCAGGATCTCCCGGCAGAGATCTGACTGCATTATTTAGGGCAGATCCAGGGTCAGTGAACTCAAGTCTAATACATTATTGACACTCTTCAATTTGTGAGGAATATTGTTTCTGAGTGAGTTCGCTGGGAAATCTTCAAACGTACAGACTATCAGTCGGAGAGAGGAAAGCAGGGAGAGGAGCGGGAGGAGGAGGAGGAGGCAAGTGTGTCTGAAAAGCCAAGGGACTGAAGGATCACGATGAGAGAGGGGCAGAAGAAATCACAAACACAAACTTATAATCGCTGGGCTGAAAAGTAATTGACATTATTCAGAATTACAAGCCTAAATCTTCATGTCATAAATTTCTGCAGCAAACAAGTCTTAAAGGGATATTCCGCCATAGAATTAATTTAGGGTCAAACACACGGTAACACCGAGTTAGACACCCCCTCGAAAGATGAATGTTGCCGACCGCTTGCTTCTCTAGTTATGCCAACTTTAGTAACGACCGCAGGATAGCAATACACAGCGGTATGAGGAGGCATACACAAGACGCAACTTAGGCCAGTCCATTAGGGACTGCTGCGGGGTGATGCAGCTCAAGGAGGAACATTTATGATCATTTCTTTATCATTTCCTTGAGTTAATAATCATTTTTCACTGCAGACGCCATAGTTCTTCTGCCTTAGCGTCTCGGTCTGATTGCATTTCCATAAAAAATGATCATAAATGTTCTTCCTTGAGCTGCGTCACCCCACTGCATTCTGTAATGGACTGGCCCAAACTCTTGCTACAAACAAGCGGCTGCTGGAGGAGAGTTGGTGAGTTGTATTCTGTCTCTTTGCTAAAGAAATTAGGCAAAGTTAAAAAGATGTTTGGTGGCGATCATCTAACCATTTGATGACTGGGACCCTATATGTACTGTTGATGAAGTTAGGTGCTGTTTTGAGTGTAATTTGTGGCTATAGAGTGGCATTTTGGTTGAGGTTTGTTTATGACTCCTGAAACCGCTGTGTATTGCTATTGTGCGGTCGTCACTAAAGTTGGTATAAGTAGAGAAGCAAGCAGTCGGCAACATTCATCTCTTGAGGGGGTGTCTAATTTGGTGTCTAACTCGGTGTGTTTGACCCTAAATTAATTTTACGCCGGAATATCCCTTTAAGCTTCCTAAACTCGATTTGAGTCAGACAAGAGGGATTGGTTTTATCAGGAGGATGTCATCTGTGCACCAACTCGTCCATCCCAACCAAGCATTAAAAATCAGACCTGTTTTCTGGATCTGCTTCTATTCAGGTTTTGAATGTGCAAACTCGAAAATAGAGCAATTTAAACACACTTTAGGAAATACCGCACCTGTTCCATTATAACACTCACATAATTTGCATCTGTATTTATCACATCATGTTTAAAAGGTGCAAAGATACACTCAGGTGTCTGAGATACTGTTAGATACTGAATGGAGAGATGCATGAGCAGAAAAAAAAACGCACAAAAGTGATCTGCTAATCTGTGGTAAATGAAACAATAAAAACGCAGAGAGGACACTGTGATGTTTGTGTTTTTCCCCCATAAAGGAGGAAGGGCCAGTGTTCCTGGGGATCACTGGGTTCTCGGATCAATACTGTTGCTATGATGAGACAGTGATAGAGTTTGTGGTCTAGAGCTTAAAAAAATACCTGCACCACTTTCTCCTCTCCTCTTATCCTCCTTCTCCTCTTCCTCCATTTCCTTCTTTTCAGTCTGTATTCACAATTGTTAAGCTTGATTTGAAAATCTTTCCACTTTAAGAGTTTTGGTCTTTTTGTGTGTTTCCAGGACTGACACGATAAATCCCTCTTTTTCTGTTATCACCACATTATTTTGACTTTATTTGGCAGGTTTGAAATCAGAATAGTATTTCTTCAGTGTAATTTAAAGCACTATGTTTATACAAAAAAATAGAAGATTAAGATTTACATAGATGAAAAAAAAACTGTCCCTAATGGTTGACATAAACTTGATGTTCTTCGAAGGGATGGTGAGTTTAAGCACATATACATAAAAATAAAAACAAGACTCACATTTTAGACTGACTAAAGTCTATGTCTCTTGCATCGTCCAGTACATTGGGGCGGATTTACATAACACACATTATATAAATTCATGCTTTATTTAAGGATCAGCTTCCTCTCTCCTTTGTCTTCCTCTTTTATTCCTCTTTTCTTTCATAAGTCTGCTCATCATGAGGCGTTTGTATTCTCATGTATGAAAAAAAAAACTAGTCTAACCACACTCGTACAGAAGTGTACTCTCTCTCTCTCTTTCTCCCTCGCTCTCTCTCTCTCTCTCACAAATACACTCACTCTCCTCCACACACACATCCACCGGCGTGCGTGCGAACACACAAGCACGCAGACAGTCAGCTGTGCCCTTCCCACAGCAAGTAGCACGAAAACAGAACACACCGCCTAACACACACACACAGAGACACACACACACACACATGTGCACACACAAACTCTGCAACTGCCCTCTACACACTCTTAAAGGGACATGACGCATGTTTAGACATCACTACAGAGAGCAAACACGGTACCTGAACTCCACATTAACATTTATGAACGCTCTGACTTCATAATTTGTATTGGCTTGGAATGAATGATTTGTGACTATAAACATGATAAATGATCAAAGGGTAAATTTGAACGGCGTGTCATTCGTTTGAATAGTTGGGAGCGGCTGACATATTGAGAATTAAATTACTATTAAATTAGATTAATGACTTTTTAACTCTGGAGTTACACGACAAGAGCCGGCATTGTGCTAATGTTTACACCAAACAATTGTGAACTAATAGGAACAATTTGAGCCTACAGTTATCATTATATTGCATAACATTTGATCAGTTTGGATACAGAGATCGTGCATGAGAATTTGCACACATGATCCTAAAGGTCAAACGGCTGCCCTGAAACTGAGCCTGTAAAGTACAAACATTCAGACGACAGAAACAGCAAGACTGTCGATGAATCTAGACAAGAAAGGCTGTTTTTTATGCAAATTTAAAAACCTGATGTGACAGCTTTACAAGATTTTTCAAGGTTACCAGATAGATTCCTTTTTTTTATCAGCAAGAACCAGAATTCAACAACTTGGACATAAAAAGAGACATTATATTGGCTCACGTGCTTAGTCAGGCGAGTTTCTAAGTGTTTCTCTTAGAGATTGAGAGTGACTATAGGAGAGGTAGGAGGTACGGTGAAATCTGTGCTACAAATGTGGCTTTATAATTTATCTAGTAGGACAAAATTCAACTTCAATGTATGCAGAGCCGGCCCAAGGCATAAGTGAACTAAGCGCCTGCTTAGGGCCCCGTGACTGGCAGGGGGCCCCCAAGAGCAATTTTAAAATTTTTTATATTTTTTATTTTTTGTATGTATGAGTGATGCTTTCTGTATGATCAAATATATATATTGTAAAAATAACATAAATAAATGCTGATGTAGGCCTATGATTCTTACTGCCAATATGTCAAAGCTCCACTATCGTCATGTACTGTTGATAAAGTTAGGTGCTGTTTTGAGTGTAATTTATGGCTATAGAGTGGTGTTTTGGTTGAGGTTTATGTGTGGCTCCTGAGACCGCTGTGTATTGCTATTGTGCGGTTGTTACTCAAGTTGGTATAACTAGACAAGCAAGTGGTCGGCAACATTCATCTCTCGAGGGGGGGTGTCTAACTCGGTGTTAGACACGCCAGAATATCCCTTTAAGCTTCATAAACTCAATTTGAGTCAGACAAGGAGTCATTCATTGGTATTATTTGTATGGTTGCATTGGTGTTGTTTATGTTATTACCTAGGCCACACCCTTAAATGTGTAAAGACATGTCAGGTGCATTAAATTTATACTGTAGTAGGTGTGTGAATGATCAACAAGCAATATTTTTGGCAGAAATAGAGGGCTCCAAAATCAAATTTTGCTTAGGGCCCCATTGAGGCTTGGGGCTCTGTCTCTGTCTGTTTGTGAAACATGTCCTCACATAGTTTTGCACTCCTCCCACCTAGTTCCTCTGCCCTGGGAACCAGCGGCCTATAACTACACAAAAATCCAATCAAGTTATTTACTCATCCATCTGCAATTATATAATCAAGCACTTAATAACTTTAAGCGGTTGTGTGCAGAGACTATCACAGGGTCAGAGGTGAGAGTTAATGAGAGGCACCTCTTCTGTGTGCGGAGCAAGGGTCAACATTTATAGGTCCCACTGCAGGACAGGTACTTGCGCTGAACACAGAGGCACTTCAGGGGGCATGTAGATCACATTAGAGTCTTTTTGGGTAGATATGGAGGCAGAAGTGAAATATTGGACATTTTAATGATCATCATTAATAAATAGAAGCTTCAGAATAGTCATATGAATTTGTTCTCTTATTAAATGAACATAAACACAATATCAGGCCTGAACTTGAAGGCATCCAGAAGAAACTTGAACTTGAGCGAAGTAGACAAAACTAAGACACTGCGCCTTTAAGAAGCCCCCACCGTCGCACAACAGGGGGGGCGTGAGCTGAATCCAGGAACAGCGATTGAAAAAAAAAAAAAAAAAAAAAAAAAAAAAAGCTCCACCAGTGGACTGTTTCAAGTTCCCCCCGGCTGAAACCCTGCCTGATTTGTGGGCAATGTTGGGGATGTAGAAAAAAAAAAGGAAACCGGAGCAAGAGAGAGCGCAAGGGAGAAATAGGGAGACAACACTAACTGGGTAGCTATGGAGATAGTAGGTTTTCCTGGTAGCTTTCTTTGACAGGTGTCGAGTGGGATAACACAAAGTATCTGAACAGCCTCCAAGATGTACGGCAAGGGTAAAGGAGCCGTGGTGCCCTCGGATAGCCAAGCAAGAGAAAAGTAAGTAGATTATTGCACTGTCACAACATAGAAAGGCAGCCAAGAAGAGTGTGCTAGGTTTGTAGCTTGAAGTTGCTAACTGATGCGAGGCGGCTCACTCACTTCAGCACGGACCACGCATGTTGTGCAAGCTGTTTATTACGAACATGCAAAGCCCCTAAAAGTGATGCTGTTGTAGTTTTGTATGTTGTGTTTGCCACTTTGTGCGCCGCGTTACAAAAAAACTACACAGGCATGGCTTGCTAAGTTAGCCAAGAGCTGCTAGCCCCCACTGCCAGATTCACTCTTTCTTTTCTTGTCTTTATGCAAAAAACAAGAGGGAGTTAGTAACAAAAAGTTGCAACGCTACTACGAGAGAGAAACGTTGCCGCACGTGTTTTAAGCGATAATGCGGAATATAAACGCGCGGGGTGGAATTGTGTATAAGTGGGTAGAGAGATGGGGATCCCACTACACTTCCATCATGTTGGGAACAATGCATTTGGAGTGACGCTAAAGCATTGTAGCTAGCTGGCTTTGTGTCGCCTCGCTGAAGCGGTGTGTTAAAAATAGAAAACAGCTGTTTGGTGGGGCTTTGTCACAGAATACCGCAAGAACGTGCTCCACGACTTATCCACCGTACCCATAAGCGAGATTGTTTCCCCCCGCACGCGCTGGCTCGCTGGCTGCATTGTACCCCGAGTGAGTGCGTACGCTCGAGCCAACCGTTACCAGCCTCTCGCGCTGCGCCTCACAACTTTTGTGGCCCGTACAGATTTGCTTCAGTCATCCCAACTCGATCAAAAAAGGTCCAAGAGACGAGCTGTTAAGAAACTAACAGCACTACTTTCTTTCTTTTAAGTGAATTCGGGTGTTTTTTAAGAGGCTTGTTCTGTCAGGAAGCTTAGGTGGCGTTAGCTTGGGGGAGCTGTAGCCTCCAATCCCTTTGTCTGCATGCCTCCGTCTCGCTGCCTGTTGTTCGCCCAGGAGATAACGTGCCGCACATTTACCAACACTTAAATAACCTGCAGCGAATTCAAAGTCATTGTACGAACGTCTTTGCACCATATTTATGTAAAAGAGAGGCCAGTTTAGCTGCAACTTCCTCTACAACCATGCAAACCTGTGTTATCATGAACTTTGTCAGATGTAAGGTCTTAGTAGTTAGAAAAATGAGACTTTTTATTGTATCTTTTTAGTTTGAATCGGTTTGTAAGAGGCAAATTCAGTTGTAAGTGGTTTATATTTTATTTACTATCTGTAATATGGGATAACAAGCAGTCATAAGACACCCAGAGGGTGGGAATAACCTGCAGCGAATTCAGACCAGCTGAAATAGTCATTCTACCAACTTCTTTGCATCATATTTTGTAAAAGAGAGGCCAGTTTTAGCTCTAAGTTCCTCTACTACCATGCAAACCTGTGTTATCTTGAACATTGTCAGATGTAAGGTTGAACAAGTTAGGACAATTTGACTTTTTACTGTATCTTTTTAGTTTGAATTGGTTTGTTAGCGGCAAATTCAGATTTTAAGTGGTTTATATTTCAATTTACTATCTATATTATGGGTTAATAAGCAGGTGTGAGACTCCTAATAGGTTGGAATAACCTGCAGTGAATTCAGACCAGCTGAAATAGTCATTCTACCGACTTTTTCATCATTTCTGTAAAAGAGAGGCTAGTTTTAGCTGTTACTTCCTCTGCTACCATGCAAACCTGTGTTATCATCAACTTTGTCAGATGTAAGGTTGTACTAGGTGGAGAAATGTTCATCAAAATTGACTTTTATTTCCTTTTACTGTATCTTTTTAGTTTGAATCAGTCTTAAATACAGGTTTGTTAGCAAATTCAGATGTAAGTGGTTTATATTTCAATTTACTATCTATATTATGGGTTAATAAGCAGGTGTGAGACTCCTAATAGGTTGGAATAACCTGCAGTGAATTCAGACCAGCTGAAATAGTCATTCTACCGACTTTTTCATCATTTCTGTAAAAGAGAGGCTAGTTTTAGCTGTTACTTCCTCTGCTACCATGCAAACCTGTGTTATCATCAACTTTGTCAGATGTAAGGTTGTACTAGGTGGAGAAATGTTCATCAAAATTGACTTTTATTTCCTTTTACTGTATCTTTTTAGTTTGAATCAGTCTTAAATACAGGTTTGTTAGCAAATTCAGATGTAAGTGGTTTATATTTCAGTTTACTATCTGTAATATGGGATAATAAGCAGGCGTGAGACTCCTAATGGGTTGGAATAACCTGCAGCGAATTCAGACCAGCTGAAAAAGTCATTTTACCAACTTTTTTGCACCATATTTTGTAAAAGAGAGGCCAGTTTTATCTGTCACTTCTTCTACTACCATGCAAACCTGTGTTATCATGAACTTTGTCAGATGTAAGATTGTAGAAGTGAGAAAAAAATGACTTTATTTTGTTTTTACTGTATGTTTTTAGTTTGAATTGGTTTTAAAAAATAGGTTTGTTAGAGGCAAATTCAGATTTTAATTCAATTTACTTTCTCTAATAAAGAATAAAAGGCAGGTGTGAGACTCCCAAAGGGCCAGGATAACTATGTTGGACATGCGTCACTCTTAAGTGTTTTTTCTGGTCCATAACATTAAAAAGAACAAGACAGTCATTGTCAGTAGGCTTTTATTAAACTTATTCTCATCTCGAGTGTATTTCACAGTGTCTGTGACGGTATTCTCCTTCATTAAAACCTGGATGTGACTGGTTTGAAGCCCTGTAGTGTTTCAGTATTAGTTCCTATTAAAGTAACTGTATTACCTAACAGGTGCTGCTTTATTCCTCAAACTGGAAGAGCTTTAAACACCAGCCAAAGCTCACTCCCTGCCGCCTGGACCAGTCAGCACATTGGGCCGCTGAAGTGGGACAGAGTTGTCAGACTCTTGTGAATGTTTGCGTGAAGATCAGCACGCGCCTCATTACCTCCGAGCCCACACCTCTTTTCTCTGTTGTTGCGATGAACCCCGTACTCTTCATCCCTTCTTTATGCATCGCTCTTTCGGTGTCTTTCTTCATCTGCCTCCTGACTCTCACTTCCCATCCTCTCCAAGTCCTCATCCCTCGCTTCACTGTTGAATTATTGAGACAGACTGAAGCAGCTGCTCTCAGCTTTGCGTCAGAGTTGAGAGAGACAGAAGAGGAAAGAAAAGAGACATGAAGAGAGAGAGAGAGAGAGAGAGAGATGGTGGGCAGACTCATCCATGTTTAAAGACGGGGGTTTTGTCGGGCAGCCTCGGGCAGGATGTCAGGTGTGCCGGTGGTGCACATGAGGGAGATTTTCTCACCCTATGGGAGCAAATGTATGCACGCACCAATGTCCCATCTTGAAACATAAGAGGAGGAGAGAGTAGGGTCAGGAGGTCACCGCACAGGGCGTGATGGTGGAAGAAAATATATTTCCAGGATGAGAGAGGAAAGGAAAAAGTGCATAAATCAAAGCCAGTGGTAAAACTTTGCTGTCACAGGGCTTTATGACTAAGAAAACTTGGGCATGAGGGTTACTGGAAGGAAGCATTTAGATTTTTTAATGTTTTCTTGCGTTCTTCTTCTCCTCCCAATCATGACTTAACCGCCCCCCTTCCTCCACTTACTTGTTTTCATTAAAAATTGGGACATGCACCTTCTCCTGTTCCAGACAAAACATGCATCCGTCTTCTCCTTCTCCTTCACTTTGCTCTATCTTCTCCCTCTTCTTCTTCTCCTCCTCCTCCTCCAGCTCAAAATTCCCTTCCTTTTCTCTGCGAGCTAGCTTCTGAGCTTTAATAATGCAGCAGGCCAGGTGCACGCACACGCAGCCCCTTTTGCAACCCACACAAAAAGACACATACACACACCACACATAAAAATTTCATTGAGGGCCTCTTGAGGGGGGGATCTGCTGTGTGATCCTCCTATCATCCCTAGACATACGACCAAGTCCTCAACTATTCCCTTCTAGTCAAACTCCTATAAGAGGCTGCACATGTGTTCAGCGAGCGGTTTAACCTGCGCTAACAGATGGATGTGAACAGCATCGGTATTTGCGGCTCTAGTTTTCTTCGTTCTGAACTCTCGTGATGTGAGCCCGAACTGTTGAAATCAGCACACACACTCTCGGTAAGAACAGGTGTAGAAGCGCAGAGGTTAAACCCGTGTGTGGCGTGACCTGCGAGCGGCTGTGACTTACACTCTACACCAGCGGTCACCGAGAGCTTTGTGACCTACAAATTGGTAGGAGCCTCCGAAAGTGGTCAGATTCCCCTGGCTAAAGTGGTCAAGTGTGTGTATGTGTGTGTGTTTGTTTGTGTGTCAGCAGTACTGCAGTCTTAAGTCTCTTAAGAGCCCAGGCCATTTGAACAACAGGCGATCTGTCCCTCTGTCTGTGCTGAATTAAGCATGTGAATACAGCCGGGATGCGTTACCGCTGCGAGTTAGATAGTATTGGCCAGTGTAAACGACCTCTGGAAGTTTTGAATTTCTGATCCACTCCGCCTTCGTCCGTTCATCTGGATGTCTCCTCGCTCATGTCTGTCTTCTTATCTTGGTGGCTATCTGCAAGAGGGGGAACACCCTCAGCTATTTATTACCTTCAGAGCAGGACAGCCTGCTGCATGCGCTGCACTCTGAATCTATGATCACTTTTAAGGTCCTTACATACCAAGGCCGACACAAATATAGAACTCGAAAATTACGAAATATTCGGAGGAGAATTTTGATGCGCCTGACACATCAAGCCCAATGCGATTTTGCGACTTTCTGGGGGGAAAAAGACGCGTCCCGGGTGAAAGTGAGAAGCCTGACACAGTACCAGACTGAGTGTTTTTCAGTTCTGATTAGACACTAGTGTTGAGATGTCTGTCTGTCATGATAGCATGTACTGAGTCGGGGTCAGTACCAGATAAGCACATTAAACTATAATCCATAAATGTAAGGTAACAACCGAGACCTAATGGTGCTGTGACAGCAACGCGATTGAGTTTGAGACAGTGAAAATACATATGGTATGTTGTATCAGAACAGGTTAGCTTAAGAGCTAAAGTTACTTAGCACAGATGAAAGTTAAAACAAAGACGTTTAGCAAATTGTTAAAGCACACAAACCATCGTCATATGAGAAATCCGACGCTTTGACTCTCCACAAGTCGTCCTTCAGGTCGTTATCTTTGGAATATTTGTGTTTTTTATCAAAAACACTCTGTTCTCCAACATGTAAACAATTAGCTGGTCGGCCATGTTGGATATACCGGTGAAGCAAATGTTGCAACAACACGAAATCTGATTGGTCAGAAGTGGACACCAGTGTTGTTTTCGCTGATGCCGACGGAAACATTTGGTCAATGCCCCTTATTTTCCACGATGAAGACGTGACGTTGACGAGCTAAACATAAGTCTTAGATGACTAAAATGTGACGAGACAAATGTGCGTTTACGTTTACGTTGACGAGACGAGACTAGGTGTTAGTGGTGGACGACGAACATAGTTGCAAAATTCATGAGCATTTCGTCAGTCAAACGCCAAACATATAGGAGCAGCTTCAGTCCGTTCTGACAGCTGTCATCAGCCCACTGTGCTCCTCCAACACACACACAGACACTCGCTGACGAAATATTTTCGTCATCGTCAATGAAAACAACACTGGTGGACACACAGTATGCGAAACTTTAGAAAAATCGACCATGATATGAAAAAATAAATGCCGCAATATCGCAGGACGGGAAAACGTCGCTGATGTGAACGCTTGTATTGCCAGGATGCAGGTTCGAAAAAAATATTGACATCAGAAATAATTGCACAGTCCCGGTGTGAAAGGACCTTTATTCACAAGCTGCAGGTCAACTTAATGCATGTTCAACCCGTGATTGACCCTTTCATGGTGTAAAACTCATGTCACGCTTTAATCGGAGGCTGGCATTGTTCTCCTCGCCTGTCTGCAGCTGTGGCTTAGGAAATGTTACAGCTCCACTCTAGAAGTGTGAAGACTTTCATTAAATTAATACCAAGCAAAGTTTCTCTTCTGAACTCTCATTTCCACTCATTACTTCTGATGTTTTAAAATGATTTCCAAACAGACGCCAGTTTCAGCTCCCAAAAAACTTCAATTAATTCCTCCTGCTGCAACAAAACGCCTCACCACGCAGCATGTTGCACTGTTCTGCCAGTATGGAGAAGTTACGGCTTTCACTTGCAGCTATCTTTTTAAAAGCGGGGATGCACAGATTTTATTACCCCGCTGCTGATTCAGAGAAGAGGCTTTTTATTGGGCAGAAGGAGTCACCTGTTGGACAAACTCTGTTCTCTTTTCATCGCCTAATGTGAGAGAAAATGTCGGCGGTGTGGCACAGTCTCTGAGGAAGATCAGCAACTTGTAGTTTGAAGGACATGTTTCAAAGACGTTTCAAGAGGAAGGACTTGGATACATGAAATCTCACAGCTCATGTAAAAAGCAGACGGATACAAAGAAAGAAACGTTAAAAAAAAACTCCAGATAAACTTTAAAATGATTTAAAAAAACAATCCCTGCTTTGCTTTTTAGGCAGAGATGTGTCAAGCAAGTCTACCCCACACATATTCCTTGATTTTATTTGTTCGTGTCGTGTTTTAGTCATCATGACTGACAGCCACACTCGGTCCTAAAATAAATCTTAGTGACTTACTGTCCATCACATCCACGCACAGTTTATGGGACTTTTTAACAGCTCTGTTCCTTTTGCTCTGTATTCTGATTGTATTCACTGCCGTTGCCGGTTCGTGTGAGACGTGAATTATTAGCTTTGTCATACCTCCTATCTATCAACACAATCAGCGTTGGTGTGTACTTGTTACGCTGAGAACAAGATTTCTGTGACATAAAGCAGAACTTTTTGTCCTTTTGTATTAAGTTCTTTTTTTCTATGTCGAAATATGTTGCATCATATGCTCCTTAAGGTGCATGTATATATATATATATGTGCCAGCTGTCGTCCCTTCTGCTCTAAAGATGTTTGAAAATGTCTCCTGACTGTGCTGCGTCTCCTTGAAGGACAAGGTGTGATCATGTTGCAACCGCCGTCTTCAGCCTACCCTACCGTTATCATCTATTTGCTTATTCATACCTCAACAGACTACATTTGCATACTAACAATGCATATTTCAGGCGTTTGCATAACATTAGTAGTAAGGCCAGGTCAGGCACAGATCCTGACTACATCGTAACACAACGCATTAGTTGTTGTCTCCTCTGCTGCTCCCATGTGCAGCTTAATTCAAAGTATTCAGCAGAAATAGAAGCTAAATGAGTGAATTATAGCCTTGAAGAAAGAGTCTTAACATCCCCCCAGTGAACATTTATTTGCTGCTTTTATATATAGGTACACACACTCAAGTTTTCAGTAGTAGTATTAGATTAAAGCCTGTATGCAATAATGAAAACCAGCATTTACTGAAGCAGTCCAGCTTCCCTAAATAGAAACTGTTTGGTCTGTATTAAAATAATCTGGGTGCTTGTCTTTTGCTTTTATTCTGTGATATTTTACAAAGAAAAATGAAACAAAAACAAAATACATTTTTAGAAAATAAATGGTGTTGGAGCAACTGCATCAGGTTTATACCTAGAAAATGTATCTTCAAATAAATAAAAATAGCTGGTTTCCCAATCTATACCAGTCCCACCATTGTTTTGTTTTTGGTAGCGATGATACCAAAAGTCCCGCCCCTTCTTCACTTTGATTGGTTGGTGATTGAGAAGTGGCATGGCACTGTATCTTTACTAGGGCCGTTTGAGACTAATCGGTAATTGGCCAAAACTCGCCGAATTTCGCAGATATTTTCAGAAATAAAATGCGGACAATGCGGACCCAAAAAATCCATATCAGTCAGGCCCTAATCTTTACAGTCAGAGGCATCGTTACGCTGAGTATCTAAAGTGCCGAAAACACCAAATTGCATTTGTTTTGTTTGGAAAACAGAAAATGAACTTGGACTTCTCATTACCCAAAGCGCTGTGATATGACTCTCCACATTCACCCATTCACACCTCATTCATACACTCATGCAGGAGGATGATTTTGAAGGGGACCAGACCGAGTTATCAACTAAACCCCAAATACTGTTGACTAAACGGGAGAAACTTTGGCTTCAGCCTTCTGAATGAAGGATGACTAACTTTACCACTGACCCTGCCCACTTTGATATGGGTGCTTCCAGGGGAAACCCTCAAAATAGCCTTCTCTCTCCTGCTTTTTTGCTCATGAGTATAACTTTTGTAGTATGAATTTGGCCTTTTTTTTTTTTTCCTTGAATGTAAGAAATCTTTTGAAAATGCCCATCACAATATGTCTCACTTACACTGTTTGCATAACCCTCTAAATCCCTTAGACCTAAGATTACATGTAATTTAACTTTGAAATCAACTTTGTTTCAGAGTTCCTGTTTGAGTGTGTGTTTTACCCAGAGAAGCTGTAGTACTCCGGTCAGAGGCACTCTGTGGTTTTTATACAGTAGCTAAGCATGATAATGGAATAATCGCTGCTTATATAAAGAAAAACTTTCATGCAAAGTTTCAGAGCAGCGTCCAGAACTAACCTTTCTAATTTCTTTAAAATACATTGATAAATGAAGCTTGTCAGACCGCCTATCCAAACTGCAGTAATTCAAACATACGTCAACCCCGAAATGCTTAAAAAGACATCACAGTCAGCCACACGTTCAGCCACAGAGAGCACTGGAAAACCAAATTAGCGGCTTGTGCTTTAAAAAAATAGATGCACAACAGCTTTATCATCCTAAAAACCCTGTTTCATTGATCAGTTCATTGACTAAAATTGGACAGTGACACTGAGCTACTGTCCCCCTCATTAGGACCTTATTGGCCTGTCAGAGGGCTGTCTGCTCTGGGCACATGGGCCACTGTCATATCCACACTGCCGGTCGATTGATGGTCCATTAACAGCCTATTAAACACGACTAAGTGAAGGCGTTAGAGTACAATGTTGGGCCGATGGGGGTTTCCTGCTCCACAGCATGGTTCTTGTGTGTGTTAATAGATCCTGGTGGATTGCTGTTATCAAGTATAATAGCAGTGATTTATTTAAAAAAAGAAAAAAAAAGTCTGTCGAGGGCTTTTAAAAATATCGTAGGAATTGGCGAAGAATCCTTTTGTATGCAGATCTTTCTGTCAGTATCTGGCATGTTCAGTTCGAAGAGGAATTTTTCATTCTAGTGGCTCAGCAGGTGTTTTTTAAGCTTCAGGTAGGATAAGAGGACTGTGGGTGCTCAGGGCTTTGTGAGATGCCGAGTGGAAAACTGCACAGGCTACAGATGTGCCGCTGAGATGACTTTGCACCTTTTGATCTTGAGAAAATTTCAATCTGAGCTTTATTTACATTTTAAACATGTGAATCTGGAGCCGGTTGAAGTTCCTCGATAATCACTGCACCTGAGATCAAACCTAAAAACTCATTAGACTCTGACAAAGTGAAGGTTGATGGGTGCTAAACACAGGTCTTAGGAGTTCATTTAAGCTGCAGGTAATGTAGTTAATTGGAGTCATTGTTTATGTGGCAGATATACAGCTTATGTCGCTATTCATCGAGAATGAAAACCAAGTTTATTTCATTCCATTATTTGATCTAATAAGATTTTTCCCTCTTCAAAAAAACAGAAAAAATCCTTCATTTGTCCTCTGTACTTTTGTTACCTGATTCTGTTTTCAGTCACTTCTGGCATGTCTTTCTTTTTCTTCTTCAAGAATCCATTCAAACATTTTTAAAGAACAGAGTGACTCTGTTGTTATTTTAATAAAAAACCTTGATGACACTTCTTTATTCATGGCTCTTTCTTTAATACCTGATCCTTACAAGTTCTTAGATACGAGAGAAGTATGCATAAAAGAACGACAAGAACCTTAAAATGAAAACGGTCTCGACTGATAGCTCAAGAGGACTGTAAATGTGTGGGATTATCTGTTTAAAAATACCTCTTTCAGGTCGTCATTTGACTGTTCACTTTAAGTGTGTTTGCTCGCAAATGAAGTCGGACACCCAGAGACTTCTTGGGAGAATTAAAGGGCAGTTTCGTGTAGTTTTTACCTGGATATCTGTGCTAAATGTAGTCAGTTGAAGAAAGAAGTACTTACGGTTGGCAAACAGTGCCTACATGTACCAGGATGCACCAGGACAGAACCCTCACTCCGCTCATTTGTGTTGCTTTATCCTTGTTTGTCAACTTGATACCACCAAATGTTCGAGACTGCAAAACGTGTACATATATGCGAGTTTCATTGTTGCATAGCCAGTCCTTTAGAGTAAAAGATAGGCTTGAGTAGTTCTGAGTCATCATCTATAGTGAATTGTGACACTGTTGGCTTAAGGAATGTCCAATTGTTCAACCACACTGGGTAGGGCTGAGCGATAAAGCAAAAATTTACAGATACCGTAATTCAGGTCAATAACCGACGTCATTTTGCTCATGTCAGTATATTCAGTGTCAGAAAAATGAATAAATAAAAGTTGGTTTTGGATGTGTGTAGGTAGGCTATGGTCTCATGTCCCTTTTAAGACGCTGTTCTACGTCATAGACGTGACTCCACCTCATCCAGTCCGTAACAAAGAAGGAAAGACAGATGAGGAGATGGAGGACGGTTCAAAAGTTGTAGACAAAGTTAATGTTCGAGGGGGTTAGCAGCTTGTGGAGTAGTTATCGTCTATTTATCGTTATTGAGGTGAACCGCTCAATATATTGTGATATTGATTTAAGGTCATATCGCCCAGCCCTAACCCTGGGATATAATAACCAAGTGGACACCATCTGTGTCAGCCGGCATGTTTTCTACTTTGTTATGAGGTTGTCAAATTATCGAAACCTCAGTAATTTAAATAAACCAGGTGCTTAAAAACAATACATGTTATTGTTACGTTTGACATCAAAAACAGAGAGCGTTGGTGGTAAATAGAGTGTATAAACATAACTGTGACACTGTCATGAACTACCGTAACATTTAGAATATAGGTCCCACTGGAATAAGAGATGCAGTCCGTTTTTGGGTAGTGTGCAGTTTCTGTGCAGATGTGCAGGTCTTTCAAACTATCTGTTTTCAGTCATTTGTATGTTACTTCAGCTTTTGGGAGCATTGATAGTTGTAGGGTGTTTGCTCATGACCGATGCAAAGAAACACCAGAAAAGATTGTAGGTTATATGATGAGTCTTAAAAAATCAAATTGGAGTTTATTCACTCGGTAGTATCCCCCTGTTGTACCCCTGCTATGTACACAGCCTACTTTAGGGCATTTATGTAGTTACTTGCCACATTTAGTGCTGTAAAATAAACGTCTTTTGCTTCTTAGATGACAAATAAGGTATTAAAAGTGTGTCTTATACACCAGATTTGACAGTAAGTGCATCAGATCTAGTTTAAAGATGAGCCAAATTTTCCTGAAAAAGTGTATGTCCTTGGTTTCATTCGTCTTGAGTGATACTGAAGCTGAATTTGGTCACTGACGCCTGTTTTCCTTTGTGTTCCAGGTTAGCGTTATACGTGTACGAGTACCTGCTACATGTGGGAGCACAGAAGTCCGCACAGACCTTCCTGTCTGAGGTAAGAAAGCATCCTGACTCCATCCAGTTTGTTGCTTATTAAATGTTTATCTAGAGTCAACAGACGAGATAAAGAACTGATGAAAAAACTTAAGCAAAGACGCCAAACACGTATCACACGGGCCCTGGATGACTCGTGAATGTAGAGCAGCTAAACTGTGATTGTACTTTAACTCTGGTGATACAGTAGTGGACGTCTCGAACAGCTTGTATCATCAGCGCAAACATGCTAAACATGATGACAGGGCGTAAGGCGCCGCATCAATTTTTCAAAGGGGAAATATGAGAAAGTTACAGCAGATCACGCTCACTGTCTGCCGTGTAAAAACAACCGATGCGGCGTGAAAACAAAGTGTTGTCGTCATACCTGCACAACCCCAGGCCTCCAAACAGCCCGTTCAGTTTCAGACAGGCTAAAGATAGTGTGTGTGTGTGTGTGATCGAGCTATTTTTCTCGATTCAAACACACTTCAGATGTAGAAAACAGTTCAGATACGTGACAGAAGGATATGAGTCAGGATGATGGAGATTGACAGAGCCGGGGAGATGCCTATCTTCACGTCCGAGGCCATTGACGGTTGGAGACGCACTGATTATATGTTCTTAACCTCTGGACCTGCGGACATAATCCTCTCTCTCTAGTGGCTGTAAGTGACTTCTTCCTCTCTCGCTCTCTCTCTCTCTCACACACTCTCTTGTCTCCTTCAGATTCGATGGGAGAAGAATATTACATTAGGGGAGCCTCCCGGATTCCTGCATTCGTGGTGGTGGTGAGTGTCACTTGGATTGTTTTTCTTTTTTCTTGAGTGTTTGGTTGAAGAAGATGATCGGATATTTGGGCGCTAACATTTTCACCACGTCCCAAATGTTACTTGACAGCAGCCGCACTGACGAGGCTGCCTGCAGTGTCTGCGGACATTATTTGATTATTTTTGTAGCAGCCCCTGTGGGTTATTTAAAAAATGCTACGAATTGGCCTGATCAGTCTACCTCCACATAGAGCTGTGCAGTAGGAGGAGGAGTTTAGAAGAGTTTGGGACAGACAGACCATCTCGACAGAATTGAGAGCCACAGCTGGATTATTTGATTTACAGTCAAATAAACTCCACATTCAAGCGCCGTTGCTGGTTTTCGACTTCATTCCTGATTAAAAATGACTACCGTAGGTGTGGGTCTCAGCCTTGGGGTTGACCAGCCTCACAGAGGGCGTGACCCCTCCCTCCCCGTCTTTTCCCCCCTCCCCTATCCCTCCATCCCTCACCCCCCCTGTTCCTGAAACAATGGATCCAGATGGTTAGGGAATGGACCCCCACCCTACCTTCTATTCTCCCCTCCCCCCTTGCTCACCCCCTCGTCACCCCTTTGTGTGCCCCCCACCTCCCACTTTTCTCCTTTGTTCATGCGGGAGAGGGATTCTTAGCAGATTAACCCTTCGCATTCCATCTTCCTTTGTGCCACCTCTCCATCCGCTGTCTTCCTCCTCCCCCCTTCCTCCTGTCATTTCTGCCCCCTGGCTAAGATTTGACCTTTGGGGTCGTCACCTTAAGTCCCGATCAGGAGGTTTCACTTGTTTACACTCTCGGTGTTTCCTGTTAAACCCAAACTCACCCTTACCTGGAGGAAACAATTTGATTCAACGACATAGCGTCTTTAAAAGAAGTGCCGCAGACCAGGAAGATAGCGGTAAACTCTGCTAAGGTGAATGTTGTTTTTACACACCTTTTTGTGGGTCAACGACACTGTAGTGGTGCACATGTGAGGGCAGAGTTTGTGGATATTGCTGTCTGTCCCTGTATGAGGTCGAACCGAGTAGGGATCAGTCCACGTCTGTATGGGAGCTTAGTTACAGCCCCTCTCAAATATGACCTCTAAGATAAATTGAGGACATTTTGGTCTTGACATTTTCAAGAACTGCCCATTACGCAAATAACTCATCGCAGATAGGACATGTGACTCTGTTAAGATAAGGTAAAGGGGGACCTTTATAGAACTTTTAAGAGGAGGAGTCTTCAGTTATAGTGACCGTTTCAGTTCAACATGTCTAAAGATGTTTTTGCAACACAAACCAAACAGTCACACACAAAATAACGACGATTTAGTCGAGTTTTAAAGAGTGTATACTGTGCTGTGTTCACACATTCGCTTACTAGACTCAAGCAGACTTTCTATAAAAGGGCGTGACTTGTAAAAGTCTGTGTTAAGTCAGGCTGAACGGTTTCAGATGTTTGAGTTTACACATGCAACCCACTTGGATGATGTTGGGAAAATGTCAGGATTTTAATGCTTGTCCTGTTCTTCTTAAAGGTGAATTTAAGATTTGTGCTATCATGTTTAACGCGCTGTATTACTTTGGATTCAAATATTGACATTCGCCGCTAGAGGTAACAATGTCATAAGTCAGGAAGTTGTATCAAACTTTGTCACACCCATAGTTAGCACTGTATAACCAGTGAGTTATTAAGTAGGAGACTATTTTCATTTGATTCAAATAAGGAAATACTGTTACTAAATGAGACTGTACCGCTCTAAATGATGGTCAAAACTCGGATGAATCGCGCTTAAATGCTCTTGTTTGTGGCTTCATCATGTAAATTCACAACGATAGCTCCTGTTTCTCCAGAAGATTACATCACCACTCCAAAACTGTGCCAGTGGATTCATTACAGATTCACTGTGTTGCTGAAGGACACCGCACTGAGTTTAGTTCTGTACATATTACAAAGGAGTGCCGTGGATGTGAAATTACAGACTTGTAAATACACCCTTAAATGCTCTTAAAAAGTACAATATCCCGTCTAACTTTTCACCTCGGGGGCTGCTTCTGCTGAGTCAGGGTAATGAACGTCAGGCTGGGAAAGCACCATCAGCAATATTAGACCAAGGGCATGTTTTAATAAAAAGAAAATGAATGAACAGAATAGTAATTTCTGAAGCGTGAGTAAAACGAGAGAACAAGTTAAATCTCCTGCTCAGATATGGACCTAAATTTATAACATCACACACGCTGGGTTTTTTAATACAGCACAATGCATACAAGAAACTATTTATAGAAGAACAAGAAGTCTGATGGCTGTGGGTACAAAATAGGGGTAGGAGTTAAAAATGGATACAGCATCTTATCGTGATATTTTGTCTCGTGATGTTTCTTATCGTCTCACTTACCAAGTATCGCTTTTTTTTAAATTAATTGCTAATGTGAAGTCAAATCTATGATACTGGAAACAGAAAATCAACTGTTTGTCCAGTGAGGTTGGCAGAGGTGACATCATAGAGCAGCAGAAAGTTGGTACAACAAATATAGCAAGACATTAGGAATGCAAGCAGGGCACAAATGAGATGGACCTGACACATAAGGTTTGCAAGATGTGCTACATGACAATAAAATTCTGTGTAAATAAGACAAACATAAAGGGAAGACGAATGCTAAATTAGCTAAACAGTTGAAAAAAATTCTCTAAAGCGCAATGTATTGTATCGTGGCCCAAGTATCGTGATCATATCGTATCCTGGGGCCACTGGTGATTCACACTCCAGGTACAAAAGATCTTCAATTTTCTACCTTCCTCATTCTGCATCTTTTCACCTTATCCTAGCAACAGTATCATGGAGAACGTCACACAGAACTTCAGCTGTTGCCTTGGGTGGGATGTATACAAGTATTGTATCAGTATTGTTATGATATGACTAAACTCCCTTGCAACATCATACTGCCAAAGGGTAACTGCCAACAGATCAATATCTGGACAACACAACTTCTTCTTGACAGTTGTACAAGTTATAAGCTCATCGTAATGGAGTGCAGATATTTCTCTGACTTCTTAGGGACAGGCGAACCAGTCATGGTTTCAGGCAGGAGACAGTTTCTTCATGTGTTCATACTAGAGCTCAAGTTTATTAGTTCATCCTGGGATTTGACTCGGCCTGGTGCATGAAAAATTCCAGATGTTTGGGTTTCGACACATGGAGCTTAGCAGATTGCATGTGACGATACTTGCGAAGCCCCCTCGTTTGCAGCGTTTCTATTTCAGTCAGCTTCAATGCACTGAATCAATGCACACAGGACTATTTAGACAGGCAGTTAAGTTAGAGGTTAGATGTCTGAGTCACAGGTCTCAAATAGACTGAAACAGAAGCGTGTGTTAAATTAGTCCGTACAGTATATATATGCGTGTGTGTGTCAGCTGTAGTTATTTGTTGAAAAGCAGAAATCATAAGCAGATTTACTTCTATTTCGCAGTCATGACTCCTCCAAGAGCGCATCCTCAAGCTGGAGTGAGAGTGCTTACATTCATCCTTATAGCAAAAGTTCAGAAATAGATACAGGCCGGGCAAGTATGTATACAGAAGTGTGTGTGAGTGTGGATGTGTTTTGAGTGAGTGCGGGGTTGATTGAGGGGGGCGTTGTGTCTGGCATTGTGTCCCTCTCACAGTGACGCTCGAGTGTGTAAGAGGCAGTTTAAGAGCGCCAGGGAGATAGTGAGAGTGTGTGAATGGCTTATGAATAGCTGTTGTACATTTGCTTGTATTGCTCTGTTTGGTAACCTTTAACCTTCCCTTTGTCCCCACCCCCACTCCCAATCTCCATTTCAGTGTATTCTGGGATTTGTACTGTGCAGCTCCAGACCGAAGGGAGACATGCGAACACTCCAGCGAGGCTAAGGCCTTCCATGACTACGTAAGTGTTGGACTGGCTCCACAGCATCCCTTTTTTCTCCTTTTCAAAGCGTCCTCTTTTCAGCTGTGGAAACAGGTGCGAGTTTGTTTGTCTGTTTGCTTGTTTGTATGTACACGCTGTACATACTCTGACACAGAGGTCAAGAGTGTCAAGAGGAACATGAAGTGGCACTCATAGTTCGAGGCGGGGGATAATGCGGACCGCAACGATAGAGGCGTTAGATGAACTGAGCTTCGAACTCTCTCATGTTTCCTTGAAAACTACAAATCACAACAGCACCCATGATTCTTTGCATCGCTGTGAAGGAGAGGAAAGTCAGTTTAATATGTTGAATAATTTGTTATTTCTCTGGGGAATAAAAACAAGCTTCATGGATGAAAAACAGACCCATATGTTGAAGTAAACCGATTTAAGCTGCAGATTGTGTTTTCGGTTTTCAGCGCAGCGTTGGTGACACATGTCACAGAATTTAAAGCTCTGTGATTGGATGTCTCATCGCACAATGCACTGTGGGAATTGTAGTGAATTTCCCCCTCTGATATTTTTAATGCCCGAGTCTCGAGTCTAAAACCCCTCAGTTTCTCCAGGTGTCATGGGAGGAAATCATGATCCTAGAGGATCCACCAAGCTGCTCAGAATTCCTGGATGATATGTGCCGTAGAGATCTGAAGAACCTTCGGGACCGCCTGAGTTAGAAAACAGAAAATTCTCATGACTGACATGCTTTGAATTTATCCTTCAGAGCAGTTTTTACAAATGATTTGATCGTCAACACTTCAAGATGAAATGACTCCTCTCCTCCCCTGCTGCTCTCAGGGAGTCAAAGGTCACAGGTCAGCCATGAAGCAGCCTTTCTAGAGTTTGTAGGGATGCAGTGTCTGGATGGAGGACTCTTGAGCAGGACAGGCTACCCTCGAGGCTGAGGTCCAGATTTAATAGCAGTGCCACACAGAAACGCAACAACAGTGTAAATAAGTGTGTGTCAACACGAAGAAGAGAGACTGTAACTGTAGCCATTTGTGTGTAAATGCCGTGTTGTGATTGACACTGTGCGTCTGTCTTCAGCCTGTCCTCTCTGGCCAAGACAGTGTGGCATTGTATATGTGTGTGTGAGCGTGCGCACGTGTGTGTTTGTGTGTGTGCTGTATAGTGTGGGGAGATAATGGAATAGAGTTCTAATCCGGTAATCCCAGCACTGGGCCGAGGCTAAGCCAGGGATTTGTGTGTGTGTGTGTATATATGTGTGTGTGTGTGTATCTTTGGACGAGGGGCATCTTTGGCAACCAGCCCGTTAAAGCAGGGCGGAGGGGCTCACACCCTCAGCGCCGGAGTGCCAGTTAACCCCGCGAATGTGTGTGTCTATATAAATCTAAATGGGTGTGTGCTACATGGTTGCTTGCTGTCAGTGATAAAGCGAAGGAGACGGGACTGGTTTAATTTTGGCTCCAGCCCCCTGAGGCGAGTCTCTGAGCACAGGTCCTTTTCTACGGCTTTCAAAAGGAGGAGACGGTTTGAGACATCGGAAGAATAAAAAAAAAAAAACAATATTTCACCTCACCTCAAAAGAGTTTCTGTCCTTTGAGGATAGGAAGATTGCAAGCCAGCATTTAACGGGCATTATCACAGTTTTCCTCTGCTGAGTGCAGGGACGCAGCGAAGGTTTATGGGTACAGGAGAGGCTGCTAATACCTTATAGGACAACCTGTTAAATTCAAGAAGGCTTTACAATATTAGATCAACAAATTTTGCGGTTATTTAGCTTATTTCACATTTTCATTTGCATTGTACGAACAAATATCTTGTTTCTTAATTGGTGTGTGTTCAGCTGAAGTTGAGATTTAGGTGAGGAAAAGAACGGGTGAAAATCTTTATAAACAAAGCACGTCTTTACTCTCTGAAGGGTCCTACATGCAATTGATTGTAGTGCACCGCCACGGCTAGATAAAAGCCACCACACCTAAAAAAAAAAACGTTTTTATCTCACATAGTTCTACCTCGGACTTATATGTATCAGCAGTTTTCCCCTACATTCATTCACGTGCGCCACTACTGAAGTTTCACATAATCATTATTATCAATGCTCCACAAATAATTGTACTCGCACTGTGTGAGCACAACAACACACCACGTTATTTCCGACTTGTTGTGAGTCATCAAGGAGCGCATCAAATCCTGTCTGACCCTCTCCCGCTAATGTGAAGGGTTACATTTAAGCTTATACACGGTCTGTATAGGGAGTAGCTTGGATAATGTAACATGAATGTAACAACGTAGCTCCATGAGAGGCAAGAGAGTAGGGGTAACAACGACCCCCCAACAAACACACACACCGCCGAAGCTGCAAAAAAATTCTAGGGAAAACACAGATATGATACTTGAGCTTTAAAGTCACTCAGTTATCATCAATTATTAGCATTACAGTAAGTTTGGAAAGACATCCACTGTGGTCGGTGTTCAAAGTTTTGCCTTTTTGATTTGATTTGATACTCGTCGTTTGCATTTGACTTGACTCAAAGTAAAACGTTACTTCACGGGACCAACAAGACTCGATGAAGACATTTGACTTATCTTAAAAATGAGAATCTGCTTAATCTTACGTCTCCAAAGAGCCTAAGGTGACGTCGTAAGTTCCCTCTTCTGTCCAGCAGAATAGAAATACTCTGCATGTACCTGTAGAAATAATAAAGTAATAAATGTATTTGACACATTCTCCTTAAAAGTGATTCAAATACTACTGAAGCAGTTTGCAAATATGACTTCCATGAACTATGCACTGCAGCTCAAGTGCAGAGATGTACAGGCATGTTCACAGTCTTAGATCTTCTTCCAGGAGCTCTCTGTCGACCCGCTGATGTCTTTAATTTCTTATTCTTTTATGAGTCTTGCTCTGATTTCTACCTACACTGTTGCTCCTCACTCTTTCTCCACACATCTGCCCACATTTCACACTTTTCGCACTCTTTCCCCACTCCTCCTTCCCTCCGGTCTGCTCACATCATGTTTCCTTGCTGCTTGTGGTTTTTTTTTTTTTCTGCGACACCCCCACATCTGCATCTTTCCTCCCCTTTTTGCCTCTAACCGTCTTTATTATATCTCTTCGTCTCTCCCCCGCCCAACACAGCAGCGGTCCGCCCTCCCTGGGCTCACCCTCCTATCCTCTCCTCTTTTAAACCCCTCTCTCTCTCATCTGTTTTTCTCTATCTCCTCCCTGACCCCCTCCTCCCTCTGCTCCTCACCACCATTACTACCTCTGCTCCCCAGAGAAGATTGATTGGCTAATCTAGCTGTTTACCCACAATGCCTAGTGGTGCCGAGAAGGAGAGGGCAGTGAAGACACAACCCAGAGACAGTTGAGGTACTCGAAAATAGAGCTGAGTGGGCAAATGTCAAAACAGTAAGAAGAGGAAGGATGGGACTATTTTTCTTTGGGTTTGAAATAAAAGGAACTGCTGAAGGATTTATATAAAATTAGATGAGGTCTTTAAAGAAGATACACACAAATGCATTTTTCCTCTACAAAACAAGCTCACGGTTGCATAAAACAAGGGAACAAAGACTTTTAGTGTGCAATGTTGGGAATATCAGCTCTTTTTTAGCTTTTCCTGTTACCTTAAATGTTCATAAAATATTCAAACCCACACGTGTCGACTGTGGTTAAAAGCTGTCTGTTTTGCTGAAGGTTTGGCAGAAACCAGTGTCTTAACTAACTCCAGCATATCCCTTCACCGCGTTTGATTCGACATCACGCCTGATAAACAACCGGCAGACTTATTTTTCCTCACATCACTTTAACTTTGAGCACATTTCTCTGCAATTAAATCAAAACAAGCCCTGTTCTTCCAAGATGGCCTCAGCCCCAAGCTCTGTTTTGTGTCTTCTCTGCCTTCAGCCGTATCAGTGCGCTGTAGTGGAAAGGAAAAAGTGAAAAGAGCTCCATTAAACTTGATAATTAGGTGGGTGACAGAGTTGGTAAAAACTGCTATACACGTGTTGCACAGCCTGTAAACACGAGTGAAGACGGGAGCTTCTGAGATAATACAAACCTGCAGGAGAGCAGAATCTGGAGTACAATTAATGGATGTAACAAACAACTAATTAATAAAATAAATAATCAGGTTTTCAATGAATTCTTGTGCTGAAATAAACGAGAACACCGATAAAAACATGCACTAGTATTTTTTAAGTATTTATGTTTGTTTGTGACATATTACCTAGCTGCATTAAGTACTTGATTCTGATTGGTTGGTACTCCATAGCAACAGTCTGTTATTTCTCAATAACACTATGTTGCTCGGAAGAACACACTGTTGCTATGGATACCGCTTTAACTCAAGAGTCTTGTGTGCTGGTTGTAATCATGCTAATAAATGATATATTTGATGTTGATTTATTTTAGGATATGACCTGATCCACTGTGAGATTTGTGGTCATGCTAGCTCAACCCATTCACGATACACATAAGTTTTTAGGATTTTTATATCTCATTTTAAAATTTTGAGACAGTATCAACAAAACTCTTCATAAAACAACTAAAGGTTGGTAGAAGAATTCAGAAGGGACCACAGCATGAGTAGCTTACACATTCAGGAAGGCAACGATTAATGCTAGGCGTTGCAGTCAGATGAAATCAAACCTCATTCTGCACTTATTACAACAGAATGGCTCTGGAGTAGAAGAGTCCAGCCGCTACTTCGCCCCTTCCTGCAAGTCCTGACTTTTCACTTACTGAGAGCATTTGACGCATCATGAAACAAAAATTCAACAAAGAAGATCTTTAACTGTTGAGCTGCAGAAATGGGACAACATTTCACTTTTAAAACTCCAGAAACTGTTTTTCTTGGTTTCCAAACTTTTACAGAGGGTTGTTTAAAGAAGAGGTGATGCAACGCGGTGGTAAATGTGCTGCTGTCCCTACGTTTGTGAAAGTGCTTCTGACATCAAATGAAAAATAAACATATTACACATAAAACAGTGAAATTTTCAGTGCAAATATGTGATCTGATGTTTTTGTATGAATAGATATAAGGTTTAAATGGTCTGCAGATGATGCTCTTGTCACATTGATTTAATAAGGGTTATATTGAATATCAGAAACCAGCTGAATTACCATGGTGTCAGGTTCATGTGTGCCTATATTTAAGGTGATATCAGGGGCTGGTTTGTATGCGATTTTGTTTTAAACTGTGATTTTTTTTAAACACTCCCTGAGATACAATCAGCTATTTTTCCGAACACCAATCTTAAGTTATATTCTGAGTTGTTTTCCGTCTTTTCATATTCTTCTCTTTCATCCTCTTTACCATCTCTCGGGAGTCTTGGCTAAGTGGATGTTGTGTCTGCAACATGTATTAGTGCTGTCATCCTCTATGTGTGTGTGTGTGTGTATTTGCATGTGTGTGTCAGCATGCGCACCAATCTGTCTGTCTGGTTTCAGTACTGCTACCTTGGCAGCAGCTTTTTGGGAAGCGTGTGTGTGTGTATGTGTATGTGTGTGTGTGTGTGTGTTTGGTGTGCCAGTTTTGAGGACCAGCTGGGCTTTCAGAGATTTTGTGCATGTGTGTGTGTTTGTGTGTATATGTGTGCATTTGTTTGTCAGACGTGTTGGTAAGAGTTGCAGCCGTGTCCTGTTGCTCCATAGAGAAACACACTGTTTTGACTGGGCCGATAAATTAGCCAGATGACTGCAGTCAGCTATTTTTCCTCCCATCTCCACACCCTCGCGCTCCTCTTTCCTCACTCCCCCGCCTCCCCCCGTCTCCCTCCCTCTTTCTGCACGCTAAGGACAGCAGGTCAAGGAGACAGTGATGAGGTACATATCAGTGTGAACCAGAATGTAGATTAGTAGCCTCTCCAGGCAGAGACACACATAAATACACGCACACACATGCATACAGATACATCCTCTGTCTTTTCCTAACTGTCTCCCCCTCCACCCACTGTTTATGTCTCTGTCTTTATCCCTGTGAAAGGTATCAGGCGGAGGTCAATAATGTGTTGAGCACTATTGATCTGTCCGGTAGGTCCTATGGGTGAGGCAGAGGGAGAAGGAAATGGAGAGGGAGGGATCAATGCTAGTCTTTAGAGCACATCTACGTACTGTACCGCACCGGCCAATCAGATCATTAGTCTTTTGTTCTCTGATGGATTATTCATCAACATTGTGGCTTCGTACTAAAGAGGGAAAGCAAGAACAACACGGTGTCCTCACAGAGTGCAGCGACTGAGGATCAAGGCTCTTGAGTTATAAATATTTTCCTGTTACGGTAGTGCGTCAGAAAAGGGGATAAAAAAAAAAAAGACGGATTTGAACTTTGGGTGACATCGAGAATTTCAGTATCGGTAAAGCAATTAGTTTAATGGAAAGGAAATTGACAGCAAGTCTAGAAATCGAGTGTTTGTTTTCAGTATTTGTGATCTGAAAAATCTTTCTTGTAAGCATCTTTTGCACTTTTTTGGGGGGTGGGCTTTGACATTTAAAAAAACAAAAACAAATGAATGATGTAACTTTGGGCTTGAGGAAAAACAAGATACGAAACATTTTTGTTTTCACAGAGGTCTTTTTGAACTTGAGGAAGTTGAGATTAGTGTTTTCAGCATGTTTTGATACCCAGTCAACTCATCAATTGATAATGAATTGTTTAATAGTTTATTAAAGATATTCTAAGTTGCATATTTCAGGATTATGAATGCAGCTTTTTAAACTTAAAGGGATATTGTGGCGTAAAATTAATTGAGGGGCAAACACACCGTAACACAGAGTTAGACACCCCGTCGAGAGATGAATGTTGCCGACCACTTGCTTCTCTAGTTATACCAACTCAAATTTTCCTGATTTCTTAAGCAAAGAGACTAAACACAACTCACCGTCTCTCTTCCAGCAGCTGCTTGTTTGTAGCGAGACCTCGGGCCAGTCCAGTACGGACTGCTGTGGCGTGACACAGCTCAAAGAACTGCAGACACGGTAGTTCTTCTGCCTTAGCGTCTCGGTCTGATTGCATTTCCATAAAGAAATGATCATAAATGTTCTTCCTTGAGCTGCGTCACCCCGCCTCAGTTGATGATGGACTGGTCAAGGTCTCGTTACAAACAAGCAGCTGCTGGAAGAGAGTAGGTAAGTTGTGTTTAGTCTCTCTGCTAAAGAAATTAGGCAAAGCTAAAAAAGATGTTTGATGAGTAGTACTGTAGCTGGGATCCTATATGTACTGTTGATCAAGTTAGGTGCTGTTCTGAGCATTATTCGTGGCTATAGAGTGACGTTTTGGTTGAGATTTGTTTATGGCTCCTTAGATCGCTGTGTATTGCTATCGTGCGGTCGTCACTAAAGTTGGTGTAACTAGAGAAGCAAGCGGTCGGCAACATTTATCTCTTGACGGGGTGTCTAACTCTGTGTTACGGTGTGTTTGACCCTAAATTAATTTTATGCCAGAATATCACTTTAAAGCCAGATCTAAACCTGCTTTTCTAACAAGCATATTGATGAAAGCTAGTAGGAGGCTGGAGTGTCAAACTTGTTGTTGAGCCTATCAGTGCAGACAAAGTATAATTTAAACTACTTTATGGTGATGTTTCACATAGATATAGAGTCAATCACAGACTAATTACACTAAAACAGCAGTAATTTAAAATACCGACTAGAACCATTTACTCCATCTTCCTTTATTCACTCTAAGAGCTTTGATTTTATTTTACATGCTGAACTGAACTGAAGACTTCAACTAGGCGTTGAGTATTTTAACAGTATTAGAAAGTAAAGGATCGGAGCTCTTTAACCACTCGCAGGTTATCACAGACTGCAGATCTAATTGGTCATTAGAATACAAGAATGTACACGCTGATAATCCAGTTTGACGGTCGTTTGTCTTCCCATAGTTAGCAGTCTAAATATTGGTGTAAAGAAGCTGAAAGTGTTATATAAAAACGCTCAGATTGGCAGTTCTTCGCTCAAACCCACTGAAGCCACAACGGTGCGCCACAGCTCAGGTCTGAATTCTGGATACTGTATTATTGATGTTCAGGTAGCTCCGAAACTTGAGTAATATTATTTCTGCGTGGATGTGGCTCCAAGACGCGTTGACACCGTGTTTGCGCAGCGCTGCCGAGGAGGACCATTAAAATATAGTTCACAGTTTAAACAGTGTAAATATTCTCAGACGTTTGAAAATGTGTCCCGTGGGTTTCGTTGAACTTTCAGCCCGCTTCAATGAAAGAAACGTATTCTTCTCCTTCCTGCTGCATGTCAGGCATTAAAGCCTGTTTTAGGTTTCTGCTGCCACCCAGAGCTCACACTTACAGACTTCCTTTTCTATACATCCAGCCGGGGAATGAATAATTCAGCTCGACTACAAACACACATGTTCATTATATCTACTAATTAGTTCAGCACCGTTGTCTGCTGTGGACGGACTGTCTGCTTAGCTTCTTCCTTCTTCTCTTTTTTTTTTTTGTCTTAAAAGTACCTGTACTCACACCTGCATTTTCTGTCAACAGCTTTTGTTTACCTGCACCAATGTCAACAAGATGAATTCCTGTAGATTTATTTACATGCCGAGAGTTTTCCTGATTCTTGTCACAAGGTTCGCTGACAGTCGTCTACTTCTAAGCAGCGAGTTAAAATGAAAAGATAGAAACAGGGCGCCACAGTAGAAACCGAAACGGCACTGTTCGTATCCGATTTTGTTTTTCCTCGGGCTAGTTGGTTTTAATAAAGACCGACTGAATACTAAATCTACCTTTTGCTGGTGGCAGCTCCACTCAGCGTGCTTTTAACTCGCTTTCAATGACAGTCAGCAAACAGTGAAACACACAAACAGATAGTAGATCATTGACAGTCTACATAGCAATAACATGAGCGAGTGATTGTTAGTGAACAGAAATCTTCCTCCTGGAACCATTTTCCTCTTCGATTTTTTTTTTCCTCCTCTTCTGCCTCACTCTTGTATCTTCTAACTCACTCTCCTCTCTCTCTCTCCTGCATCTTCTTATTCTCTCTTTCTCTCTCTGTCTTTGCGCTCCTGGAGCGGGGGATGCCAGGGGGACAGAGTGCAGATAGGACCTGTCTCCATGGCAACAGCTTCTGCAAGCTGCTGACACCCTACTGTGGGGGGGGGGCGGAGGGGCGGGTTGGCTAAGGGGAGGAGGGGGTGTTGTGATGGGGAGGAGTAGTACAGGGGTTGGGGCATGGGGAAGGTGTATGTGTGTCTTAACTGTGTGTGTGTGTATGTGTGGAGGGGGGGGTGTCAGGAAGAGGAGGAAAGATGGAGGGAAAAGTGCAGAAGGAGAGAAGGAGGAGGAGAGGATGCAGGAGGAGGAGGAGGTGGAGAGAAAGAGGCAGCCGACCCTGCTTCTTCCCCTGGGACTCAGCGGCCTGCTCATGTTCACTAGCAGAATTAGCATAAAGATGGGGGGAGGTGTGTGTGTGTGCGTGCGTGTGCATGTGTGTGTGTGTTTTCAGTTAATGTGTGTGTTTCAGATAGGAGGAGAAGGGCAGCGGGTGTGTTTGTGTACATGCGTGTAATTGGCAGAATGCGTCGTTGTCCAAGCATACAGTATTTGTCACATGGATGTAGTGTGTTATCAGGTGTGTGCGCTGGTGGAGCTCCGTTTGTGTGCGTGTGTGTGTGTGTGTTTTGTGAGAACGCCTTCCTCCCTTGGGTCTTAACCCCCCCCCTTCCCCTGTTCTGGTCCTGTAGCCTGCGGTTCTCCCCTGTCTGCCTCTCTGTACTGAAGGGCTGCACTTTATGAGCCTGTGATGCAACTCTTTGTGTGTCTCTGTTTGTGCGTGTGTGTGTGTGAGATGTTTGTGCGTTCGTAGGCTTGCGTGCATGTGTGTGTTTGTTCCGCCGTGCTTATGTAAGCACTCCGAACACGCGTCTCCATCTATGTGTGTTGACAAGAATACAGTTATATCATATTTAACTCCCGGGCTGAATCATTCACCCCCTCTCCTCTAGCCTAGATTCTATTTTGTTTTTCCATATTGTCTGAGTGACGCGAAGGAGGCTGCAAACAATGAGACTGTCTTTACATGAAGTGACCACATCACCAGCGTAGGCTTCTAAAAGTTAGCAATTTAGTGATTTTTAGCGTCTTTTTTCATTCCGATTTGAACCAGTCTGTGCCAGCGCTGACTCACATGCTACTAGCTTAAAGTTTCGTACCACTAAAAGAACAGAGACGATTAAGAGTGGAGCGCCAGTTTGGCCTACAGGTAAAAATCCTCTCACTAAGGCCGTAAAAGCCCCGAATTGAACTTTAAACAACTACAAATCTAGCTCAACTCATCCTGTGACACAGCTCAATATTTTGGGTTTATGACACAGAGTTTAAAGTTAAAGCTCCTGTGAAGAGTTTTTAGGGTTTACAAAATCAAACGAGGCCATTAAAGACAAGACTGGTGGGGGTTTTTTTAATTTGCTAACACCTCAAACTAGCATGAGGGGTTTGGTGTCGGTCAAATCACCCAATAGTCCTCTTCATCGGTTTCATGAAGGAAACTTTTCTAAGGACCGGGTTGGCGCGTAGAGGTTCTAATAACAAAAACCTTAATCAGTACATAGTATGTAATCTGGATACAACAATTACATCTTATATTAAGCACTTTTCATTACACTTTAACATCAACTCACCATAATGCAGAATCAACCCTTCCTCTCTCCGGTGAACTCTGTTTCTGGCTCATGTTTGCAAGGGCTATGTGTCGCTGATGCAGGAAAATGACGTGCCAAAGAGTCAAGCGCGCAAGTGATGTGATGTCGGAAGTGATGGTCTTTCAAAAATGTAATCATCAATATTTTTTTGCGGTACTAATTGATCCACGACCCTGTGACGTAGAGAACAGAAGGGCATTTACAGCTTTGCCAGCAGGGGGCACCAAAAATGATGCAAACCAAAAGTTTCTCAGAGGAGCTTTAAGAGATGCCTCTTCAAACTTTTGTACCAGCTCTACTTTTGAGGCACTTTCGTTCCTTGTTTTGATGACTAACGTGCTTTTATTTTGAAAGGATGCAAAATATCTCTTAAAGAGGCCAAAGCACGCAGGTTTTGACATGCAATCAATTTTGCAACGGATGTTAGACGTGTGAAGAGTTGAGGAATAGAGCTCCAAAGCACAAAGTGCCCTCTGCTGTTAAAAAAAGGGCATCACTGATTTTTGTCAGCCCTTGTCAGTGTTGATTTTTAATTGACTCGTAAGGTGATGTGACATACTTAAACACAACCATCAACTTCATATGTATAAAGATACAATCATAGCTTAAGCTTGGAAAATGCACGGACCTCTTCTGTGCTCAGTACAATCAACATTAGTCCATTAAAAATTTGCACAAACTCGCTGGTGTTAAAATGATGACATTGAGTTTTACTAATGGAAGAAACACTCCAGTCTCGTCTTATTTGCTGATGACATGTGACTATATTTGAGCCTCTTTTTCCTCACAATAAAGATAAAATGTTTGATCAAGTTCAAGAAATTTAGTCGTTCAAAACATAGACGCAGTTTCTAAGACTGTGTAAGAACTGATTATGCCAGTCTAAGGTGTATATATGTTTTAACTGACAGAGATTCAAGCATGCTGATTGCATCTTATCCCCCTTCAGTTAAGTTAATATTTGTTGTGGGAAAAGTACCAAAGGCTATTTTTGAGCGTACCCTCCCCCCTCTCTAACCAATCATTTCAGTTTGTTTCATAACCAATCCAAAATTCTTAGCAGGAGCTTTAATTTGTTTGATATAATGCTGGTCATTGTCCTTTTGTATTCTAGCCGTGTGAACTCTGGTTTCTGATACTGAAACAAAAACATACAGAAGGTCTGAAGCTGTTATTTCTGTTTTTCTTCACACTTGCACTAATAAGTTTTAAATTAAATTAAGGAGAACAAACAGGTTGTGTCGTTTCGAAAAGCACGTCCTCTGTCTTCATAAGAGAGCAGACTCTTGTAGAAAATAAACCGGACCGCTATTTCCTTTTTAATACCCTCAACAGACGATAATTTGCCTTCTGCAGCCTCCACCACCACCACAGGAAAGGAGTAAAAAGCCAAAACGTCTGTAAATGAACACTTTTCTGAATTAAACTTTGGATGAGAAGGGGGGCAGGACTTTGCTGTGATTGCAGGTACAGACACTGCCCCCTGTAGTCATTTGTTAGGCAGTGCATCATGAACACACATCTGTGAGGGGGAAGTCAGATACATGCACGCATTGACAGGCACTCATTGACAGTTTGAGCACCAAACGCCATGATCTGATTATCATGTTTGTGTGTTTCAGAGCGCAGCGGCGGCGCCCAGCCCTGTGATGGGCAACATGCCCCCCAACGACGCCATGCCAGGTGGTCCCATGCCCCCAGGCTTCTTCCAGGTAAGATTGACCCCCTTTTTGTCACTCTTTGATCCACTCCTCCATCTCTACATCACCTGTAAACTCACTCTTTCTTTTATTTTTCCATCCGCGCATTACTGACAACAAAAACGACACTATCACACCCAGATTTTGGGAACTTTCAGGTATCCTCATCAAATATTTAGTATCAGAGAGTTCCTGGTAATTAGAAGTTAAAGTTTGATCAGATGACACCATGATTCCAGCTCTCCCACTTGTTTTTTTTACTTTCTTCTAACATCATTTATTCCACTCTTGATATTTACACCCACCAAAGCCTGTGATGTTCACGTCCCTTCATTCATGTACGGCTCGCCCTCGCCGGGCCGCAGTTTGTCCGATTCAAGATCCAGCCGCTCCCCCCCCTTCCTCCCCTGTTTTCATCCTCTCTCCGCTCCCCCATCTCCATCCCCGACTCCGTCTCTGACCCGTCTCGGCTCTGTGAAGGGAAAGGTTTTTTAGTGTGGGAGATGGCTGTCTGAAGAGAGAGGAGAAAAGAGACACACAAACGCACTCGCACGCACACAATCATCCGCGGCGAGGCAGCGGTGTGATGGACAGCGCTGGCATTTGGCAGGAGGCACGATAAGGTGGTGGAGAAGAGCAGAGGAGGAAAAAGCTAGTTGAAGGATAGAGAGAGAGAGAGAGATGAAGAAGAAGAGGAGGAGGAGGAGGAGAAGAAGAGAGGGGAATGTGAAAGATCAGTGCCACCAGGATTGTGGCCCTATGTTTGTTTCTGTGGCGACCTACCACTCCATTGTTTGCTCGCTGAGATCGAGGCGACGTGCAAAAGGGGGGGGGGTTTGTGAGTGTACGACTGTGAATAAGCTAGTGGAAAGGTAGGGGGGAGAGAGGGTGAGGAGAGATGCATGGAAGCTATTTATAACATTGGTGGGGGAGTAAGATTGGGCGAGGGTTTGTGTGTGTACTAGTGTGTGTTTGTATGTGTGTGTGTGTGTGGTGTGTTCAGGGGACCTTATTGTACCAGAAAGCTTTGGTTCTCTGCTGCTGAAGTGCTCATCATCATTATTAAGAGGTTTCCAGACCTGTTTCAGTTTCATACCTGAATACCTTCAGCGATTCATCTCTTTGGAGAAGTAAACTCCTTCTTTTGAATAATTATCTTTCTTTTTTTTTTTTCCTCATAAGAGAGGCACAGGAACAAAATGGTAAATAATTTTGACACAATCAGCTGTACAGGAACTTTTGCTGAATAAATTGAGCAGACATTTACATAATTTGGATTGAAATCAAGAGCTATCTGACCAAATAATGAGCAAAAGGAGGGAAAAAAAAGAAGAGAAGAAATAATTTACATTATTAATTTTCTTCTGTTTTTCTCTCAGAAGCCTCTCGACTCGCATGTTTCATGAAGCCGGAGGTTATGTTAGATGTTCGAAAGCTCCTCACATTGATGTTTTTAAAATGCATGTCATTGAGGGGACGATATATATATATAGTGAGTAGGTGGTTGTGCGAATTAGAATATCTTTGTGGTGAGCTGAAAGAAAACTCTCGTCCTGCTCATTACCCAGGTTTTTGTCGACATCTCTGTCTTCATTCAGCTCTCTTGTCTGTCAACTTTTCACACTGTTGCTTTATTATTTCAGTGATTTAAAGTTTCTATGAGTGACTTTTGGCTGGAGTTGGTTTTGTTGCCCCTTGTGGACAAAGTGATACCTCTTATATCTTCTCCTGTGAACATGAAAGAGTGAACTTTAAGGTTAGCGATCGTCTCCTCTGAGCTAGATTTGGTTCCAGATGTTCTGCGCCTGCTCGGTTTGATCACTTTTGTGTCTTTCGTGGATTTGATGTCACCCTTAAACTCACGCTTGCTCTAGTTTGCCGCAGGTTCACAGTAAAACCCACGGAGGCAAGTCCTGACGACAGGACAGGAAAAAGGGAAGCACTTGGGAAGAGAAACTGTTGCGGAGTTATTTATTAGGGGTCATTCACCTCTTGTCTGGGGGTGAAATGTCAGCAGTAACACAGCAGTGAGCGGAGAGGGTCGGGGGTTACTTTCATACACCGTCACGGAAAAAGGAGGCTCACAAAAAGCAGGAAAAAAGCTCCGATCTTTGGTTTGCTCTGGTTCAATCATTGAGGTTTTCAGTCACCGCTAGTGCCTGTCCTGCTGCTGCTGCTGCTGCTGCTGCTGCTTTGCCCTGTTGCAGCGATCCTTTGGCAACACTGCCCCCATGTGGTTGAGACTGGAGCTACATGTAGTCCTTCTACGGGGGGGCCTTGAGAATCATCTCCACACATGTTAAAGCCATCCTGTAGAATATCTGTGCTTAACTTTAGAGGAGAAACTCTCAGACTGTTTCCTGTTGTGCTTTGGCTTTTAATTCTGTGCTTTTCTAAACGACCTCATCATTCAAACTGCAGATTTTTCAAACGAACCCCTCAGCTGTATCCATCTCCCTGCTTCTCCTCCCCCCTAACCTCAAGAATCCCCTCAAACTCCCACTCCTGTCCTCCTCTTTCTCATGATTTTGATCGGGTAACTCCTCCAGGTGTAAACCCCCTCCTCCTCCCCTCCTTACTTCCCTCTTTGGCCCCTCCCCTCTCTGAAAATGCTCTTCTTTCTTAAAGGGACCACCCGGCTCTCAGCAGTCCCCCCACGCACAGCCCCCCCCACACAACCCCAGCAACCCTATGATGGGACCCCACGGCCAGGTAAGAGGCAAACACTTTCTCTCAAACACCCCCTCTCTCTGTCATCCCCCCCCAAACCTCCCCCTCACCCACACACACTCACACAATCTCCCCCCTTCCTCTCCATTCACGACTTGCACACTTCCTCCTCTCCTTCACCTCCTTCCCTCGAGCGCAGTCAGCTCCTGCTCTGCTCTGCCTAGCTCCTCGTAGACCCCTCCAGCCGCTGGCTCCTCCTTTCTTTTTTTAGGAACCCTGGCAGCGGGCTCACAGAGGCCCGGCGTCGGCTGTCCCTGTGTGGGATGAATAATTCACTCCTCGCCCCGCCCCCCCGGAGCAGCTTGTGGGGGGTTGCACGCTTATGTGCTCCTCCACACTTTAACACACACACACGCACAAGCGAGCACACTCTCCTTCCTCCTCTCCGCTCCGCTCTGCCTGCTCACTCCTTCTTGAGCTTCATAAATAAAACAGGGGACAGGCACTATGGACATGACACATATACGTATAACTTATACATCTACTTTACACGCACAGGGCGGGTCAGATAGGAGAGTCTTCATCTATCTTTTCACTTATCCTGAACAGTAGCCACACATGATGACACAGAGGAAAAGCCTCTGCCCGTTTGTTACCCGCAGCGGGCCCAGCTCTTCATTCATGCGGTTTCTGGTTTCCGTCTGCTTTGTGAGAGAGTGTGGACATGCTTCCTCTTAGGTTTTTGGACAGTGTTTGTTGGCCGGGGGTGTCTCTCACTACGCCAGGCAGACCACAGGCGAATCAGCTTACACCACAGCGAGAGCCGGCAGGGAGCGCAGACACACAAATCCATGTGCTTGGAGTCTGTGTTCAAGCAGGCAGCGTTAAATCAATTAAACACAAACTCTCGCTCTCTCTCGTGAAGCTGTTGTGTTTCAAGTCGGATGTGTAGATGATGTTTGTCCGATCCCTCAGTGTCATTTTTTCGTTCTTGAAGCGCACAGCGAGTGTCCATCTGTGTGTCCTCAGTGCTGCCTCTGTCTGAGTGCTCTGGTTGTATCAATAATGAAAATGTTTTCTCTCTCTCTCTGTCCCTTTTTTACCCCTTTTTTCCCCTCCCAACTCCCCCTTTCCTCCCTCTTCTCTCCATCTTTCTCCTCAGCCATTCATGTCACCACGGTATCCTGGTGGACCGCGTCCCACACTCCGAATGCCAAATCAGGTACTGGAGCTCTTTTTTCTTTTTTCTGCTGATATGTCGTCTTTACTCTCCTTTATCGATTTTTGACATTTCCGTAGATCTGTGCTGCCAAAGATGAGTCTCTATTTTAATCCGTTTCCATATCTGATTTCCTTTCAGCCTCCAGGTGGAATCCCCGGATCTCAGCCTCTCCTGCCAAACAGTTTAGACCCAACAAGACCGCAAGGTTAAAAAAGTTTGCTTATTCATTCGAGTATTTTATGTTTATGATAGACTGTGTGTGAGGCACAGTCTATCATAGTTTATCTACAGGATAAATTTTCAAACAAAAGATCAGTTCAAAAACTGTTTTCAGAGCTGCTTAGCCAATTTTGAAAATGGCCTTCAGTTTTGACTGAGCTTTTTGTTTCTATCTTTTTCCATGTGCTTTGGGACTATATGCCAAAGCACTTTGTAAACTTCTCTTTTTAAAAGTGCTATACAAAGTTATTATTATTATTATTATATTTTATTATTTTTTAGTATTTTACTTATTTTTATCATTATTATTATTATTTTGTGGCCTATTGAGGTGTTTACATGCAAAGAAAAAAAAAAGAAAAGCTTCAAGGAATTCGTCTCACAGGGTTTCTACACAGGTATGGAAAGTATGGAAATAAATTTGATCAATTTCCAGGTCTTTAAAATGTGTGGAAAATGACAAATATAGTATGGAAAAATAATTATGTTTCCAGACTATAACCACATTTCTAAAATACTGTTTTCTGAAAGAGAAAAGTAGGTATTTCCAAACATAATTCTAAAATTTAGGTATGGAAAAGTATGGAAATTCCAGCTGTGTAGGAACCTTGTCTTCATCTGGACTTGCATGTTTCCACATATTTAAAGCTCTTATAAGGGATTTTTTTAAAGTTCATGAAATTGACCGAAATTACCGTTCTTGCCTTTTTACATCAAACAAGACTTTCATAGAGAAGATTGACTGTTTTTGCACTGTCAGTTTTCATCCCTGAAACTGGTGTTGGCAGAGACGCTAAAGATGAAGCCCCTGTTTTTATGTTTTCCTCATTAAATATAATAATTGAAAGATCTGACTGTCAAAATGCTGCCGAATTAGATTTTTTTAGACTGAAAATATGACTGCGGCACACCGAGGACAAGCAATGCAAATGATTCTGCTTGTTTCAGAAATGTTATTGATTATGAAAAGAGGGAAAAAGAAATCCAGGTTTAAACTGTCACCACTTTATTCAATCTCTAATCTAGCTGAATTTTTGTTCTCGTGGGTGTCTGGCTCTTAAAGGAGTCCATAGTGATTTTAGCTGCAGATTACAATCTCACAGGGTCACAGGGTGAAATCTAATGAGATTAGCGAAAAGCATCGTCTGCAGCACGTCTTAATTCTGGCTCTGAGGATGGAGCCGTATGTGGATTTACACGAGCAGTCAGTGTGTGACCCTGTCGTCTGTTCTTGCAGGACATCCTAACATGGGTGGACCAATGAGGATGAACCCTCCTCGAGGGATGGCCATGGGCCCACAGGTAACCAGAACATGCTGAACCAACACAGTCATTTATTTGTTGAAGATTTAACAGTGAAGTCACTTTTGTTTTGGATCCATTAGCTTGCATGAAGTTAATTTTCTTTTTCTGTTTGTTTTTGTGCAAATCTTGAAAGTTAATCCAAGGGACACATGATTTAAAAGCTGAGATAGGCCCAAACTGGATCAAATTGGTTCATAAAAGCTCAGATATTATGGGAAATAAGAGATAAATATCTCACCACGTGTTTTTCTCACAATCTGTCCTGCAGAATTATGGAGGTATGAGGCCTCCTCCGAACTCAATGGGCGGCCCAATGCCAGGAATGAACATGTAAGCGTTTTTTTAAAGGGTTGATAGTGAAGTTGAGAGTTTTTCTTCTATTTTCGTACTCTGACTGTGTTTCTGTTTACCTTTTTCTTGGTCTCAGGGGTCCTGGAGGAAGAGGGCCTTGGCCAGGACCTAACGCTAACTCTGTGAGTCAGACCCCCCATACACTTTAGTTCAGTCCACTTTGTAAAGATCTCATTCTAACCTGATTACCTCTTCCTCCTTGCAGATAGCCTACTCCTCCTCATCTCCAGGAAACTACGTGGTGAGTCCAGATCTTCCCTGAGCGCACTTTCTTATCACACTCCTTTATTCTTGATCTGCTGTAACCTCCTGAAATCTGTCGTTCCTCAGGGTCCTCCAGGAGGAGGAGGTCCACCCGGAACTCCCATCATGCCCAGCCCAGGTGGTGCGTCACCTAACTATGTCCCCAGCACTAACACTTGTGTCTAAGACAGTCTCATCCTCCCCTCACTAAACAAGCATGACTCTCCTCACACCAACCAACCAGTTTTTTCATTTATCACATCTGCAGCTTCTGTCATGAGCGACCTTCTTTAATAGGATGTCGCTAAAGTTTCTTCTTGTCCGTAGATTCAACTAACTCCAGTGAAAACATCTACACGATGATGAACCCCATCGGACCAGGAGGCAACAGACCCAACGTGAGTTTGAAGTCAGGTCTCTAAAAGCAGAGGTGGGGGAAAGTCCCTATGTTGCAGGTCCAAGTCAACACAGACAAGTTTCGAGTCAAGTCCAAGTCCTTACCGTTTCTTTCAAGTCAAAAACAAGTCATATCAAAGCCATAAACCATTTGTTATATGTAAAGATTTACATAAATCATGAGCATTTTTCACTATTTGCATTTATTATTAAACAAGGGTTCTTGTTAAGTTACATAGTGCAGCTTTAACCAAACTATTTTACATGTCATACAAAAAATAATCAGATAAATTTCAATAATTGGAAACTTATACAATTAAACATTAAACTGATACTCTAATTCACTGTTCCAAAACAAAACAAAAGAGAGACACAAGGCAACACGCGGAAACAGGCGGGCAATACTAGCGAGCAATTTATGTTCAGTCCTTCTGGTGTTGTCGTTATGAGGGAGGCTAGAGTTTGAGACAGTGTTGCCAAGTTTCGTGAGAGAAATAAGGAAACAGACCTCCAGAAACAAGCAAATTTCTTTTTGCGGGAAATAAACAGACTTGGCAACACAACACGGTGTTACCAACGGCCGTAATTCTTGACTATTAGTTGATGCGACACTTTTTAAACGGTTTGGGCTTTCTGTAAGGTATTAAGTGACTTGAAAAGACTTGACTTTTCAAGTCACTGGGCTCAAGTCAAGTATCAAGTCTTTAGCAATCGAGTCCCGAACAAGTCCAAGTCATTTCTTGATTTCATCAAGCAAGTCAAAAACGGGACTCAAGTCCAAGTCGAGTCGTCAAGCCCCCACCTCTGTCTGAAAGGTTCAACCTCCCAGGTTCCGACTCTCCACGTCTGTTAAGAGCTCAAACTCTGGGTGCTGCTGTGATAATTAAAGCTGCACAAACTGAGCCTATCCAGCTCAGATCGGCTCTGCAGCAACCATCCTGAGCTCAGCAGAAAACAGAGGAAAGAAAAATGAAGTAGTCCAGACTTCAACCTGGAAAGACTGAGCGCAGAAAAAGTAAGAAATGTCAATTTTAAGGTTTGTTTTGCAATTTTTGTTTCGTCAGTTCCCGATGGGGCCGGGGCCTGACGGGCCAATGGGAGCTATGGGAGCCATGGAGCCACATCACATGAACGGATCACTAGGTGGGTTTTTATAAAGTGGATTCACCGAAATTTTCTGGATTGAGATCAACTTAAATTGACTCCCCTCTCTTCGCCTTCCCTCAGGGTCTGGGGACATGGACGGGTTGCCAAAGGTGAGTTTAAATCAGGTTTTTTAACAAACTCCTCTTGTTTGCTAAGCGTTCGTGTCGTCTATCATCTATCTTTCTCATCGTGTGATTTTTTTCCTCTCTACTTCCAGAGCTCCCCAAATAACATGGGGGGCATGAACAACCCTCCTGGGACGCCGAGAGATGACGGCGAAATGGGCGGCAACTTCTTGAACCCATTCCAAAGCGAAAGTGTAAGTAGAGCGAGTGGTTGACATCTCACAGCCCTTAACAGTCCTCCTCAACGCCCTCACATAAACCAGTGGATAAATGCAAGCAGAGGGTTGAAACTATCATACCCCGAAACTGTGTGTCCTCCCTTTTTGTTGACTTTTTTTAAAAATGGCTTCAGAATAATTCAGGTAGTAGAGACTTTTTGACATTACTTTTTTGCTTTTCTATTCCAAAAATTAAGTTTTTCAATATAAGCACTGAGAAATATCTCGAAAACATCTCGATCTGACCTGCGGTTTATTAGCTTCCCACATGCATCGCACTTGTGTGATGTTCTGCTTGCATTCTAGCCGCTTACTAATCACGTAGTTCATTGTTTACCCTCTGTATCAGTGGTCAGTGCTTTATTTTAAAGGCCAGTTTCCATATTAAAGAAAATGTTGAATGTCCTTTTTAAGTTTGAGTACAAAGTAGATGCTAAAGTCACTTAAGATGGCGGTAACAGTAGGAGTGAGAAAGTGAGTTCTCTTTCTTGTGTCTTGTAAGACTGTGACGGTCTCTGATCCCTGACCTGGAGAGCCACATGGGTGCAAATCGAGTCAAGCCATAAAAAACTTGAAATTTCAGAATTTAGTGTGGGGGAATAGCAGCTTCGGGTCGAGGAAAAAAGCTTTGTTGTCTTGAATTTAAAAAAAGAGATGATATTAGTTCATGGAACAACAACATGAAATCACTAAACTGAGGAAACCAGAGGAGATGGGTGTACAGGTGCACGTCTGCACGTCTGCTCAGGGCTTCGGCACTTTTCTTGGTCTAAAAACAAAATTTTGTGTTTGGATGAACTTTTACAGCAGAACTTTTACCAAAACTCAGATTTAGACTTTGAATCTGACCGAGATTGTCGGCTCTGAACAACTCTCTCTGATCCTCTTAGAATTCTTGACTCAGGTGTATTTGCTGGCTCTGGTCTGTGTTCATGTAGCTCTGCAGTGCTGGGTGTGAGCGCCCTCTGGTGTTTAAATGTTGTCGGTGACATATCCACTCATCCTCCCCTTCCCTCTCTCTCTCTTTCAGTATTCACCCAACATGACGATGAGTGTGTGATTTTATTTTTCCTCTTTTTTTGTACTTTTCTTTACCCCCTCCTCTATTTTTGAACCCCCTGCACCTGATGTTTTTTTTTTTTCTTCAAATCAATCCTTACTTCACCTCGGATTGGACCACCTCCCCTTCCTCACACACAAAAACACACACAAACATCTTCTGCCTCCAAATCCTCCATACGGGATCCTCCGCTCTCCACCCCTTCCCTTATCCCCCCCACCACCCCAAATTCTCACTCGGGACTCTGCGGCCACGCGCAGCCTTCCGGGACGGCCCTTGAGCATGCTGGGACTCTAATTAAGACGGGCCCTCCTGGAGCGTGCAAGATGGCCACTGCTCTGAACAGGAAGCAGTCACAGAGCAACAGGAAGGGCCTCCTCTCTGACTCCGGCCCCGGCCTCCCTGGCTTCCTGTCAGGTTCTAGACAATGAGCGAGGGATGGAGGACAAACAGAGAGAGAGGTAGAGAGGAGACTGATAACACAGCCCTCCACAGTGCTGGATCTTTAAGTGGCTGCCTGGAAGCTTCTCCACCACTCTGGATTTTAAACGTTTTTATTTTTTTTTGCTGCTCCTCTTGTCGGATTTAGTTGAGGGTCCAACAAGTGGACCCCTTAACCCTCCATCTTGTTCTCTCTGTGTGTACATTTTTAACAGAGGTGTTGTGATGATCAGTGAACTTTTATTTTTTTTTGTTTTCCTTTTTTTTTTTTTTTTTTGTGTATGTATTGTATCATTGCTATTTTTATTATTGTATTATTGTTATTAATGAAATCGTTCTGATCATTTTAAATTAGGTTCTAATTTGTTGTCGTTTTAAGGGCACATTCTTGATGTTATGAAGACAGCAAATGTGCGCAAGTCCGAATTAATTCGCTGTGTTAACATGCGGCACCATGTGCGCACACTGCCCTCTGCAGGCCACCCATCACGGTACTGTTTTATCGGCCTCTTAGTTTGTTTTTTTTAGAGTTTTTAAAATCATCAAAAATCTGAACATCCTGATCTTTGATTTCAGAAGAAGAAGAAGAGGCGGCTCCTGCTTTTTTAAGTAGCTTCCATGCAGTGAAATGCACAGCTCTATTTATTTATGTACTTTAATTTGTCTTATTGTTCCTTTTTTTATTTTAAAGTGTTATCCCTGTTTTTTTCATTAACCGCAGAACTCGTAGCAAGTGTGTAAATATGCAGATCAAGGCAGCAGCGTCTCCTTATTACACCCCACTTTTACCCACCTTACCGTGATTTTTATGCTGCTTCAACACCCACGACTGCCCCGTTTTACTTTAGCGTTCACTCCAAGCTGTAGTCAGGCGATGTTCCCGTCTCTGCTGAACTTTAACAAACACTCGGTTTTCTCTCTGAACGGAGAAGTCCTCCACACACTGTGATGTATGTCTGTGCTTTACGGAAATCTGCTTTTTTTTCTTTATTTTTAAACACGAGTCCGGCTCCTCTTGTCGTCCCCTGCACCTGTCGCTTCTGGAGAAGGACTTCTGGCTCTCTGGATGGAAGCTGTTGCTCTGTTTGATTGTCACAAAAACAGCCTCCCTTTCTGCTCATCTTGAAGAAAACAAAAAGACCTCGTCCTTCTCCCCTTTTTTCTCACCTGTCAGACGGGCCAGCATCCACACACACACACACACCCCTCTGATTTTTCTTTCTTTTTTTTTTTTTTTGTACAATCCTTCATCTGTTTGATTTCATTTTTTTTGTAAATACTGTAAAATGCATTTTGATATCATTGACATGTTTTGATATTTTCAAATCACAACAACAGTTGATCAGAGAACACGCTGATTCGGGGCAACTGTGTGTATTTGTGCAGAAAATGGTGTGTCTTTTACTCAGAAATGATACGAATGATGAGAATCAGAAACTGGAGCTGCTATGGACTATTAATGCTTTTTCTTCTCATCACAGACAAACTAGGGAAGGGGGTTTACTTTGCATCAGAGGGGACGAAGGAGGAAGGGTTATACTGAAGTGTGTCTGAACGCCTTTAGCTAACTCACTGTCGCACATTTCTTTGAAAAAATGTCCAAATTAAACCAGACTCTTGCCCGGGTTTCGCCCTCCTCTCTGTTCTTGGTCAGTTTTGAGCCACAAAGGCCTCGAAATGCTCCTTTTTTTTTGACAGACAACTCTCACAGAAATCTTGTTTTCTTCTGCCTCTGACACATTTCAGCTTCTCTCGAGACACAAAGCAAAAAGCGGGGCACACGGACACTCTCTCTTTCTCAATATGACACACCAGGGACCAGAGAACAGACTTTACTATGAAGGATTTTTTGTATCTATTTAAAAACGGGGGCGGGAGAAATGTTTTTGGGAAAGTAAAGTGAATTAAAAAAATAACAGACAGATTAGTTTTTGTTGCTAAAAAAGAGGTAGAGAGAGTGCTGGAGCAGCGTTTCCTCCCCTTTACTTTGAAACTGTTGTATAAAATGCAGTCGATCTCTCTATCTTTCTGTCCTGTAAGTACAGCCGTCACAAACGTTGATCATTTCTGTATTTCTATCGTGCTGATGTATAATACTGTAACATTCAGGGGCCGGGAGGGTTAAGAGGAAACTTTTTGAGGGGAGTAAAGATTTTTCTGTTCACTTCCTCACTTTTCCTCTTGATGACAAAGCAGTATTGAATATGAGGCAGTCTGTCCATGGGGGTTGCTTTGTATCTCATGTTAGGGTAGTTTCAGATCCTAAATGTCTTGTGTAGTAAAAAAGAAAAAAAAAAAGAGGTTCCTTCTTCGTATGTTTCTTTATATTGTAAAGTTTCTTTAGACAAAAAAAAAAGTTGCTTATTGGAAAAAAGGTGGGAAAACTGCATTGATAATAAATGTAATTTTTTATTTTATTTTTATTTTTTTTTGTTTTTGTTTTCAATTTTCATCAAGTTGTCAGTCGTTTTTGCCTGTGTCCCCCTTGTTGTAGATACATATTAAAAACAAATAAAATGACTTCACTCCTTTTGCCATGAAACATGAACTTCTTTCACCGGCTTCAAACCGATACTCTTCACCTCTACAAATCATTGATTTCCAAATTTGTCTGCAGCCTGACAGGATCATAAAAAAGACCTTGAAAGAAATAAGACTACTTAAAAAATACTATCTGTTCATTTATCAACCCTGTGATTACATACGTCATTACGTCACATAGAAGAAACCTGATGGATTACATTGAAAATAGTTTTCCAGGTTTTATGTATAGAGAGCCACGTGCTCAATCAAAATGCCACTCTATAGCCACAAATAAGCCATAGCACTAGCCGCAGAACATCTTTTCAGCTTTGCCTTATTTCTTTAGCAAAGAGACTGAACACGACTCACCCACTCTCTTCCAGCAGCCGCTTGTTTGTACAGAGACTGGGGTGACACAGCTCAAGGAAGAACACTTATGATTATTACTTTATGGAAATGCAATTAGACATGGACGCAAACAATTGTCCAACAATCTTTTAAAGCTGCAGTAAGTAATTTTCAGTTGATTGACCCTCTGTAGAAAGAGCTGTAAACCAAATCACTGCTGATCCTGACCCGCATTCACCCGGGGTCATATCGTATGACAGATAAAACGCCATCCTGCCTTCATTTAGCTTCCAAATGTGTCACTCATTGTCAATAATTGTAAGGAAAGCTTGTTTTTCAGAGTGCTCCTCACCGTCTAGTCTAACTTGGTCTAACTTTTAGCCACAAGAAATTGTCTTGTTTGCTTTTTTTTGGTCATACAGTAAAGAGGCATCAGCTCTAATTTTCTTTTTTTATTTCAGAACCTGTTGAGCATTCCTTACGGCAGTTTTGATTGATTTCAATCAAAGCTTTGCTCTGGTCACAGGTATGGTTGGCACAGATTTACATGCATATTGAATTAACATTTTGAAGGATGTGAACTCTTTGAAAAGCAAGTGTTGCTGTAAGTCCAGCTCGAGTTCTGATTTTCGTGACTCAGACTTGGACTCGAGCATCAACTGCATTTGAAAACAGAGAGGAGGACTCAGACTGAATCACAGTTCTGAGTAAAGGCTGGCATTGAGCGTCCACACATGAACATTTCCCTGCAGGGCACAAACAGGAACCATTAATTAATTTCTGCACTGGGACTTGACTTGGACTCAAGTTTTGAGGACTCTGCTAGAGTTTGACTTGGATTCTTCATTGATTATTTGGACTCAGACTTGGCTGAGAATTTGGTGAGTGGACCACAACACCAGCAAAAGCATCAAAAAAACAAGTTCTTTCTAATAAACTAATGTTGTTTATCAGTTTATTTACAGTCCTGCTCAGAGGAATCAGCTGAATCATCTTGTAGTAGTTTCTATTCTTCAGTTTTTAGGTTTTTGGAGATGATTTTTAAAGAGTTTGGTTCAGAGTTTCTCCAAATCAAGTGTCATGACAGTCTGATTGATTAAACATTTGCTGTCATAGAGGGAGAAAAGCACCTCTAAAATCCTAAATGATCCCTCCTTCTCCCCTGTTCTACTCAAACTGCACCGAGTGACGCCGCAGCAACAGCCTGTTCCTCTTGCTGTTACCGCAGGAGACAGGAGGAGCGACCAGGGAGGTGACTGAGGAGGACAGCTGCAGCGGAGGGAGGAACCCAGGTCTCACGGAGGCCCTAAATGAAGAGGAGGAGGGTGGAGAGGAGCTGGGCGGGTGCGGCAGGTAGAGCAGGCTCCTGCTTTTGGAAGGTGGAACCTGGAGGTGGGGGTCTGATTGGTTGACTAACGCAGGGAGGTGAGGCAGAGGAGGGACCACCATGAGGGAGGGGAGGGTGTTTCTACGGACCGAACAAGAAGGAAGTTGATCAACAGAGCTTGTGTAGGTGTCGAATGTTGTGCCTCCTCCCTCTGGTGGGAGTCCTCTTGAGATTTCTTGAGAGGGGTTCAACTCTGTGAGGGAGAGGAGCGACTGTGAACCCCTCAGAGAAAAATCATGTGGCCAGCTGTTATAACTCACACCTTGTTTACACTTCTTTATCCAGACCTGATGAAAATTTGAATCCTCGAGCTCCACCTGGTCCCCATCCGTCCTCATCTCCTCCTCATAAGCCTGCTTGTGAATGGTCAGCCAAGGTTCGGATAAGACTCTGTGTCTGGATGCAGGAGGGCTGCTCTGGTTCCGTGGACTCGGCTCACAGGAGGGTGCTCTCCTGATGCTGATGCTGCCTCCTTGTTGGCATGAGGGAAGTAAATAGAAAAGTCAGTTTAGTATAGGATAGATTAGTTAAAGGGATATTCCGGTGTAACATTAATTTAGGGTCAAACACACTGTAACACTGAGTTAGACACCCCCTCACGGGAGATGAATGTTGACGACCGCTTGCTTCTCTAGTTATACCAACTTTAGTAACGACCGAATGATAGCAATACACAGTGGTCTGAGGAGAGATGCACTCAACCAAAACGCCACTCTATAGCCACAAATAATGCTCAGAACAGCACCTAACGTCACCAACAGTACATATAGGGTCCTAGCCACAGCACTAGCCACCAAACATCTTATTAACTTTGCCTAATTTCTTTAGCAAAGAGGCTAAATACAACTCACCTACTCTCTTCCAGCAGCCGCTTGTTTGTAATGAGATCTCAGGTCAATCCATTACATACTACAGCGGGGTGACACAGCTCAAGGAAGAACATTTATGATCATTTCCTTGAAGTAAAAATCATCATATTAATCATTTGCACCACAGACATGGTAGTTCTTCTGCCTTAGTGTCTCGGTCTGATTGCATTTCCATCATAGATGGTCTTCCTTAAGCTGCGTCACCCCGCTGCAGTCCATGAAGGACTCGCCCGCAGGTCTCCATACAAACATGTGGCTGCTGGAAGAGAGACGGTGAGTTGTGTTTAGTCTCTTTCCTTAAAAAGATTTTTGGTGGCTAGTACTTTGGCTGGGACTCTATATGTACTGTTGATGAAGTTAGATGCTGTTCTGAGCATTATTTGTGGCTATAGAGTGGCGTTTTGGTTGAGCGTGTGGCTCTCTGTATGGCTATCTGCGGCCGTTACTATAGTTGGTATAACTAGAGAAGCAAGCGGTTGGCAAAATTCATCTCTCAGTGTTATGTTGCGTTTGACCCTTAATTTTACGCCGGAATATACCTTTAAGAGAACAGGAGTAATGAGACTTTTCTAATCATGTCTTCATGTGATCTAGGGTTAGATCAAATGGTTTCAAAAGCAGGGTTATGGAGCCTAAAGATGCTTGTCCCTACACTGGAAATACCAGCTCTGACTTAAAGCTAATGTAAAAACTTAACCAGTTGATGCACCAGCTAATATTTCTGGTATTTTACAGGGGCTGTGCTGACATACATCTACTGTAGTTCCAATGACCAAGTATTGGAGGAATTAGAAGTTTATCCTGATGATACCGTAAAGAGTCATCTCTGAATATTACAACTACCATCTCACACAAAACAAAAGTCTTAGAAAAAATCAGGGGATCCCCAATCTTTCCCAACTTTCCCAGGTGTTGTTGAGCTAATTAAGATCAGTATCTTCCAACACTAGCTTCCTCATCTTAGAACCAATTCACGTTTTGTATTACTATGTGAGATAAACAGGCAGGTAGCTCTCTTCTATCTCGGCTCTGACCTTGTTCTAAGACTTTACTTCAGCCGTCTAAATGAGCAGCAAGATCCTGTTCAGAGGAGGAAAAGTTACTTCAGTCCACATAATGAAACACTTAAGCGAGCTTCATCTAACCTCAGTCTGACACATTTTCATCTTTTCTCCTCAGGAATGAGCACACAGCTAATGATTTCAGCCGGCAGGAATTTTGTTGTCATCTGTCTGGACTTGCCAACACTGCTCTGCTGGATCTAGGTTGGGCACAGTGTCTGAACACAGAGCAGTGTGGATGACACAGATCTTTATTTCATGAGGTAAACAGCCAAGAAGTTTGGGTTCAAGTATTATCATACAAACTGAATTTTAAAAGTTCGTATTTTTAGGTGATGGAAAATGAGGAGGTTGAAAAATAGAATCCGTAACTTCAGCTCAAACTCGTCATTTCCTCACCAGGTCCTCTGAAGTTGAAGATGTTTTCTCCCTCAGGTGAATTAGGCGAGCTCGTCTTGAGGACGATATCAGACGGGGACATGCAGGACACTGGAGATGTGCGCGGAGATGGAGGAACATTCAAGTAACGCCTGGTCACCGGGCCTCCGTTAACATCTGTCTCCGTGGCGATGATGATGATGTCGCAACCCCTGGCCTGACAGGCATCCATCAACACCTAAAATACAGAGAGCTGATTCAGGAGTGCAGGTTCTGATTGGATGTGAGAGATGTTGTGTTTCTTTCCTACATGTGCGAACCTTTAAAACACAACTTTCTAATGAAAAATTAAGTTACTTCTTTGGAATTAGTCGAAAAATTCTGACATTGAATATGCAATAACATTTAAATTCTTCCCTACTATGTCCAGAGTAAATCACTATAGCCATAATTGCTAAATATTGCATATATGCTAAACATGATTAGATAAAGGAAAACCTGTTATTGATCCGTCTTCTTATGTATTCAAACTGCCTCGCATCGATCATTTTGCTCCTGACTGACCTTCAGTGTGGGTTGGTGCTGTGCGTTGATGGCGTACACCAGCGCTGATGCTCCAAACCGATCCTCCATGCTGGGGTCAGCCCCTGCGGCTAGCAGGGTGGACGCCACCTGTTCTCCTGCTCGCTCCATGCAGGTGTACATCAGAGCAGTGCGTCCGGCTTGGTCTTGTGCGTTTGGATCGGCCTGATCCGCCAGAAGAGGATGGGAGACGGTCACCAGAGACAACCAGGGACCTACAGTCATTTACTGCTGCATGTACATCAGATCAAATCCTGAGGGGCAACTACAGACAGGCATGTCAAACCTTTTACTGACTTTACTTCCTCACCCGTATTTACCAGTTGTTCACATTAAATCTGTATTCTAGCTACAGCATTTGGAGGATTTATTCCATGATGTTTTTAGCCAGTGGCTGGTGTAAAACTGTCATGTCAACAATGTTATCCTTTGGGGCAGTTAGCAGTTTCACATAAAGCCCGATTGTTGTGTGTTCACAGTTGGTTTGCAAATCCACCAAGAAAAAACGAGAATTCACCGGGGCAACCACTGGCACCTGCCACTGAGTGACATTCACTCATGTTCTACGCAGACGATAGAGTCCATGCTGCTACTATAGATGTTTTAAAGGGTATAGCCAAGACCTAAGAAAACCCACTCAGGTGGACCCTGGCATGCTGCCTGGCTACAGTCTGATACTGTTCACACAGACTTTGGGGTTCAGTGTATTCAGATACAGGTCTTGGTCCCAAATATGAAATCCAAGTACAAGTGAAAGAAGCTCTAGTTTGACAAAAGTTGCCCCATAAAATACCATCATAACTATTTTAGCTCTGGTCTGGAAGCTGGTTAAAAAGGTCCTTAATGTTTTGAGCTTATTCTCATTTACACTTTCAGTAGATAAAACAAAAGTAGGTCCCAGGATGAAACACAATTATTCCTCTTTAATGAGATCTGCTCTGCTGTTGTTGCTTTTGTGTCCTTTGGTGAGAATAGACTTTATGAGACCGTCTCTGCTACACAGGCCTCCATGTAATCAATAATTATCTTCGCCCTTAGACTACACTGTGTGTGTTTTGCAGCAGTAAATTGCTCCAAAGCACTTAAGATCTGGGAACGCAGTAAAAATCTGAAAACTGTTTACCATGCATCGAAAGTACCACATACTCTTCTAAGTGCATTTATTATGCATTACAGATCCATCCAGATCAATACGCTGTTGACCTTAAGAGTTCAGAAACTTTCATGTATTCAGGGTTGAAATAAGTAGATATTACTCACTGCAAACTGACCTTGTTCTTGAGCAGGAATGTGAGAAGTTTCACTGTCTCTGGACCTCTTAGGGCCTTACAGGCGGCCAGTAAAGCTGTCTCTCCCTCGGGGTTGCGTCCGTTGACCTGGGCCCCTCCTTCCACCAGCAGGCGGACCAGGCGAAGCTTCCCAGAGGCTGCTGCGCTGATGAGGCGTCTGCTGTCGGACAGGGGGTCCTCCATTGCCTGGAAGGAGAAGAAAAATCTGAGTGTTCTTGGTACAGCTGTTCACTTCGAACAGCAATCAGCTTCAACCTGCAATCTACATGCTATTATCTCGAAAACCTACTCTAAATAGAAACATAACGATACATTCGATATAGTCATTATTGATATACTCTGTGATTATTCCTCAAAAAGGCGACTTAAAGCTCCCATGAGGAACTTCTAGTGTGTCCAACTGGCGCCCCCTGTGGTCAAAGGAATCTTTGCTTTTTTCTTGAGTAGTGCTTCTCACAAAAACATCTCATCCTACTGACTTTAGACAGTCAAATATATCATAAAAAGAACATTTTTTTCATGGATATTATAAAACCAGGGCTGGTTAAGTGACGCCTACCCCTTTACACCAGATTCAGTCGATTAAAAATCACAATTTCAAAGATGTACATTTTGTTGCAGGTTGTCTTGCCTGATTTTATGCATCATACAAAGGCAACAATATGAAATTTTGTCTGTTTCACAAATATTAAAAAACTTCTTAATGGAGCTTTAATGAATAACGTCTTAATTTGTCTTTCTTCCCATTCAAACGTTAAAAAGAAAACTTTTTAAAACCAGAAAGTTAAGACACAGCATAACAAATATTATTTATAATGAGACAGTGTAGATCCTAGTCATTTAAAACTAAATATAAACATTAAAAAAACATGACTCACCTGAGCTTACTCCTGAGCGCCTCTTTACCTTTTCATCTTTAATGAACATGAACAAAGCGCCTCATCTTGATCGTTTTCAGGAATTTTGCAGAGAGAAACATCGATTTTACGCCCTTGATTCATCTTATCCTTCGCCAGGTTTAATTTAGAGTTCGGTCCTCATGATTGCAGTGGACTTCAGCTCACACTGACTTTCATCTGCTCGCTCTGTCCCTCTTTCTCCTCAGTTGCCTCCAGTCCTGCTGGGTTGACAGGGAGGTTCTTCCTGCAGGGAGCGTTCAAAGTTATAAATGGTTCTCAGTCTCAAATGTCACCTGTTGCAGACACTGTGCTACAAAGACCCACAGGCCTTTGATATGAGTCCGCTTTGAACGCTTTCCATCTGCCGTGTTGTGACCAGATGCACACTAGCTAATTACAAATGCACATGCTAACAAACAGCAGCTCATTATGTATCAAAGATTTCCAGTGTTCTTCAGTTTGTATTTAACTTTTTTTTTAACTTTCTTTCTGACAGGATAAATTTCAAACTACAGCTTTCGAAAACAGATGTGGAATGAAGTTAAACCACATTTAGAGCTGGTTTAAACTAGTTATTCCCAAATTTATCAATTGTAAAGATGCCAAAAATTGGTTTAAAAAGGTAACACATAGAAGAGTTTGTTGTAAGTAGCACCTTTTAGGTATCTCATCCAGAACTGATTTCTTAATGATACCAAACACAGGGGTCAGACATTGCAGAGCTATTATTGCATTAATATTCAATTTACAGACTAAAACATAGGGGCGACTTACTCATCATTCAGCCAACTGAGCCCCTCTGCACAAATTCTGTTGCACGGATAATTACCACCCATATACAGGTACAGATTTGGTTTAACTTCATAGACTGCCTCCAAACAACAATAAGCAAAAGCAGAGCAGAGTCAAATAAATCTGTGCTGAGACAAACTACACCTGACCAGAGAGAAGATTACCCTCTGTTACAAATGAGAGTTTCCAAACATCCAAATTCAAAATAAGAAATGAAAAAAAGTGATTAGGAATACACAAATTAAAATCTGGAACAATTTAAGGGTCATGAAAAAAAATATTGACCTCTGAAATAATCGCACGTAAAAATTTTCCCTGTGTGTAAGGACCTTTACCCACGTGACAACAAGCCCCGGTCTCCCCTACCTCATGCAACCCCATTTTTAGGAAAAAATACATTTAAAAAAGGAAAAATGGCAAACTATCCCTTTATTTTCTAATAATTTGTTGTCACTTGCAATACATGAAGCTGTTTTTGGAATAAAATCATACCTTTATTGTGATTTTAAAGGAAAGATTTGAAGTCCTTCTGGTTATTTCAGTTTAAGTGTTTGTTTAGTTGAAAACACAAGGATTTCAAAAAGGATATTATTTCTACCCTTTTCTGTAGAAAGACCAAATATGACAAAATTAACAGATTAAGGAAACAGTTTTGGTTTGTGCTTCATAGTTTCAGTCCAGGTTCGAGCTTTTCAAACGTCCTATTTCTTTCTTTCCAGAGGAAGTCTCCATTCAGAAACCTCCAGACTCATGAATGACCCGCTCACTCTTACTCACATGAAAGAAATCCCCTCATGTGAAAGAAAGAAAATTAACATAGTGAGAGGGAGACTGAAAACTACAAGCGGCTACGTAAAGCTACGTAACGGTTTATTTATGTCTCCTGACCAATAGAATCGCTTCTGAGTTCAGCCGTCATGACGTAATGTGAGCTACTCCAGAATAGCGCGCGGCGGCGGAGGAGCAGCAGCAGCAGCAGCAACAACCACACGGAACCGTTTAGCATTTTTCTCCGGGTCCTTTCCGCCAATGCTTGTTTGTTTATGCGGGGTTTGTTCGGTCCACATCGAGGCTGGTAGGAGGGGAGAGCGGCGGGGATGGCGCTGAAGGAGAACCAGTGTTACGGACTGTCCGGTGGTAAACTGAGCCGCGGTGGAAACGTCTCTGTTTTTCATGTGAAACTCACTGACAGCGCGGCAAGAGCCATTGGCTCTTTTCAGAACGGCAAGGTAGGTTGTTTTTAACACTAACTCCTCGAATAATCATCCAAAACACACATTTAGGCTCCTCACTTCGCTGAGGAGAGCCTTGGTTGAAAATGTAGTGATAAGGAAAGACGAGTGAGGTGTGTTTGTGCTTTTCATTTGAGCCGAAGTTCCCCAGCACCTTCCTCGTTTGTTGTCTCCTCTGAGCCTCCTTTTGGCTCTGAAATGGGAATACATGTTGCATAATGCAATGCGGAAACGCTTCACTGTGTGATGATGCTCGTAACAAGCTGCTGGCCAAGTGGTTAGAAGCTGCTGGCTTGTGTTAAACATGTTAATCAGTGTTGGAGTAGGAAAGAAAGAAAGAGAAAGAAAGAAAGGACCCAGGCTGCTGCTGCTGCTGCTGGGGGGGAAACAGGCTGGTAGTAGGAGGGTCTGTGGGATTGAATCTGAGAGTGACAGAGTACCAATCATTGCCATTGTTAACATGAATAGAGTTGCTGTCAGGTTTCATCTTCTTGAAAGCTTCTGGGGGACACACACAAATATGGTCAGAGTCAAACACAAACACAGCAGCCTACAGATGGGCTTCATTTTAAAGAGGAGAATACAAACTCAAATCATAGGGGAGAGTGGGGTAAGATGAGACATTTTTCATGTTTCCTTCATGAGCCAATGTTTACAGAGGAAAAGCAAAACTCTCTGGACTAAAAGAGTGATGTTCTCTTAAAATGAGCTAAATTCCTTGGTTACTATATTCTGTAGTAGCTCTGACCATTGGCAAGTAGGGGAGAGTGGGGTAGAGCAACCTCAGAAACCAGGATGTCGCCTAGAGGATGAGATACGGGCCTAGTCTAGTTGTCTGACGCGCTTTGTCAATGATCCTCTGAGATGGGAACAACTTAGAAAAAACGAAAACAATCAACAAAAAGACGATACCAACTAAAGAAACTGCGATCACTAGACTTAACGAGCATGTTTGCATGCGGTCAAAAATATGGCGACCCACTCAAACCTCTTCCCAGGTGAACAGGTGCTTAAATCAACGAAGTGACACCGCCCATACTCCCGTGACCCAGATTCCACAAATCACTGCGACCAATCACAACAAAATACCAAAACAAATCAAGAGCGTAACCACAAACCTTTACCTTGCCCTCATGGCTCCTACACCCTATATAGGTGACTACATGGGGATCAGCGCCATTTTGAGGGGTATCTGAAACCTCGGTGATCAATTCCAGTGCCCTATGTAGGCGACTCAAAATTTCCCATAAAGCATTGCATCCCGTCAGTGCTGCGTCATGCCATGTAGTGTCTGAAACCTCTGGTGATTGAGTTCACTACATAGTCAGCTATATAGTAAAACCCCATATGAGGGTTAGGGATTAGGGATTGAGTGATTCATTTCGGACACAGCCGATGTTTTAACTAGTGTATCTGCATATGGGTCAATGACGTGATGCAGTTTCTTTTATGTTCCCATGGTTGACTTAAATTTAAAAAAGGTATAATTAAAAAATAAACTCACCAATTACCTGGATACATCCTCTTTTTAAAGACCTTTTCTAAAATTTCTGGATTTTATGCATTTTGAGGGAATATTTTGGGAATAATGGGGAAAATGTCAATGTGTTGTAACCATAAAAACACAGTACCAAATATTTCATACTTTAGGCCAAAGTTTTCAGCATTTCTTCTGCTCTATTTTGCAAAAATGCATCCAATTTTTTTTTGTAAAGAAAATCCAAACAAAATGTTTTTTCAACTGATATGTTATAATTAAGCAACTTAAGTAAACTTGCGTACACTAAAAAGTGGAAATAACTTTGTTGTGGTTGTGTTTGTTGTGGTTACACCTCTTGACATTTTCAAAGGAAATCCATCATTCATTTTGTAAAAAAAAGGTTTAAATGCTATTTGAAATTATACGAAACCAACAGAGATACAAAATCAGAATTAAAATGTTGTTTTACAGCTGAGGCATTGTCCTCCAAAGTTCAGTCTCTGTCCTTGTCATGTAAGCTATTGAGTTTAGGCTGTAACCGCTCTCTGTAGGCGGTGCACCATAGGCTATCTACTGGAACAATGAAGAGCAGCAATGAAGAAGCACTCATGATTTTTCCAGTGGACTTTACGTGAAACCACTCCACTTCACATAAAACCACTCTTACTAACACATGACAGGCCCTCTGTGGTTACAGACCGAGCTGACACAGGTTGTGTCTGTATTAGAGGAAATGTGGTTTTATTCAAATCAGAATGAATGGTGTTAGTTGTATTGGTGTTGTTACCTGCAAGTTGAAACATAGTTTTACGATCTAGAAAATAACTTTCCTTCCAGTGTAAAACCCGCCTTGATGAGCAGATTGACAGATTGTATCTCTGTGTGTATTTCCAGATTGATCCGTGTGTATTTTTTTCATGACTAACTCATTCATAATTCATCTTCGAGGTTTCGTTTTCACTCAAAAAATGTCGCCAGATAAAAATTTGACACGGCTAATGGGAAATGAATCCGACTCAGCAGGAAGTCTGAGCAGAGAGGTGTTATGTAGACTTCCTCAATTCTTTGTAACACAGATGGGAAACTCCTGAGGGGAGAAAATTACTGACACAGAGATATTTCAAATGAAGGTGTGGTTTTGAGTGTAATGCCGTCATAAAGACAGAAGAGAAGCGGGCACACACCTTAAAAAAAATAAAATAAAGTGTCATACATGCACAAAATACCGTTGTTTCTTTTTTTAGTTTGTCAGTGTGTTCGCATGACCCACTTGGCCTGATTACACCTCCATGTATCCAGGCCAAATTGTTTACAGGCCACCAGACTTGCTCACAGCTCAAATCAACAGGTGGACTCAACCAAACTGACTTCACGAAAAGGTCAACTGAGTTTTAGCAATCGTATAGTTTCGACCTGTGTGGTGAAAGTGTCTCTTTGGCAGAGGTGGGGGCGTTTGACGACCCGACCCGAGACTCGACTTGGACTTGAGTCCCGTTTTTGACTTGCTTGATGAAATCAAGAAATGACTTGGACTTGCTTGGGACTTGATTGCTAAAGACTTGAGACTTGACTTGACTTGAGCCCAGTGACTTGGAAAGTCAAGTCAAGTCTTTTCAAGTCACTTAATACCTTACAGCAAGCCCAAACCGTTTAAAAAGTGTCGCATCAACTAATAGTCAGGAATTACAACTGTTGGTAACACCATGTTGTGTTGCCAAGTCTGCTTATTTCCCGCAAAAGAATCGCTTGTTTTTGGCTTGTTTCTGGAGGTCTGTTTCCTTATTTCTCCCACAAAACTTGGCAACACTGTCTCAAACTCTAGCCTCCCTCATAACGACAACACCGGGAGGACTTAACATAAATCGCTCGCTAGTATTGCCCGCCTGTTTCCACGTGTTGCACAAATGGTTTATGACTTTGATATGACTTGTTTTTGACTTGATAGAAACGGTAAGGACTTGGTTGGGACTCAAAACAAAAAGTTCAGGACTTGGACTTGACTTGAGACTTGAGAGCAAAGGCTTGAGACTTGACTTGGACTTGCAACAGAGGGACTGTCCCCCACCTCTGCTCTTTTGACTGTCATTTCTACACTTTTCTGCCCAGGCTGATGTTCTCCTGTGTGAGATGACAGCCTATTATTTCTCTCCTCGGTTCTTGTGTGACAGGCTGCTGCAGTTGAAGAGCAGGTTGTAATGATTACCACAGTGATCTCAAAACCAAACTGAACTGGTTCAAAGGGAAATCTTGCACACCGGTGATATATTTGAGAGGAAGGTTGTGGAGTTTTCACTTTATGTATAAATAATGCAACAATCAAATTTTTTAGACAATATCTGTGCAGGGGCTTCAGAGGAGGTTATATCAGCAGCAGTGTGTTGTATGCAGACAGTTTTTGTCTAAAGGTGTTGTTGATTTAAGGTCCTTTCACACCGGGACCGTTTTTGTCGTGCGATTATTTCGGGCGTCAATATTTTTTTTTTAACCCGTATCCTGTCAATACAAGCGTTCAAATCAGCGATGTTTTCCCGTTCTGCGATATTGCGGCATTTATTTAAATTTTAAGTAACTTCATTTTTTATTGCTTGCTGTAGAAAAATTTTGATTAAATTAAAATTTCATAAAGTTTCATTTCAGTCTGTCAGGGCCAAGAAATTTGCTCTTATTTTGAGAATTCTTGTCAAGCTTAAGGTTTTTTTGCTTGATACAAGATTATTTGATTGAATATAAGAATATTTTGCTTCTTTCTAGTAGGGCTGTTTTTGCAGATTGGCTCTGGGTGTGTTTTACTCGCAGCTGCTAAATCAATGTGGAGCCGCCAGCTGCGAGCACTCGTGTCTGCTTCGCTCACCTCTTCTAACTCCTTGTTCCTATTTTAGTTTTAAATTAAGCTGAGCGGACTGTTTTTCTGTTGTGTTGAGCGTTTCGGTCAAAGTCAAGATTGAATCATCAAGAAGCTTTGATATATGATCTATTTGTGTAGTTTATACCACTAAATATATATATTAAACAACCACTCCTTCTTCTTTGGGAGTAAAATTCCTCTTTTATTTAATACATTAAAGCAAATGTTACTAGTTTGCAGTGCAGGATGGCGGTCCTCCTGTATGTGGATAGAAAGGCTCCTTTTAACTTAAAAACAATTGAATTTTTTATACTCAAATCATGTTTTAAGGCGTTCATTTCTACTGAGTCTGTTTTGCCTAAACATCACACACTGCACCTTTAACTTAGCATGTCAAGTCCACGTGTGTTTATCAGAGTAACTCAAATGTACACAGATTAATTGATTGATCTTTCTCCTCCAGGCTTTGACCTCCCATCCCACCATCTGTTTTAATGGAAATCAAGGGGTAAGACCTGCTGACTTATTCACTGATAGCATCGCTTACGTTGCTGCTGCTGCTATTAATAACTCTGTGAAAAATCTGAAATATAATCGTTCTCTTCCTGACCTCTTTCTCCTACGTCACAGAGAATCACCATCCCCTGCTCGGATGATAAAGACGACTGGAGAGTATTCTCCTTTGGTGTGACCAACGTCGCTCGTGATAATCCACACGGGAGCTTTGACTGCGTGCAACAACTCAGCTCTGGGTAAATCAAGCAAGGAGGCAAAAACAAGAACAAGCTGTTGATTTACACTTTTTGGATTTAAAGTTGCAATAGGAAGTTTTTAGCTGGTTATGAAACAGAAATGAATACGTAGATATAGGCCTAGGCGATTTGGCAACAAAAATGATCACAATATATTTTGTCATATCGCCCGATCTTGATTGTTATCATGATTTTTTTTAACTGCCTGTTTTAAAGCATCTGTACTAAAAACTAAAGAAGCCAGAGATTAGTTCAACATTTTATTAACATGTAAAGTAAATAACAAAGCAAATCGAATAAGATAAACTTAGAAAAATATAAAAACATTTTAACTCAACAGAACAACAAACGTAGATAAATACTAGATAATACAGTGAATTAGTTTACCTGAGTGTTTTTGAAGGTATGCAAGACCCAAAATAAACAAATCATCCCCTCAGAGATAATGAAGACGCCTTAAAATGTAAACATTAGATGATGTAGATGTAAATGATACAATTAATCGCTGCCTAGGTCTGGTGGCTGCACTGCTAGTAGTGGCTAAACTGCTAATGCTACTCGTGCCGTCAGCAGTGACAGACTGTACAGACTCCGCCCACATTTTCATGCTTTCTGCATAGTCATTGGGGAGGTATAGCCGGTTTTTGAGGGCACCGATTGCCGACATACCTCGCTCATCAGCTGAATTACTCAACATCACTTTGGCGATACCTAAACCACCGCCACACAACCGACGTAGAATAACTTCTCAACAATAACATTTTCGGAGAATGACTCAAAGTCATGACTGACAACTATCTTGCTGCCCTCAGCTCCGTGTTTAGCTCCACGCTCGGCCATTCTGTTTACTTCTCTGGTAACTTACAGAAGTGAGCAGGAAAAGCTCGACTGATTGGCTGTTGTGACGCACATTTCCTTTATGTTTGATTGAGTAAATATGCTCACAGCTGATCACTGTGATCGAACTGAAATTTATCACCATCATATAATCACCCAGTCCTACTTAGATATGACCTGCAAATGCCTAAAAAGACAATTAGAGATTATTATTAGTATGCAGTCTTTTTATATGTCAGTTTGATGAAGACTTTAGATGAGGATATTTGATCGTGCTCTGCCAAAATGTGCCTTATTTATGTTTCTTTGCACCGTGAGTGGTCTAATAAAAAAATTAAAGAATGGACTTTTATCGGAAAGCAGAGCTGACACGTACAGGACACTATGGATGGTTTTGTCCACAGGCAAAATCAATGCAAACTGCGTGTCCTCTTACACGCTTCAAGTAACTTTCATATTAAGTTGAGTTGCATATAAAGCTGAATTATGAGTGGATGTGGCGGAAAGCTGCTCGATTAACATTAAAAGAAAAGAGCGAAAGACTGATGCTATAAAAACAGGAAGAACCCATATTTAATTCTTCAATCATAACTCTGAATCTGTAATCATGTTTGGTGCACATTGATTGCATGATTATATGTTTATTTTGTCTTTTTATGCTCATAATTAGCCGAGCCTCTGAACATTTTCCAATATTTTAAAATGTCTCCCCTCCGCCTCCCCCTACTGCTGCCTGAAAGTCACCCCCGCTGGCATCGACTCTCTATCGTGTCTCTTTTTAAATGCCAGGGCTCCTGACTGAACTGGTCGAGGACACCCTGAAATGAAGAGAAGTGAATCTGATAAATGCCAAGAATCGTGAATATGGGCAGTTTGACTCTTCACGCAGATATAAAGCAACCTTTAGATCAAAATTAATGTGAAACAACATGTAGGCTTACAGTCTTTGTGACACGCACCTACATGAAGACTCTTAAGATATTCGCATCAGTACACAGCTGTCCGTAACTTCCTCTCCTCTTCCTCCCAGGGTTGCAGAAGAGCTGTCATGTCTCGGGGTGATTCAGAAGAAGATGACGGTCAGAGCCACGGATGACTCGTACGATAAGGCGCGTCAGAGCATGGCCCAAGTCGAGGAGGAGACTCGCAGCCGAGGGGCGATCGTCATCAAGCAGAGCGGGCGCTACCAGGGTGAGAAGAGATGCACACGTACGCGCTCTTGAGTCTTCTCGGTTATACAAGAGGACTAAAACTGGCCCGGAGACAGATTTGTACTGAGCTGAAGATATCCCAAGAAATAAACAAAAAAAAAAAAAATTTGCTGGTCATAGCGCATTAGTCGCCATAGCAACATGTGTGGTAACCAGTGACATATGGCCTTTTTTCCCCTTTTAAGTCTTTTCTACACAGTGCATGTGTTATAATTAGTCTTATTCATGTCATGAGGTCATTTCAAAGGGTGCTGAGTTTCCAAAACGTAATTAGCAAACGCACTCTGACAAACACACTCAGCCAAAAATGCAAACGCATGACAAATCCACGTTTTATAGTGTCATCGCCGTCTTTCTTCTTGCAATCGCCAAACCACTTCCCTCGAAACAGCCGCCGCAGCCAGCGTCATCCTTTCTCTGAAAGCACTCACACGCACAAATGAGACACACAAGCAGACACGCACACAACTTTTGAGGGTTTTTTTTATTTTTTTATTTCATGTCAGTGGAAGCTTGATAAGTAAACACTTCCTCATTTGCTGCAGGCTGGTGCAACTGTGTGGTTATTTCCTGAATTAGACATCAGCTATCACTCACTGAAGTGTGTGCGTGTGTTTGTATGAGCATCTTTGTAACCTCTCTGTGGGTTTCTAGAGAGGTGAAACAAGGTTTTCTACCTTTTCATCAACAATACTGCAACAGAACAAACACCACGACTTTCTTTCTCTCAGTCAGCCAGATCAAACCCACAAGAAGCAGCTTTTTTTTTCCACGCAGCAGGTTTACACATTCTCTACTTACTGATTCACCGTAAAGAGCAAGGTTAAAAAACAAAGCTGACTGGCCTCTGACGATGGAAAACTCTCCCTTTGAAACTCACAAGAATATTTTAGACAGTATTTTAGCTTCATAATGTTCGTGCTGATTTTGATGTGAGATTTCCTGCTCTCTTGCAGTCAAGAAGGTGACAGTGCGAGCCCCGGCTCCTGCGCTGGCAAGCCTGACAAAGCCCCGACACCCGGCCCAGCCTGCGGTCAGAAACATCAGGAAAGGGGTCGTCCTGTCGAAGCTGAGGAAGAGCGCCTACACGTCACACAGGAAGAGCGTGGCTGAACTGCAGGGCAGGCCGCTCAGGGATCGAGTTACACACCTGCTGGCTCTGAGGCCGTACAGGAGGCCTGAGCTGATCCTGAGGCTGCAGAGTGATGGACTGACAGCAGGAGACAAAGACATGCTGGACTCTGTTCTGACGGAGGTGATTTTCTCTTTGTCTTTACGGTTGATTGAAAGTGTTAGAAGACCTGAGGCATTTCACACTCAGCACAGATAACAACATGCCCGACACATTCTGTGGCCTAAAAAAGCAACCACTCAGGAAATAACCCTGAGTGGCTGCATGTGAACATACAAATCCAAATGTGTTGAAACTAGAAGTTGCATTAACTGAATATTTTCTTCATTTAGCAGATAAAAAAAGACAGAAAATATGGATTCTGTCTGTCATTTTGAAAAAGTAGAACACTCAGGATGATCCACTCTACCATGTCACTCTGTGCTCACACTGTTCCTCTGCTTTAGTTGCACACACCGGCTGATCCTCTTGCTCTCAGCCTGCTTTGCTGAAGGTTGTTATGACACTAATTCATCATAAACACCAACAACAAGCTTTTTCCTAAATGAAAATGGGGGTTATGTTTAGGGCCCGACCGATATGGATTTTTTTGGGGCCGATACCGATTATTAGAGGGGAAAAATATCCGATTACTGATTAATCTGACGATTTTTTAATTTTTTTATGAAGTTATAAAAAAGACATATATGCAGCAGATATCTACAGTATACTATAGACTGTAGATATACTGTAGGCTACTGCTCTTCACGCCAACAGGAAGACAGACTGATTACACTCGGACCATAAAAGTGTTTTCACTCCGTCACCCTTGAAACATGTCACCAGATCAAGTCGTATAATGAAAATGACGAAATGAATCATACCCAGGGCCTAAGTTGAAAAAGTAAGGAGCCCACAAAGAACTTTAGGTGCACAATAAAAAATTGATCAAATAATGTGTGTCTTATTGGTCGACATAAGTACTATTAATTGAAATCAATTATAGGTCAATTGGTCACATGTAATAGAAGCTATTAAAGAAAATGGTCAAAATTTGCCTTTAAATTTAACACAGAAATTTTTTTAGAGGACAAATTAGTGAAAAAAAGAGTGTGTCTTATTGTCCGACCTTAGTACTATTATTTGAAATCAATTTTTGGTCAATAGTCACATGACATGGAAGCTATTGAAGGTAAACAGCCTTTTTTGAGAACATCAACCAGTAATTTATTGATGGTCCCTTATTCAACACCCGACGTTGACAGCGAGGGTGCCGAGTAGATTTAACTGCGCTGCTGTTGCTATTCTAGTGAAAAGACACCGATAGATCCCTGGTGAATGTCTGTCGAAAATATCCAACCTAAAACTGACTACGCCGCGGTATTTACATAAAAAAACATTTGTTGGCTGATTTTATTTACGCGCCCATGTGCCTCTAAATACATTTTACAATTCGCACACATGTATTTTTAGTTGCAGATGCGAGTAAAAGGGTCGCACTGTCGAGCCCTGATACCTGAGTCTTAACCTGTTTTTTTGTGTTTAATGTTGTTGCAGGTCGGCCAGCTCAGTACTAGAGACAAAACATTTAGTCTCAAAGACGGCCTTTATAAAGATCTGCAGAAAGACTGGCCCGGCTACACGTCAGGAGACCAGCAGCTTCTCAAACGCATCCTTGTCAGGTAATAAACAGAAAACTTCCTGCTACATTTTTTTCCATTCAGAGCGCTCAGGTGAATCCAACTCTTCTTCTTCTTCTTCTTCTTCTTCTTCTTCTTCTTCTTGCTGGGTAGGAGACTGTTCCAGCCACAGGCAAACCTTCTCAGCGTACCTGAAGCCCAGGTCAGCCCACTGAGAGACACCCCCAACTCCTCCCCAGCCCACCCCCCGAAACCTTCTCTGCTCACGGAATACACCGACCCCCTGCTGAGTAAGAAGCCCAGGATATCTCACCTATCCGCCAAAACAGCCAGCGACAGGTCACGAGCGAGGACACCCCGGCAACCGGCTCACAAAAACGGTACAGAGGCGACGGAGGATGACAAGCCGAAGAATCCGCTCGATCCTCGTAAGCTTTTTGACTCCCTGTCAGCTGTCTGTCAGCAAGAAGAAGACGTGGCGAAACGGCTCGAACCGACTCATCCTCCCTCTCAGGAGGAGCCTGACAGCACCGCAGCAGACCAAACAAAACTCAACCCTGATCCTTCATCTCCTCCTGTAGCGCCTGATCAGGACAGACACACAATCAAAAGGAAGAAGAGCAAACACAAACACAAAGATCAAGTAGGGAAACTGTTTTTTTTTTTAAATGTTCTTTTAAATGATGATTTCTTTAACGCACTGCTGAGATTGATTTTTTCGTTTTGTTTGCAAAGGAGAAGGATCGGGGGAGGGAAAGAAAAGAGAGAAAAAAAGATCCTCATTTAGAGGATTCTGCACCTGTGGACTTCACGGGTGAGTCATGTTACCTTTCAGCACGTCGCTTTATGCTCAGTTTTTAAGCTTTTTAAAAACTGTCTGACTTTTCTTCTATTTAGAGCCTAGTGAAATTTTGTTTGACGCTAATCTGCTTCAAGAAGACAAAGACGCGGCAGACTATTTATCGTAAGTGAATCTTTTCTGCTGCTTAAGTCAAAAAAGTGTATCAACAGAAGCCTCCATAAATGAGTCTGATTTGTTCCTTTTCGCTGTACTCTGCAGGTCATATACAAAGATTCAAAGTAACGACCAGAGGCAAACCTACAAGCAGGACTTCAACAGGGAGTACAGCGAGTACAGAGATTTACACGCTCGTATTGAAGGCGTGACACGGCAGTTCATGGGGCTGGACACGCAGCTCAAACAGCTGCACCACCAGTCACACAAGTACAAGGTGAACAAAGATATCCAGCACTTTGAAAGGCTCAACAAAACCCTTGTTTATTATCTTCTCACAGGTTTCACTCAATATACGTGTTTTTTTGTATTCTCTTGCAGACGGTTCATGATCAAATCGTCCAAGAGTATCGCAAAATTAAAAAGGTAACAAGCTTTTGAGAATTTTCAGCATTAAGGTCCTTTCGCACGGAGACTGATTTTGTCAGACGTCAATATTTTTTCCTGTCATTACAAGCGTTCACATCAGCGACGTTTTCCCGTCCTGCAGTATTGCAACATTTATTTTTTGGGATTACGGTCAAATTTTCTGAAGTTTTGCACACTGTGTGTCCACTTCTGTCCAATCAGATTGCATGTTGTTGGGTGTCTGATTCACCGTTATATCCAACATGGCCGACCTGCTGATTGTTTACGTGTCGGAGAACAGAGTGCTTTTTGATAAAAGACACAAACATTACAAAGATAATGACCTGAAGGACAACTTGTGGAGAGTTATAGCGTCGGATTTCTCATATTTTGCTCAGTTTGATAAACGTCTTTGTTTTAACCGTCATCTGTGCTAACGTAAGCTAACAGTTGTTACCATAGCTTCATGTGCTTATCTTATCGCCTCTGATTGGCAATAAGTGCTGACTGTTTGGCTTGAGCGTGTAATGACATTTCCAGCTTTTCTAGCGAATCAGAGGCGAAGGAGGCAGGATTTTTCCTCGGAAAGTCGCAAAATCGCATCGGGCTTGATGTGTTTAGTCAGGCGTGTCAAAATTCGCCTCTGAATATTTCGTACTTTCGCGTTCTATATTCGTGTCGGCCCCGGTGTGTGAGGACCTTAAACGCCAAGATTTATGCATGGTAAAAGTCCGCTCTGCTGTTTCTCTGCTGTTTCAACATTTTCCTTATTTCTTTTCAGTCAAACCCGAACTTTGACCAGGAGAAGATTCGTTGCGAGTTTCTTCACAAAAAACTGGCGCACATCAAGAAGCTCATATCCGAGTACGACCAACTGCAACTCAGCGTGGACAGCTCAGGTCCCAACTGAAGAGGTTAACCACCAGGTTGGCGAAGTGAATTAAAAGCCATCGAGGTGGAATCCGTGGTTTTTGAGGCTGAACATACTCTCAAGAGATGATGTTCAGGGTACGTCACTGCAGCTGGGAGAGTTTGTGAAAAGCGGCAGTGGTATGGTTGGGTAATAGCCCTTTAATTCAGGATCTTGATGAAGAACTTTGAAGATGTTTTGGAGTAGAGATTAACCGGTGGGCTGCTACAAGAGTGATATAATACTGCCAAGGACAGCAGGAGGAATAGTGGCTTTACAAAGGATCTTAAAGCTCAAACTCAGTTTTTTAACATGCAAATACATACACTGTATGTGGAGATGAGGTGCTAAGTTCAAAACCGTTTGTAGATTTACCCCATCCCACTATTTCTGTGAATTAAACCAGCCTCGGTGTTGCTTCTGTGTTCTGTTAGCCATGTCAGTGTTCAAGCAGGCAGCATGAAATAACTGCACGCTGTACATACCCAGACAGCTCTGAATCACAGGTACGAGTTCTCATTACAGAGGTGTAGATGTTTACATCCTGAGAAGGCATGTTGTTGAGGTTCATGTCTGATCTCTGATCTGCTCTCTACCCACCCCTGAAAGTATTGTCACTGCCTGAAATGGTTTTTACTTCTGTGCTGGATCCATCGTACCCCAATGGTGTTCATGTTCCTTTCCTGGAGCGCAGAGGACTGTTAAATAAAATGCCATCTTGAAGTTGTATTCAGGGAAAATGCCTCAAGAGTTGCAGTTTAAGTGCTGAAACTGATTTAAGTGGTAAGAGAACAAAAAGAAGAAAAAGATAAGATGTCGCATGCTTTGTACTTTACAGAATGCATGTAAAATAAATCAGAATTTCATGTCAGAGTTTCAAATAAATACATTTGTATCCATATTAGGTGATCTTGTCCTCTGTAATATGCTTTTTCACTCACATTTCTGCTTTAAAATTCCACCGCAGTGCGTTTTTATTCCAAGTTTTGGTCATGTTCCTGAGTTTAAATCGGCTACATCAGCTCAAACTTGTGGTTTAATTGTCAAAAAATTCCAATCTTTATCTTTTTGTCAAACACCTCTAGCAGATGGGACTTCTGTTGAAATGACATTTGACATTTTTATGTGTTGAGTGAGCTCAGCTTTACCTCCAATAATCATCAAAACATTTTCCTTTCTTTAAAAAATTTTATTTTCCTTTTCATGGCCAAGCTCCTCATCATACAGTTTCTAGTAAATCATTAACTTCTTTAAATGTCTAGACCAGTCTTATTAAATACAACTGTTTAAGAAGTCAGTACAGTGTAAAAATAGAGTAGGTTCTCCCCGAGATCTTCATTCAACTTAGTGAACACAATAATGCCACAAGTATTTTTAAAATCAGTTTTAAAATTTGAGCAAGTAAAGAAAATCTTAGTAGACACCTTTAGAGAAATGTACATAACCCTAACCCCCTAACCCTAACCCTAACCCTAACCCCTAACCCCAACCCTAACCCTAGCTCCAACCATAACCCCAACCCTAACCCTAGCTCCAACTCTAACCCTAACCCTAACTCTAAACCTAACCCTAGCTACAACCCTAACCCTAACCCTAGCTGCAACCATAACCCTAACCCTAGCTCCAACTCTAACCTAACCCTAACCCTAGCTCCAAACCTAACCCTAACCCTAACCCTAGCTCCAACCATAACCCTAACCCTAGCTCCAACCCTAACCCTAGCCCCAACCATAACCCTAACCCTAGCTCCAACCCTAACTCTAACCCTAGCCCTAGCTCCAACTCTAATCCTAACCCTAACCCCAGCACCAACTCGAACACTAACACTGACCCTAACCCCAACCCTAACCCTAGCTCCAACACTAACCCTAACCCTAACCCGTAACCCTAACCCTACCTCCAACCCTAACCCTAATCCCAGCTCCAACTCTAACACTAACCGTAACCCTAACCCTAGCCCCAACCATAACCCTAACCCTAACCCTAGCTCAAACCCTAACCCTAGCTCCAACTCTAATCCTAACCCTAACCCTAGCTCCAACCATAACCCTAACCCTAACCCTAGCTCGAACCCTAACCCTAACCCTAGCCCCAACCATAACCCTAACCCTAACCCTAACCCTAGCCCCAACCATAACCCTAACCCTAGCCAAATGCTGCTTTTGAAACAGAATTAAACATAATCTTGAAAAAAAGCTCTGTACAAGATTTTTGTTAATTGGTCAGCTGAATAATCAGACTTGCAGATGGTGTTTCCAGATAATTGCTGTTTGATTTTATTTCTTATCTATTAAAATATTAAAAGGATTATTTATATTTACATATTTAATCAAATGTATCCGACAACTCTGTATTTTTGTATTTAATATTTTTTGATAAACATGTATCATATACATGTATCATCATATAAACAGAAATATAAGACGAGTGTTAATACATTTAAATAGAACTTTGATTTTTTTTCCAGATGTATTTTATTTTAATCAAGTTGAAAAAAAAAAAACTAAGTTTCTTGTCATAATACTTTACCGTACCAAAGTTAGTCTGGTCTGTATTATTCAAATAAAGTTTATTCAAGTTTAGCAATTTTGCAATTCTGCTATTTTTGTTTGTATTATTTCATTAAATGTAAAACAACAACATTAAAAATGATGAATCTGCCATTTGAGACCTGTTTTCAGCTTCTCTCCCCTTTTTAACTACTGTGTTGAAATACAGAGTAATGTCACTTTAATGTCATTTAATCTGTGCTAAATCCATCTTTAATACAATTAAACAGCCTTTTTTTCAGCCAGGTGGAGTTGAAGAGAATTTATTTAAGATTAATAAACATAGGCACAGAGTTTTGGCTCTTTTAGATAAGGTTGAAACCATCATTGTGATACTATTGAGGCTGCAGAGAGGTTTCTGAGAGTAACAGAGTCAGATAATTTGTTACAGTTTAACTAAAACCAAAGGAGCCTAAAAAAACAGCTCAACTCTCAGCTGTTTAATCATAAAACATGAAATTACAGCTGTGATACAAAGAAAATCCTCTTACCTTAGAGCTACAAATACTTTAACAACCAATTTAGTTAAAGGTCTGTGCTCTGGATGCAATGCGTGGACTGGAAACAAACAATTAAGGTTATTTAATTTTCTCTTAAGGCGTTCACTAAGTTTTCTCTACGAGTCTCGCCATGAAGCGTCTGATTGGCTCGGCAGCCACTATGACAAACCCACATCTATTGACTCACAATGAAATAAGACCTCTGATTCGCTTGTTTTCTTGCCAATAACCTATCAAGCTCCTAAACACTTCCTGGTCTTGAAACACGCTAGTTGTAAACACTGAGGGTGACGGGGTGAAGTGACCTGTCCCGCCGTGAACTTTGAGACAGATTTCGAGATTTGACAAGAATAAAGACACAAGGAGAGGAAAATGCGGAATGTTTAGAGAACGTTTTTGGTGAGTAAATGTCACGCTAACTTGGTTTAATCAAAGCTCTCTGTTTAGGTTTCAGCCTTCTTATGTAGATAATATAACGGCCTATTGAAAACTACCTATTTAAGTACAAGTATACCTACATGTCTTTTCAGTTTTTCAAAGTTTCAGAGTAATCTTTAGTAAATTACATAATGAATATACCTTTCAGAGACTCCTATTTTAATCTACTCAGTCGCAGGTTGCTCTATCCACTGTCTTGATTAAGATGTACATGGTAGTAAAAGTTGCTCCAAACGAGGGATGCACCAATCCGATATTTTGATCGAATATCGGATGAATGACGCCGATCTAGTGTTCCGATCCAGTCTTCTTTTCTTTTAATACATGGAATTCTCACTTCTTTTGCTGTGTGCTAATGTGCAATTTGTTAATTATATTAAGTAAATGTATATCTGTGTTAATTTGTTACCTTTTTTTAACAAGGATAATGTCAAGCCTGATGCCCTCACTCACAGGGCAAGGTATACAGGTTATTCATTCAACAGTAGTATTATATTGGTATCGTATATCGGCTGATATGCTCAGCCCAGGTATGAGTATCGGATTAGAGTGGAAAAAAATGGTTAGGTGCATCTCTACTCCAATCAGCTTGCTCCAACTCCATACCACATTAACAGTATATTAACGAGAATATTGATTTACTGATATGGTTAAAGCTTCTGTTTTCTGTTACATCCTGTTTCTTTCTTGCAGTTTGTCCTGCCAACTCTGTCTATAATCCCTCCAATGATGGCCGGGAACTTCCAAAGAGCTTTAAAACTGAGATCGGCTCTCAGACATCTAAACCTCCACAGCTCACTTTCATCTACAGCCACTGCCAGACACTCACCTGCTGGCCATTGCAGTCACTCTCCATCCACCACTTCATGGCAGTTTGCCGTCTGCCATCGAAAGCTGCACACTGGAGGAGATGAGCTCAAGCCGTCTCCGGCTGCAGCCCCAGAGAGACTTCCTTTTTCCAGAATAACTCCAGAAGATCTGGCCTTCTTTAGAGAGATCCTACCAGGGAGAACCATCACTGACCCGGACCTGTTAGAGTCCAGTAATGTGGATTGGCTCAAGACAGTGAGAGGTGATGGCTACAAATTAAATCAGCCCATGACACTCAATCATGTATTTTATTTGATATATTTTAAAGTGGATGTTTTTAATGTTTATAATTCATCCTCTGTAGGTTCCAGTGAAGTGTTGCTGCGACCACAAACAACAGAAGAAGTTTCACGAATACTGAAGTAAAGCACAATCAGATATTGGAAGCAAATCTACACAAATGAGGGATTTATTAGGTACTTAAAGCAGTTGTATTTTACCTCTGACAGGTACTGTAACAGCCGTAATCTGGCGGTGAACCCTCAGGGAGGAAACACCGGGCTTGTTGGGGGAAGCGTGCCGGTTTATGATGAGATCATCCTCTCCACCGCCCTTATGAACAACATCCTCACCTTCCATAGCATCTCGGGTCAGTCTTAAACTTAATTTATGTTATGAACATACAACTAATTAAACTCCAACTTAAGGGTTTTTAATTAAAATTTTCAGGGATTTTGACCTGCCAGTCTGGCTGTGTCTTGGAGAACTTGTCTCTGTACCTAGAGGAGCGAGACTTCATCATGCCACTTGATCTTGGAGCGAAAGGTAGTTGCCATATTGGGGGTAATGTGGCGACTAATGCAGGTGGACTCCGGCTGCTGCGATACGGCTCCTTACACGGCACTGTGCTGGGCCTTGAAGTGGTGAGTGGCGTAGAAAATATAACATGCAATTTGAGTAGGATTGCAACACAACCCCAAATTCCATAAAAGCTTGAATGCCATGTAAAATGATAATGACTTCCTCTTCTTCCCACTTTTTTTGGATCAGAGGATGAGGCATCCATGATTTCCAAAATGAATGTCAAGTTTTAAATTGATAGACCACAAGACTGTCTTTTAACAAACCCCTGTCCTTCTTAAATGTGCACTGACCCAGAGAAGTCACATTTCAGGGTTTCAGCAGCTCATGGATTTGGGTTTGTGCAGTCACAGGGGAGGATGAGGAGTCTAAAATTGTGTGTTTTTAAATGTGGCATGTACAGGTTTTGGCAGATGGACAAGTACTGGACTGCTTGGCGACTCTGCGGAAAGATAACACAGGATATGATCTCAAGCAGCTGTTCATAGGTTCTGAGGGAACGCTGGGGGTCATCACTGCAGTGTCCATCCTCTGTCCAAGAAAACCCAGATCTGTTAATGTTGTTTTTCTGGGTAGGAACCACAAACACATGTTCGGTCAGGTGATTTCAAACTGAGTGTGTTTCACAGTCAAATGGATGTATTATTTTACCCTCTTTACTCTTGAATAGGCTGTGAGACGTTTGAGCAGCTGCTGAAGACATTCCAGCTCTGCAGAGGCATGCTGGGAGAAATTCTGTCAGCCTATGAGTTTCTGGACAGTGAGTGTATGAGGCTACTGAACACACACCTCAAACTACCCAACCCTATTTCAGGTAGGGAAACACACACATATCTATCACACACCTATTTTATAGCACAATGACACACACGCCAAATTACTCCCTCTATCTTGCAGATTGTCCGTTCTACGTTGTCATAGAAACATCTGGATCTGACGCCACTCATGATGGGGAGAAACTGCACAATTTTTTAGATGAGGCGATGACGTCGTCGTTGGTCATGGATGGCACCGTGGCGACAGAGGACTCCAAAATAAAGGTACTACACATCAGCAGCTAAAAACAGTCGCAAGTAGATGTCCTGTTAAAGTTTGTTACATGTGAAAGGACTACCTGGGAATTTATTGACAAAAACAAAACTAAACATGAGAGTCTTGAAACATCAGACTGGGGTTCTTTCCTGGATGCAAATGGGGATTACTCAACTTTGCCTCCCCTCTGTTCTCAGGCTTTGTGGTCGATGCGAGAGCGTGTCACAGAGTCTTTGACTCATGATGGCTTCACTTACAAATATGACATTTCACTTCCACTGGAGCAACTCTACCAGCTGGTGACGGACATGAGGGAGCACCTGGGTGACCGAGCCAAAAGTGTGGTGGGATACGGACACGTAGGTAAGACTAGAAGACTGGAAGATGCGACAGGTGTTTTTTTTTTTTTTTTTTTTGGTAAATTCATTACTGTTGCAACATCTCCTTCTGCATAGCCAAATACTCACCTTTGGCTTTCTTATCGGCTCTTTCAGGGGACGGAAACCTCCATTTGAACATCACCTCTCCAGCTAAAGATCCAGCTCTCCTCGCTGCTATTGAGCCGTTTGTTTACGAGTGGACGGCCAAATGTCAGGGCAGCATCAGCGCAGAGCACGGACTGGGCCTGAAGAAGAGAAACTACATCTATTACAGCAAACCCAGCCAGGCTGTGGCTCTGATGAGTAACATCAAGGCCATGCTGGACCCCAAAGGCATCCTCAACCCGTACAAGACTTTACCTGATAACCTGAAATGACCCGGGCTGCCTTAAAGATGAGAGACTGAGAGTTAGGAGGTGATTTCTGCACAGATGAATTTAAAGCGTCACCCTCGTTTCATGTGGTTTTTGTGGCAGCCCTTTCATGCCTTTTTTGCAGAATGGTAGGTTTTGCAGAGAGTTGACATTTGCCCTGCAAGTTATAAACTCAACTACCTCAGCTGCTCCCATTCGAGAGCAGCCTTAGTCTTATTCACTCCATGCTCTTTGGAATATATGTAAGGTGTTTGATTAATACGCTTGTGTAACAGATGAAAAACCACAAAATACACGTGTAACTTCAAGCAAAGCTGATCTAAGCCATAACAGGCAAACAGATAATGACAGTGAGCACAGTGTTGTCAGAGTATAAACAGATTATGTGAAGAACCTGTTGTTATGTTTGATGAATAAAACCTGACTGATGTGCTGATTTTAAACACTTGACTGTTATCTGTTGCTTTTCAGCTGGAATTTAAAGCTGTGCAGGATTTTTGAACACAGTACTGACCAATCAGAGTCAAGTATTTAACAAAGACGTGTTGAAAGGTACCCGTCTATTGCCCACTGAGCAATAGACGGCTGTTAGACATCTACACACGTGGACAAAATTGTTGGTACCCCTCAGTTAAAGAAGGAAAAACCCACAATTCTCACTGAAATCACTTGAAACCTACAAAAGTAACAATAAATAAAAATTTATTGAAAATTAAATAATCAAAATCAGCCATTACGTTTGAAATGTTGATTAACATAATTATTTAAAGAAAACAAACTAATGAAATAGGGCTGGACAAAAATGATGGTACCTCTATAAAAGATTGAAAACTATTTGACCAGAGTGACATGATTAACTCAGGTGTGTCCTTTAATTGACATCACAGGTGTTTCCAAACTCATAATCAGTCAGTCTGCCTATTTAAAGGGAGACAAGTAGTCACTCTGCTGTTTGGTGAAAAGGTGTGTACCACACTGAACATGGACAACAGAAAGCGAAGGAGAGAATTGTCCCAGGACATCCGAAAAAAAATTATAGACAAACATCTTAAAGGTGCAGGCTATAAGACCATCTCTAAACAGCTTGAAGTTCCTGTGACAACAGTGGCTCATATTATTTAGAAGTTCAAGACCCACGGGACAGTAGCCAACCTCCCTGGACGTGGCCGCAAGAGGAAAATTGATGACAGATTGAAGAGACAGATCGTTCGAATTGTATCCAAAGAGCCCAGGACAACCTCCAAAGAAATTAAAGGTGAACTCCAAGGCCAAGGTACATCAGTGTCAGATCGCACCATTCGTCGTTGTTTGAGCCAAAGTGGACTTCATGGGAGACGACCAAGGAGGACACCACTGCTGAAAAAAAATCATAAAAAAGCGAGACTGGAATTTGCAAAAATGCATGTTGACAAGCCACAAAGCTTCTGAGAGAATGTCCTTTGGACAGATGAGACCAAACTGGAGCTTTTTGGTAAGGCACATCAACTCTATGTTCATAGACTCAAAAACCAAGCATATGAAGAAAAGAACACTGTCCCTACGGTGAAACATGGAGGAGGCTCAGCAATGTTTTGGGGCTGCTTTGCTGCATCTGGCACAGGGTGTCTTGAATGTGTGCAAGGTAAAATGAAATCTGACGACTATCAAGGCATTCTGGAGAGAAATGTGCTGCCTAGAGTCAGAAAGCTTGGTCTCAGTCGCAGGTCATGGGTCTTCCAACAGGACAACGATCCAAAACACACAGCCAAAAACACCCAAGAATGGCTGAGAGAAAAGCGTTGGACTATTCTAAAGTGGCCGTCCATGAGCCCAGATCTGAATCCCATTGAACATCTGTGGAAGGAGCTGAAACATGCCATTTGGAGAAGACACCCATCAAACCTGAGACAACTGGAGCAGTTTGCTCATGAGGAGTGGGCCAAAATACCTGTTGACAGCTGCAGAACGCTCATTGACAAATACAGAAATCGTTTAATTGCAGTGATTGCCTCAAAAGGTTGTGCAACAAAATATTAAGTTATGGGTACCATCATTTTTGTCCAGCCCTATTTCATTAGTTTGTTTTTTTTAAATAATTATGTTAATCAACAATTCAAAAGTAATGGCTGATTTTGATTATTTAATTTTCAATAAATTTTTATTTATTGTTACTTTTGTAGGTTTCAAGTGATTTCAGTGAGAATTGTGGGTTTTTCCTTCTTTAACCGAGGGGTACCAACAATTTTGTCCACGTGTGTATTTTCTTTTTTTTTAGACCTAATTTCAATCGTCTAGATTCTGTATATTTTTTGACGGAATTTAGACATCGCACTTTAACCAATTATTCGATAACTATTTATTTCAAAAAGCAACTGTGAGTTGCATAAAGTTGCATAACTGATCTCCAAGTACTTAGCCAAAAAAATTATGATAGCTGTTGAGCAATCTAAATATAGATGTCTAAAAAACCTTCATTTGTAGACCTGTGGTAGCCTGATTTTAGACCAGTCGTCTAGGCTACATTTAGACGTCTATTAGACCTCTTTTAGACCCAAAAATGCTCAGTGAGTGAGTGTAATCTTTTTGGAAATTATAATACACACCAGCTACAGTTCAGCAGGAGTGCAGTAATTGTTTAATTACATATAAAAAAGACAGAGCAACTTTATTTTTTTCCAAAACAAACCCAGCATTTGTGAACAAACTCGTCTTCAACTGCACACACCTAGGCAACTTTGTCGATTGAAAAAATGAAACTTGAATAGAAAGACTGCAGATGAATCGTTTAGTTGTTGTTGTTTAGGCAACTTGTACAATGTGGCATGATGGGAGATGAGGCGTAAATGGAGTTCGGGGGAATTATGTCCGCTCTGCCACAAACGAGCCTTTCGTGACTCCCCTCTGCCTGCACAGAAGACGTCTTTAAAATGAGCCACAGTGAGTGTGTGTGTGTGTGTGTGTGTAGAGTGTCAGGCAGAGAGGATCAGTTCACTTCACACATCAGGTCTTATTATAAGATACATACTAACTCTTATTGGCAGATACTTACTTTGTCTTATTTTCGTCCTATGAGCTCATCAGGAACAAAGATCCCGCCTCTTTTCCTACTTGACCAATCATTTCCTACCAGTGACAAACATGGGTACAGAGTCCAAGAGAGTAAATGCTTATATAGTATGTTTACAGTCAGTTTCACACACTGTCTTTGCTTCAGTCTTGCACCTCCTCAGTAGTGTTGTAGCATTGGATTCAATGCATAAATATAATTATTTAAAAAGTTTAAAAACAGGTTTGATTCTATTGGCTCTTTTCCTTTTGTGAGTCAGCATGTTGGTGTAGTGTAGCAGTGTTTGGAATCAGTAATTGTCCTGTAGTGGACTTGGTATGTAGTGTTTGGTGTGTGTGTGTGTGTGTGAGATCAGTCATATATGGACTTAAAGCATCAGGATGGGGTTCTACAGTATGCAGTCCATGTTGTTCACGCTCAGTAACAGTCGGCGGTTCAGGTCAGGTCAGTGCGAGCACTTTGTTTTTTTTGTCCTGTTTTTAAAGGCTGGCTTTTTTTCAGACGCGACAGATCCAAACGTCTGCATGGATTTAAAGTCAAGAGAACGATGTCAGTGGAAGGCAACCACAGAGAAATTGAAGAGAGCAAAGAGAAAAATGAGGCTGGATGATACTCAAACAACTCTGTGGGTCCCCGATGTCTTTCTGTTGTTGTTGAAAAAAAACATAGGTCTCTTCTCGTAGCTGATACCGGTCTGTTATTTCAGCAGCCGCCCCTCACGACTCTTTGCCTTTCTCCAGAGAGCTGTGGATCTTGTCCAGGGTTTTCTTGATGCGCAGTGCTGTTAGTCTGGCAGAGGGGTTCTGGTACCAACACTCCTTCATGAGTTTCACCAGAGCAGAGAGAGTCTGACGGAGACAAGAGAGTCATGTAAATATAAAAAAAAAAAAACAAAGAGGGAGGAACCTCCATCTGCAGGAGCCAAAGATGTCATGGTTACCAGCTGAGAATGGCTATCAGCATCACTGACGCGTTATTCCCTTATGAGTCGGTTTATTCAGAAGGTTTTGGATTTGTACCACCATCTGTTCAAACTCATGAAGACTTTCAGCTGTGCTCCAAAAACAAAATTCATGCTTGATCTCGACATTTTAGAAAACATGCTGTTTTTGCAGCAGGTGAGTCATATCTGTTGGGCTACATCCATATCAGTGCATTTTTATTTTTACCAACACTATGTTTGCTACACTTTAGTCTGGCACCTCCAGAGCTCTGCTGTGAAAACACCTAAAACTGAAACTTTGGAAAAGCTGTAGACGTCTGATGGTTAAGAAGCTCCAGAATGACTTCAGTAAAACAGACACTTGTAAAACTCATCAGACAGAGACTCAGGTTTGATTAGTAAATAGGTCTTAACCATCAGAAGGTATTCTTGTGATGGTTCCACATGATTTGTGATCAAATCAAAGAAATCTATTATTTATTTTTCCTATATAGGGTTAAGACAGGAATCCTAGAGTTTAATTTGTTGTTGTAGTCTTTACTTTTTTATTATTATTATTATTATTCTATATGTAAAAAAAAAAAAAAACTTAAAAAAAAAAACCTTTTTACTATCTTTTTACTACTAATATTACATCAAGCAGCGGGCTTTTTTTGTGGGGGTAGGTGCACACTGCTGCAGGTGAAAGGTGGATTCTTTGTCTAGTCCAGCGGTTCTCTATTATTTTCTGTCTCGCTATGCGCACAATAGATGGGGGCAGCGTAACCTATCGAGTACAGGCTGTACGGGGCAGCAAATGTCGTCAGGATCACTGATTGGCTGTCACAGCCGACCCAGATCCTGCCGTCCTGCTCACACATATTTTTCTTTTTAAATATTTCTCAAATTAAATGAATTTAAAATAGAAATTCAGCATCAATGGAAAAGTCTTAATTTACTAAAGGGGTGATGAAAATTTACTACAAAGTCAAAATGTGTTTGTTACCTTTTACTGGCCAAAATTTGGACTCATTGCATTACTAGGGATACCCGTGGATACCCTGTTATTGCTGATTGTACCTTTAATTCAACCATCATTTTGAAGACATCTGATTTCTATTTTCTCATGTATCTCTTAATAAAGGTGTAAAATATATGATGGCTGATCAAAGTCAAAATGTGCTTTTCAAGGTTTAAAAAAAACTGGCTCATCTTGTGGTCTCTTTTCAACTCTAGGCTGTGAACAAACGCAGCCTCCAAAACAAACACAAGTCTTTAACAACCATAACACACTGGTAAGTCAACAGACACTGCAAACAGTTTTAATGTGAACGACTAGTCCTTCCACTGAATGAAACGCAGTCGAGCATAAAACAAATACTCACCGGATCTGAGAACCAGCGATTGGGGATGAAAGGCCTCTGCTGCTCCACGCACACGACCTTCCTCATGTCCTCGAAGCTGGGATCATTTGGCACCTGATCGTAATATGGAGGCTTGTACTCCTCGACGATTCCTGCAGCAAAAGAGAGATGAGGAGTTAGAGCGCAGAGCTGGAACTAAAGTATGACCTTGTGGTGAGTTATTTCTTCTCCTCGTGAGATGTTTCGAGCTTCTAGCTTGATGTTCTCTGCGCCTACCGTTGCTGTAAGTGCGTCGTGCTATCTCCCACAGCACCAGCCCGAAGGCCCAGATGTCCACTCGCTTGTAGGCATCGAAGCAGTCTGTCTGAATGGTTTCATCCAGCACTTCTGGTGCCATGTAACGCTTGGTGCCAACCTTCGGATTGTTCCCCACATCCAGCAGGTTGTCTGCCTGAGAGTGAGTCACGGCCAGCCCTGCAACGTGCAGTTTCAGTGAATGGTTTAGCCAGGCTTTCAAAAGAGGGGATTTAAACACTTGAGCAAGAAACCTTATGAATATAAGCCAGAAAAAAGTGACACAACTCAAGAGAAGGCACAAAGCTGGTTTTAAACTATGAAAATATCCATAAATGTCCCCCTCCCGGTGATTTCACTGTTTCTAACCCAAGAAGAAAAGGAAAAAGATGACAGTAGAAGACCTGACGACCGACTAACCCAGGTCTGCGATGCAGCAGCGCAGCTCCTTTGTCACCAGAATGTTTTTGCTCTTCAGATCCCGGTGAGCGATGGCCGGTTTCCCCTCTGTGCCGAAGATCTCCGTGTGCAGATGCACCAGGCCGCATGCTATTGATGCAGCCATCGCCAGGCCCTCTGACGTCTCCACGGCAACCCGCTGCAGGTAGTCGTAGAGAGAGCCGTTCTCATGGTAATGTGTGATGAGCCACAGCTGGGTGCTGGAGTTGCGAGAAGTCATGTCGGACGCCATGAAACCTGGAGGGCAGAGATGGCGCAACGTGACCAACCAGACTCGAGTGTCGCCACCTCAGTTTTATTCTTGGTATGAAAAGCGTCACAGTGAGTCATGAGGCACAAAGAAAAGCGGGTTTTAAAGCTTTTTGTGACTCACCGAGAATGTTTTCGTGTCTCAGCAGCACTGTGTTGTAGATCTCGGTCTCTCTGAACCAGGACTTCTCGTCTCTGGAGGAGAAGATTTTGACAGCGACGTTCTCCCCCTGCCACTGGCCTCTCCACACCTCCCCATACCTTCCCTTCCCTGAAGAAAAAAGGAGGTGGAAAGTTCAGAGATCATTTCAAACAGAAAGTCACAAAAGAAAGGGGTAAGATTCAGACTGGCTTTGAGTTTCACTGCAGCTAGAGGAGCTTTTGAGTCTGTTCACTATCTGACCCCGGTCAAGTGTTTCCTCATCAGCAGAAAAAGGCAACATCACGCCACATTTTCCAGTTCGGAAATGAGAAAATAAACTGTTCATTATGGTGCGTAATGTGATACAAAGGCATCTCAGAATAAGAATCAGATTTGTTGCCAATCAAGTCAAATAGATGCAAGAAATTTGTCTGTGTTTTGATGCAAAAACAACAAACACAGGGAGGAGAGGGAAGTGACCCTGTACAGTTTTATTTCAAGTGTTGCCATGGTAATGAGTAAACCTTCCATCAACAGTGCAAGACATGGGTCATAACTTTCGATAAGATCCTCGAAATTCAAAAGAAGACTGAAACAAAATACAAAAATGCAGGGTGCAATTTTTCTGTCAAGCGTGTATGAAGTTCTCTCGAGACCTGAATCCACCTGACGTGACACCTACCTACACACTCCATCAGGCTGATCTGTCTGGCCACGGTTCTCTGGACGAGGAAGGGAAGACCTGAACCGCTGCCTGATGTGCACGAGTGGTCCAACAGGTCCTGCAGACAGATACAGAGATCAGATGAGTCATAATGTTTAGATGAGCACCATCAGGCTGCTGTACTTCAACATCAGCTGGTATCTGGTATTCGTCCATCTTACAACAAGAGCTTCTGTTCTTACTGCTAAAGTGCTGTCCCCCACGTTAGAGGTGATGAGGCCGTCGATGGCTCCCTGCTCTGTGTCGAACTCCTGCAGCCTCTGCAGACGCCCATGGTGGAGCCTCCTGCAGGCCAATACTGACACTATGGACAGCAAACCCAGAACCACCACTGGACCCAGCACGAAGAGAGCCAAGGTTTCCACACGATACCGAACTGGCTCTCCTTCCGGGGCTGCCAGCAAAGACAAATGGAAAATACTAGTTTTAGTTTTGAGTTGGTTGACATGATTATTATTCTTGTAATATGATCTTCTGCCCACCTTTTAAAAGCAGAGACATCAGCCAGCTCCCGCTAGTGTTGCCATTGCACATGTCTTGGGAGCAGCAGGAAATGGCTTGGTGGAAGGATGGAGCCGTGTAGCAATGCAGACGGATTTTCTCAGACTCCTCAAGGCAACCTCGCTCAAACTCCACTCCGCTGCTGCCCACTTTGACCGAGGAAAAGCAGCGAGAGCCATGGCACTGGGTGTCCTGGCATTTGGGGGTATCACACAGGCACACTAAATGTCCATCTGTGGAAGAGATGATAGGGGCTGTTTCAAACTGCACAGAAGCATTCCGGCGAAAAATTAATTTAGAAACAAGCCGTAACACCAAGTTAGATGCCCCCTCGAGAGATGAAAGTTGCCGACCGCTTGCTTCTCTAGTTATACCAACTTTAGTAACGACCGCACGATAGCAATACACAGCGGTCTGAGGAGCCATATACCTCAAACCTCAACCAAAACGCCACTTTATAGCCACAAATAATGATCAGAACAGCACCTAACTTCACCAACAGTACATATAGGGCCCTAGCCACAGCACTGACCAGCAAACATCTTTTTAGCTTTGCCTACTTTCCTAAGCAAAGAGACTAAACACAACTCACCTACTCTCTTCCAGCAGCCGCTTGTTTGTACCGAGACCGGGGTGACGCAGCTCAAGGAAGAACACTTAGGATTATTACTTTATGGAAATGCAATTAGACATAGTCGCTGAGGCAGAAGAACTACCGCACAACGATAAAGTAATGATCATAAATGTTCTTCCTTGAGCTGCGTCACCCCGGTCTCTGTATAAACAAGCGGCTGCTGGAAGAGAGTAGGTGAGCTGTGTTTAGTCTCTGTGCAAAATTAGGCAAAGCTAAAAAGATGTTTGGTGGCTAGTGCTGTGACTAGGACCCTATATGTACTGTTGATGAAGTTCTGAACATTATTTGTGGCTATAGAGTGGTGTTTCGGTTGAGGTCTGTTTATGGCTCCTCAGACCGCTGTGTATTGCTATCGTGCAGTCATTACTAAAGTTGGTATAACTAGAGAAGCAAGCGGTTGGCAACATTAATCTCTCGAGGGGGTGTCTGACTCAGTGTTACGGTGCATTTAAGGGAAACCTTTGAGAACAACTCTCACTTTAGCTTTGCTGCAGAGGAATGAAATAAGGGCGACAGTAGCACTTTTTTGACAGTAAGGAGGGATCAAGGTAGTGCTGGGCGATTGGACGATATATATCGTTGGCACGATAGAAAATGTCTATCGTGCCATTTTTATTCTTATCGTTTCGGGCGATAGGTTGTATTTAATCCATAGAGCTTGTGCCATCAGATGATTCATAGTAACAACAACAATAATTGCACATTCAGTAAGTGTATTTGGTGTGGAACGGGAAAGAAAACAATATTTTCTTACAAAGAAAAGGATGCGTTGACATGTAGGCTTGCATTTCTCTTTCGATTTTGCGACATGACGCCGCTTTACGTGCCCTCTTTATGTCCAGCGCCTCCCGCCGTTGCGGGTTACCTGGGTTACACACGTGAGGGGATCATTGTAAGCAGTGCTCAATTTGTGCCGGAGCAAGTCGGAGCGTGATCCGGGACCTCTTTTGATCGGATCTGGGACCTATTTCAGCCGCTCCGGCACCTGTTTCATCTGCTCCGGGACCTTCCCTGTGGAGGATGACTTTTTTCGGGAATTCCCGTGGGTCACGTGATTCCCGCGGGATGGGAGTCATTTTTTTTATTAATCTCTTGATCGGGACGGGACGGGAAAAAAAGCAACGGGAGTGGGCAGGAGCGGGAACAACATGAAAAGATGATCTTTTTCAGCCGTGTTTAACAACCAGATGAACAGGTGCGTCCATTTTTGTAGTCATCTCTCAGTGAGAGTAAACACTCTTGACCGCGCTAGCAACACAAAAGAACTACAACAGCGGTTTGACTTCCTGTCAGCTGGGAGCGCGGCTGCGCATTTGTACCCTTCAAGCCAGCAGCGAGGAAACGTAATTTTGTGACATTCTGTAGTTTTTCAATCATTTCTGGAGTTGTGGCGAATCAAATCACCTTACCTGTCTGCCCCTGATAGGCGAATAAAGCGCTCGGATTCATGCTCGGGTCTTGCTACGTGCTTCAAGAGTAAAGTAAACAATGATGGAGGCAGAGAGCAGCTTTGGAGGAGAAACATCTAGCAGTGTGAACAACCTCTTCAAAAGAGCCCTAAAGACCTACCTTTTTAATAAAGCCTTTGGTTAGTTTTCCTCTATGCTTTATGCTTTTACTACCTTGCCTCTTACATTGCAACTCTATATATTTTATTTTTTTAAATTCTTTTTTATGCTAATCTGTGACTGTCATTCTATTGCTTTTTTTTATTGTTGCTGCTCTTTTTTTACTGTGTACTGTAGCACTTTGAGATTTTTTTGTAAATGTAAAGTGCATTACAAATTAAATTTATTATTATTATTATGGAGTGCTTCGGCTCACACTATCAGCGTTTTCTGTAAGTGTTACATAACTTTGGGTGAGCACAGACATGAACGCACTTCAGCCACGTATTTGTTTATTCATTTTTCTAGTTTTAAGTGCTGGTCTTGTACTGGTACTGTACTAGTGCAGCTGTATACACTTAAATTTTTCATAGAACTGAAAGCATACCATAGCTATATCGTGATATAAAATGATCCATATCGTGATATACATTTTTTTCCATATCGCCCAGCACTAGATCAAGGTGAAATAAAGGTGAGGACATAAGAAAAAGTCTACTTCTCCATTTTCCTCAGGAGCTAAAAAAAACTGGATCTGCAGTCTATAAAGATACACCTTAACAGGTACTGGCCCCTATCTTTTAGTTTCTTACAGCCCCTAGCTTTTTTGTTGTGAGCATAGTTACTTCCGTGGAAAACAGAGAAGGACACACCGCACAAGCAGCTGGATTACAGTCTGAAAACTGTGAAGTAGTACCTGAGCCCTCAGCTGATGTGTGCAGAGTCTGCAGCAGGAGCAGCAGAAGGACGTGGACACAGCAGCTCTCCATGTTTCAGTGCACTGACAGAGGCAGAGAAAGGACAGATCAGACGAGGATAGTGACATTTACCCTCTGTATGTTTAACTATGAGTTCAAAGAGTGCTCTGTTTGTCTTTGTCAAAGTGTTTATTTCACACACCCCTGATTAAAGGATGAACTTAAAGGACAGCCTACACGGAAATTAACTATTAGTTCATAAAATACAACAGTCTGTTCATGCAGAAAAACACGCGACCAGCGGGGCTCTTGTTTGTTTGCTGTAGCTGCTAGCAAGGCCATTAACAGGCGGGTTTATTGGCCGTCCACAGGCGACTCAGAGGCGCCAGTCAGGCAGACAGACGGCTGACCGACGCTGCGGTTAGCCTGAGAGCTAAGCTAGCTCCACAGCACACAAAGCCCAGCCTGGACTGGAGTCAAAAAGCGAGAGAAAAATCAACTCTTACCTGGCACACACGAAGCAGAGCCTCTAACTCATCCTGGGATTTTCTCCGTGTCCCCGTTCAAGGTTTAAGAATCGTAATAAAAGTGAGTTGAGGTGTGGTAGCAGCCGAAAACAGGACCACAGCCCAGCCCACCCACTGCCTTCTCCTCCACCAGCACCACCTGACGTCATCAAAACATTACCGTCGAGGTGCATTGTGGGTCATTGCGAGTCCGCCAACAGGTTGCACTATTCATGAAGAACCATCCTCATTTTAATAAAGTTGGGGGTGCTGTGTATAATATTGAGCATGCATATTATTTTTATCTTTAATGTTAATTTAACAAGGACAATAAGATAAGACAAGATGTTCCTTTAACCCTTAGATTCATAAGTGGGGTCAAAAATGACCCCAGCGCCAGTTTATTTGCAAAAGGTTTGTCATTTTATATTTTTATGTATTCCTCAAATAGGATCTCTTTGACATTGGGCTGTTTTGGATTTGTATTTAATTGTTATTGTTTTTAAGTTATTGCATTTTTTTCCCTTGAACTTTTGAGAAGAGGTCACTGTCTGACTATTTTTGTATTTTTGTTTTAGTAGATTAAAATAAAATAAACTCAAAGTTAGAAGATGAAAAAAACAAAGAAAAAAATACATACTTATTGATAAAAATGGAATTTTATTGGGAAAATGTAGAATGATTTGTTGAGAAAACAATATTATTTGTCAGAACAAGACAACTTGGTATTAGTTAGAGGGACTACTGAACTTTTTACCCTGAACTATTATCTTTATATAGGCACTACTAAACCTCAACAGTGGTCATAACTCAAAATGATCCGTGCAACTAGTTCACTTTTTCTTTCAAGATGAGACAACTTATAACTTTTAACAGTGTGTGGGCGAGAACAATAGTCAGCGCTGTTGCTTCTTGCTTACCCGGGGCTTTAGTCTCAAGTGAGTCGGAGCAGAACTCAGCCGGTATCCGCTCTCCTCAAACACGGCTCTGGCACAGAGACACATTGTCCGCTGCTGTTTTAATTAAAGACCCGGAGTCGACACTCTGAGCCAGGTGACCTGAAGTGCCCCCAGCTTGCGTGTGTCTCCCTCCATCCTCTCCACTGGGGATCAGTCTCAGTGGATAATTGGAGCAAGAAATGCTATACTGCTATCATGAGACGGAGGAAGGATTATCCACTGAGGACTCTGTCTTAGGAGGCGGGGATGGAGGAATAATGTGGTTTTCTTCTTTCACATCCAACCTACCTGCTTCATTCTCCCACCTTTTACCCTCTCTGCCCCCCCTTCCTCTCTCACTTTCTCAGGTCTAAGTTATAAGAGAGGAGGGGTAGCTGAGTAACCTCCCCCCCTGGAAATCCACCTGTGCTTCATCTCTGTTGTATGAGAGAGACTTACCCAAGTGAGGTTTTACCAGAGTCGACATGGAGCGACTAGAGAGAAGACTGCCAGTTGTTTCCCTCCTTCTTCTGCATCTTCTGTGTGTCAGCTGTGTCGCTAATCAAAAAACAACGGGTAAATACAAAAAAAGGGTGTGAATTTCAGAATACTTGATGTGATAATGTTCTTTAAATTGATGCATGTTTCAGATATTTTGATTTGACCTGCATTTATGAAACGTTTGCATGTTTTTTCTGTTCGGTTCAGTCTCCTGGTGTGTACTGTCTGATGCTGAAGAGCAGAAGTGTCTGGATTTGGCCGGGAATGCAACAGCTAGAAATATTCGAGGAACTCTGGAGTGTGTGCGCGGCCTGAACACCAGAGATTGTATGGACAGAATCAAGGTATGTTAAGATGTAAGGATGTGAATGTGTAGTTTTCAACTTCACAAGGAAGTAAATCCCAACATGTCTGGATTTGCATCAGCTGCCCACAGTTTGCGTTCTCAGTGTTTACATGATTCTAGTTTTAAAGCACAGCAATATCAGGAAAAGCTTAATCCTGTTTAAATGTAAATAAGAGTTTTAATAAGGACAGGGTTTATAGTATTTTTTCCTCCTCAGAACGGGACTGCAGATGCAGCCTCTATGTTTGCAGACGACATCTACGCTGCCGGCCTCTGCCACGGCCTGGAGCTGTCTGCAGGAGAGTCCTACAACGCAGCGGGTAAGTCGCAGGTCTAAACCTGGCAGCAAAGTACAAACAAGTGTCAAAAAGCATTAACGCCGTGGCAGCTTGAGTGACTCAGAGCAACAGGAGTGTGGTGAATGTGTTTTAGAAATCCACAAAACGCCAAATTAAAGATCAAATTTGGAAATTTGTCCTGACAACTCCGGGACTGGATTGGCAGCTGAAATAGACAGATACATAACCCCTCATATTTTAATAATTTGATAAGTGATGGTCAAAAACAAACAAGAGTTGTGCTCATTTTAGTTGATTTCTACCTGAAAGCACAAAAGTTCATTGGTGCATGTAATGTGTGTGTTGATATACTATAGTGTTGGTATTTTATATCATTTCTACATCAAAAGGCTCCATGATTTCTGGCCACAGATTCAGGTCTCATAAATCCTCTTTACATTCAAAATATGAGCCTAGTCCAATCAGAGAAAGACTCAAAACCCCCTTTCAGTCAAGAAATGAGCAGTCTGTTTTTATGCAAGTGCAGAGAGAGTTGTGTGTCAGAGTTCCCCCAAAGCAAACTGAGCTGCTTTTGAAAGTCACCTCAATGGGAATTTTAAATAGTGTTTACTTAGACTGTTTGTGCAAAAGCATCAACGTCTTCTTCTCACTTTAGTTTAGGACCAATCAGAAAGGACAGGTCATGAATTAAAGATAAATGTTTGGCTGACCGGTGGGGGTGTGTGGCAAAATCGATCCTCCTCATGAAGTCAAGACACTGATGGTTGTGGTGTTGACTGATGAGATTAAGAAGGTGATGAAGCTGTGGAAGTGGGCGGTGGCAGAGAAGTGGGGTATCATGTGTAACAACAGCATTAATGAACAGGAGAAGAAAAGCACATTTAAATTAGACAGCAGGATGAAAAATGAGGGTGTGAAAGATACGAGCTGGTGATGAGGACTGGAGGAGATATGAATGAGTCAATACAACATTCGCATACAGACTGTAGTCCTCCTGAATGAACTTTGGATGAAGCCTCATTTTTGTAGTTTTGCAAAATTGTCTAATTTCTTGTATTTTGTTGTTGATCAATGATCTGTCATCTCTGAGTTGCTTATAGCTGGTATAAGCAACTTAATACCTGTAGTACTGGTGTCACATCACTGTAGGGGTAGTGTTACTTTACTTAACAACCCTGAATCCTGCTAGATTTATCGTACTAACATGCTTCATTGGAGGAAACACACCTTTACTTTGGCTTTTGATGCTAGTTGAATGTGACAATTCAAGCATTTATGTTCTCTATTGGGTTCTCATAATGTTATTTATTGTGGTTTCATATTTTTTAAACTCATATTTGCCTCTTATTGACGTGTTTCTATGCTTGCACAGCACTTAGATCAACTGCAGCTTTGATCTTGTGTGATTTGCTTAATGTGCAGTGTTGTTTGTAGTGCGTGCTTTTGTGTCTAAATGTGCACTATTGTTTTGTTCATTATTATTTTATGCTAATGCTGCTGTGGAACAAGTTTTCCCAAGAGAATAACAAAGTATACCGTATTGTTTTAACTCGTTTTTCATGTCATGTTTGTGATGTGCAAAAAAAGCAAGAACACAGGGTAAGATCTCAAGTAAAGACATGACTTCAGAAGTTAACTTTAGCATGAAATATCTTTCTAGCACCTTCCTCACAGCATTGTCTACTTTATTTTCCTCTAACCTCTTCCTTCAGACGGTATCAGCTACTACGTGGTAGCCATGGCCCGTCGCTCCTCCTCGGACCTGTCCCTGCTGGAGATGCATGAACGCAGCTCCTGTCACCCCGGTATGCGCACCACAGTGGGATGGACGGTTCCTATTGGCTACTTGGTTAACACCTCCCAGATCAGCGTGGGGGAGCAGTGCAACTTCCCTAAAGGTAAGAGGGGGGGCAGGATCAATGTGTGAGAGAGAGGGTCAGTGTGTGGGAGCTACCTGAGAGGTTGAGAGGAGAGAGGCAGTGATGTGGAATGAGGAGTGAAGGGATGGAGGAGGAAGAGGAGGAGGAGAGGAGGCTGGAGAACAGTGCCTGTGTTTCTTTAAAGGTGAGATTTAGAGGCCCCAGGTGTGTGTGTGTGTGTGTGTGTGTGTGTGTGTGTGTGTGTGTGTGTGTGTGTGTGTGTGTGTGTGTTTAAATAATTATCACATATAGAATGGGTTCAGACAGCTCCACTGCCTTATATGGAGGTCCCCTGTTTGATAGGCAGACTTCACTTGAGGATCCAGGTCCCCTCTTAGCAATTAAAAAAATAATTAAAAGTCACATTCAAGTAACATTATGGTAAAAGACCTTAAAAGAAAAATTTATTATACTTTTGTTTTATTAAAATGACCAGAAATAGAGGTCCACTCTTGGCCAGTCTGGGCTGATAGTCCACTGTTGGTCAGGTAAGCATGTTCATGTGTGTGTGTGTGTTCGTGTGTACTTTGAGAGAGGGAGAATTAACCAAGAGTAAGAGTATTTTGAAAGGATAAAGCTAATAATATTTTTTTTTATCATGTATTCCACTTTCATATAAAGCCCAAAAACTGCAGTTCCTCAAGTGACCACTTGAGGCTTGCTCCAAAAGCCCAGGAATCCCCATAAGGTCCTAAATTACAGCACCAAACAATAAAGCAGAAATGTGTTTGTTTGCACACACTGCACAGAGGGTGAGAATTTCTAAACCCAAACCATTTCAATGATTAACAGGCCAAGAGTTCAACATAAATACTTATCATCATGGCTCAGCAGGCTGGTGCTGGCCCAACTCATCCCCCTTTGCCTGCTAATTGAAACTTGGGTTGAGTCAGCATAACCGACATGGTGCCCATCATCCTCTGGCTGCAGAATATTCCTCCAGAAACCAATTGTTGCCGTCCCATAGACCGAGTCCACTCTTTATCAGTCTGTGCTCATTAATCAGCCTTTTGGTTTCACATTTACTGTGAAAGCTGGAAATTAAGTTTGCTGTAATATAGAGGACAGAGCCCACTTCTAAAGCGAAAAAATGGATTAGAAGAGCAAATTATGCAGTAATTATTTTTTGATCATTTGGATGATAGAAAAGAGTGGGAAAGAATAGCTTTTATGTTTTTTCAAAGCCAAAGTGCTGGTATTAAATTTCATTTCTTTGTTCAACTAACTTCCCCACAGATTTAAATGTTTTAGCTTAAGGGTTACCACAGAGTTATGCTTTTTTCTGACACTTTCTCTGATAGACTGGACTTGCTGGACTGGAGCTGTGCAGGTCCAAATTTTATGGTTAAAATTCAACTTTATTCTTTTTCCTTTTTTTCTCCACCTTTTTACTAGCCGTGGGGAACTTCTTTGGTTACAGCTGTGTACCAGGTGTGAAGGACCCCCAACATGACCCCAGAGGCAACAACCCCAAAAACCTTTGTGAGGCGTGCATAGGAGACGAGAATGACAGACACATCTGCGTCAACAACCCCAGAGAGAGGCATTATGGGGAGGCAGGGGCGCTGAGGTAAGCTGCTGAGCTTAATAACGGAAATGAAACACGATGGACGAAATGAGGAGGATGAATAACGACTTCTGCTTCTGAGTCGCATCTCTGACAAACATCTCATTAACTGTGACAGTGCCCTCCAATAGAGTTAACTAGCTTGTATTTTTATGGTCTTGCATGACTAGAAAGTCCTCTTAGTAAAAATTTTGCATGAGTGAGTAATATTATAGTACATTTGTTGAATCAGAGACACAATTGAAAAAGCAGAGATAGAGGAATAGGCCGTCATTAGTGAAATAAATGAAGCTCAATGTGAAAATTTTTGCAGATTTCAACTGAATTATGTCCCTAATTTAAAGTGCTTTAGGATATTTATTCTGAACTTCATCCAAGAGTCTCAACTGAGGACTAGGTTACAGCGTATCGGACAGATAAATCCTTGTCCAACTCCGGTAATTCTTACCAATGAGCATAAAAGTAAAGTTTACAAAATGTTTGGGCCAAGCACCTTTTTCTGGAACATAAAATGAATTCAAAATCGAAGAGAACACGGTCAATACAGCACTCTCCTTAAAATAGCCATCGCTGAAATAAAGAAGAAAACATCAATACGAGAAGTGCTTCAAAACTTTTTAACGGAGGTGCGTTTGACTGTGTGTGAAGTTAATGGCTTTTGCTGTGGAAGTATTCGCAGTAGGTTTATTTGAGGTGCGAGTAAAAGAGCTACAACAGCTGTTTTCAACCTTAAAGGGCAAACAGAGAAAGTTTACTGACAGTCTCCAGGGTCCATTTTAGTCGTGTGTTGATTTGTTTTAACTTTTTTCATCTGTGCCATTGTTTTTTCTTTCAGGTGTGTGGCAGAGAACCTGGGCGACGTGGCTTTCGTCAAACACACGACTCTGTTTGACAATATGGACGGTTAGTGTTGTAGTGAGTTTTGGAGAACGGGGATATAATGATGTCATTGTTTTCATAAGTTTCAAAGAGGTAACTCGGGGTCAACAGAGAGTGCTTGGCCCTGTCTCGACACAGGATGTCAGTGTTTCACAATTTTTAAGAGAAGTCAACACCGCAAAGAACAGATGACGTTTTCTGGTATATTAATGATTTCTTCTACTATTTAGTGTATAAAAAGTTACAGATAGATAATGAGGTGAAAAGAGAACTAAAAGGAGAAGGTCAAAAAAACAAACACTATGAAGACAGGCAGAGGAAGACAGTGTTTTTGATGTTTCTGTCCAGTAAAGAAATGCCCTAATTCTCCGTTTGCTGCATCTGCTCTCTGCTTTGGGCTACATCCTAAATTAATGGTGATCATTATCACAGTCACGCTACACAGACTCTGCTGGTTCAGCCGAGCAGGAACAGTCTGACGCCAGCTCCACAAACGCTGTTGCTGCTTAACGAAGCATGCTTTGTCATATGGTTCAGAAATGTCCAGAGTCAGACCAATTAACCGAGGTCAGGGAAACACAGAAGGGCCGTGCTGTCGTCTGGGGAGGAGGAAGAAGCTTCAAGGTGGCCTTTATTCTCTCTCTCTCTCTATGTGTTTGGCTATATGGTGTGATGTTTGCCTCTGACATCCTGTAGTTGGAAAACAAATCTCTTTAAATTACAATAAGTGATACAGAAAATATAGAGTTGGCGTTCAGATTCAACTCTACACCAGAGGCAAATATGAAAACAAGTCACATGACATACATCCTCTTTTACCCAGACATGTCCTCTATTTGTCCAGCTTTGTCCGGGGATGTTTACAAAATCTTTCTAATGCTTCCTTCTAAAAGTTTTGTACGAGAGTTTCGATTTTGTGTCGTGTGGACTTACTGAGTCAGAAGCGTGTAAAAGATCTGACCTGAAAAACTCTCAAAATTAACTTTGTGCAACTCCGTCCCCACGTAGTTGTGTCCTCTTTTAGGGGATTCAGAATATGCTAACCCTACTAAAGGTTTGCAAAGCCCAGCCTCCCTGAGACACTAGCCCCATTTATATGGGTAGTTTCAGATCAGATTGGCTAAGGTGTTTATATGAGACATTTTGAATCTGACTGACCTTTCAATCTGATTGTAAATAGGATTTTTGGACCCATGTAAACGGGGCCACTGAGTCTATACTTGTAAAAAAAAAAACAGCTAGCTTTAGCAATGAGTCTTACTTGAGGGAGGGTTCATATTTCTTACCAACAACCGTGGATATAATCAGCTGTACCGCCTTAGCTAGCAGGGGAGAGCTAGTTTGACTGCTGCAAGTCGGCAAGTTAAGTGCTAAATCAATAAACGCTGTGCACGCTACGATAGGGTTGCCAGCCAACCCGATTGCCTTCACCCTTCCCAGCATGGTGAATTTTTAAGCCCTTTTTTGTGTGTATGATTTAAGTAGAAGCGACCCTTTTCAGCTCAATACAGGATGCGTACTTTTATTTCTAAATATGGGATGTTTCTGTTTCACTCTCTTGCGACCTTGTTTCCTTGTGCACTTTGAAGATAAGGTTGCTAGCATTTGCTGTTTGCCTGCGATCAAATTAAATATCTGCATATTCTTATGTTTTTGTGCTCTTGTTGTTTGAAAGGCCAGACAAAGCTCCAGCCTCCAAAGTCATGTCATGATCAATGTGTCACTAATCTCTACAGTGATACTTTTTGATCGTACATCTCTGTTCTGAATAGTTGTGACAAAAATCGGACACGCCGATACTTCTGCCCTGTTTAGGTAAGAACCAGGAGTCCTGGGCCCTGGATCTGGAGCTGGAAGACCTGAAACTGCTGTGTCCTGATGGCACAGACGCCAATCTAGACGAGTATGAACGATGCCACCTGGCAGCCGTCCCTGCTAACGCCGTGGTGGTCCGTGTGGAGGACAAGTGCCGCGTCTGGAAGTTCCTGGAGCGTTTACAAGTGGGTGTGGACAGAAGAAACATCAGCTGTGCGTGTCTGTGTGTGTGTTTGTGTGTGTTATTCTCTGACTGAGTGTTTTGTGTGTCTTGTATCTCTGTGGAGTCTGCGTTATCGATCAGCGCGTCTCAGAACGCAGGTTTCTGCTAAACTGCCATCCCTCTTCCTTACAGCGCGTGTTTGAGTGTGTGTGGGAGACGCCAGGATGACTGATACCTCCTGTGCTGATCCCTTGGCCACACACACATAAACACGCACAAACTAGAATAAGAAGAAGAAACACACACTACAGCGCACATCCACGCAAGCCCTCACGCATTAAGTCCTGTCACACTTTCTCTCTCCTGCAGAATGTGTTTGGCAACGCTAGCGAGGGCTTCAGCCTGTTCAGCTCAGCTGCCTATGGCGAATCCGATCTGCTCTTTAGCGATGCCACCCACCACCTGCAGAGGGTTCTGGGTAGCTACACCTCTTGGCTGGGCCCCACTTATACCACCGTGCTGCAAGCCTTCGAGTGTGAGGGTAAGAGGGGAGGGTGTGCGTTCGCTTGTGTGAAAGTGTGTTGATGAAGAGCAGGTGGATAAGTGGCTGGAGGAGTGTCTTTCTCCTCCTTTTGTGAGTGTGTGTGTGTCTTTATGTGTGTGTCCACTGCAGCTGTTCTCATTACTGCGCTTTTCCCTCCAACAGGCTTCTGCTGATGGAACAGGAGGAAGACATCCAGCGCCTCAACTTCCACCCAATCCCTCCGTCTTCGTCTACCCGTTCTGCCTTCCCCTCCCCACCATCTGTGCCCCTCTGTAGCTCCATCTCACCATCTTTTTTTCTTTTTGTTTGCCTCGCTTTGCTTTTTGCGTTTATTTTTCCCCCTGCATTTTACCCCCTACTACCTATTTTCTCAACCTCCTAAGATTTGGTTCTTCTTTTATAGTGTAGTAAAAAGTCCCACTCCGATAAAGTGTTCTCAGTGGTCTTTAAATTATGATTATGAAGTTTTTACCAAAAATCGTGTTATCTCATTTTCAAGGACTTTCCTTCTGCAGAGCTCCAGTAGATCATTAGCAATTCGCCTCTGAGTCGTGGGCGGAGACAGCGCTGCTCTACACACTTCTCCTCGCGTTAGCTTAGCCTAACATTGCTGATGTAGTAGAAGTGGCAAGTAACATAGTAGCTATTCAGCTCTCGGACACTATGAGATATCATAAATAGCTTTCTTACAAGCCTTGCAATCCACTAACGCACACGCTTGTTCCATGATCGTCTTCTGTATTTCCCCTCTATATGCAGAGTGTGGCCTGCATAGTGGGGCTACAGGGGCGGAGCTTGGAGTGGTTAAGTATGAAATCTAATTTCACGGCGATTTGAATGAAGAAATACTCAGAAAAGCAATTTAGCATTTCGTTTTCTCATGATTTGACCTGTAGCATCAGAAAAATGCCTCATAAAAAACAAGAAAAACATGATTTTCATCGGAGTGGGTCTTTAAAATACTAAAAAAAGTACAGGTTAATAAGTGTCGTAGCTCTTATGCTACTTACAGTTCTGTTGTGTCTCTTTAAAGGAGGTTTTTAATGAAAACTTGAGTAGAACAACCTCTTAATCCTAAACCGTCCCCCCCAGTATGTGTTCAAGCATCCTCTATTCCTATCGAGCATGTTTGTTGGTGCTACTCTTCTCGCATTAGTCTAAGCTTCACCCCTTCCCACCCCCACACCCCCACTCCCACAGGGTCCGTCTCTGGCACTGAACAACTGGGTGCTATTAACTTTGAGCTTAGAAGTCTCAGTTACTGTATGTGTGTTTGTGTGTGAGTATACACTTTTTCCCACAGCCATTATTTGCTGTAATTGGCAGTGGGGCACGTTATACTGTTAGTGTGTAAGTGCGAGAAAAGAGTGTGTGTACATTTATGTGCCTGTGTGTGTGAGTGTGTTGGGAGTTGTTGCCGCTTTCCCATGGCTTGTATAGCTTACACCACTTTCTCTGGATCACTGCTTTCTCACGGCTGGTATGTTGGACCAGTCAGCGCAAGCTCTGTATACTGTTACACCATACAGTTAGGAGAAACTGGACTGGAGCTTAGCTTGCTTCGGCTCAACTCTTTTTTTAAAAACTGTGACTACAGTAAAATTAACCAAAACTTCAAAAGTGAGCTCTTAAAAACTCACTTTGCTAGTCCTGCTTTGAAATACTTAGAAGCGTATATGTATTTTACTATATTTTACTACTTTTACTTAACCATTGCTTCTAAAAGTAGAATGTTAATAATGATAGAAACAAAATTTATACAACTCAGTGTGTAATAGGATCTAAAATACCATTATGAAGGACAGAATTAGAAAATAATGACTGCTATGAAGACGCCTCGGCTATGAAATTCACAATTTAAAGCTACTGTAAGGGTTATTTTCTAGGGTTGATGTCCTGCAAACAGTAAACAGAACCACCATTGTCAAGATTGGTGATGAGTACATGGTGATAACTTATGCCTTCAATCTTTGTGAGGGGGGTAGGTGTCATATCGATATTCACATTGAAAGAAAATGCTTAAAAAATAAATATATTGTGATATTTTTTTCCTCTTTCTGATACAGATTCGTAAGTATTAGTTAAAACTTGTTCTCTTTTGATACTAGTGAGATTAAAGATTGTTAAAAAAATCTGTTTTAGTCAAAAATTTTCTCAATTCATCTAATATTTCACTTTTTGCTCTCTACACATGCTTGTTTTTGTTGTTTTCACACATAAATCCACCTTAAATTATTTTTTTTAAGGCTAATTGGTTAAGGTGTTGGATTACTGTATTGATAACCACATTGAAATGGTATCATTTAGACCAGTGGTTCTCAAGTCCAGTCCTCGAGGCCCACTGTCTTGGATGGCTTGGATGTCTCCCTGCTCCAACACACCTGATTCAAATCATCAGCTCGTTATCAAGCTCTGTAATGGCTTGATAACTAGCTGATGATTTGAATCAGGTGTGTTGGAGCAGAGAGACATCCAAAACATGCAGGACACAGATTTAGACGATTTAATTTAAGAATCACAAAAATAAGAGGCCGGTTAGGGCCTGTGTCCACTTAAAGCTTCACGATGCTTCTGTTTTCTGCAGTAGTGTAGTAACTATCACATCTAATTAAAGTTACCCTTTGTGTTTCATGTTTGTGTTTATTTGAAGGAAAGCATTAATATGGTTGACACCTGAATAAGACGCCCCGCTAAAATACAAATCTGGTTTATTTGCACTCTTAACCTCACCTGTTGTTGTTGATGAAATTGATATCAGAAGACACACCCCTTTTTTTCTGGATTGTTTTTAGCTGGTGTATAAAAAACACAGATACTGTCACTGCAGGTCCTGAAAGCCTGATTTGACCTACAGATCATGTACTGTAACTAGTTTCTCCACTTTTATTATATCTTTAACTTTCTGCAGCTCAGTAATAAACTGTTAAAACGTATAAGTTCTCCTTATCAAAATGTGTTTTTGACCTCTTTACTCAGCGGGAAATCCAGCCAGTTAGAAGTACAACAACACATACAAACACAGGAATATATTTACAATCATTTGCAAGGGTTTTTGCAAGTCTAATATTCCTGCTTTTGTAATATAATCAACACATTTGATCCCCTGTAGCAAACCATTTGTGCGATGTTTCGGCTCTTGATGGGAAAAACAGCTTCCCCGGGTACGCAAGATGACAGACGCCACAATTCTTGAGATATTTTGCACCTCGTTTGCGAAGAAAAAAATCTGTTGTTATAATCAAACTCTGGTTAGCACCATCGGTGCTGTTTGTTTCCTCTGTTGTCTGAAAGTCTTTAGAGGCCTGGTGTAAATACTTCTGCTGCAAACCTCTTCTTTTTTTTCAACCAATTAAATGAGCGATGATAAAGAAAATAATCCTCTCCAGTCTTTTGCAGCTGACTTCTAATTATCCTGAAACTGCTATATGATATCTGTGCGGAAATGAATTACGCTGGATATCATCTCTCTTCCTCCATCTCACACCCCCTCCTCTCGTTGTCGCTTTTTTTCCCCCCTCTCATGCACTCGTTCACTCCGTTTTCTTACTTCCAGTGTAGATGGGAGAGGAAGGAAGGAGTGAGGGGAGGAATTAGGATGCAGAGAAGTAGAAAAAAAAGAGGGTTTCACACAGACAAAGACCTGCATACAGAGAGAGGTGTTCACTCAGGTGGAGAGAAGCGCCTCCCAGGCAGGCAGGTGAACCAAGGACAGAGAGTCAACACAGGTGGTCCCGGCATAGAGACAGACCTCTACTCAGCGTAGACCAAAAAACTGCCCCTGCTGGCACTGTTTCACCTGATTAACTACATTAATCCTTACAGAGGCTCAGTGTCTGTGATGGAGGAGGAGCGTTTAGCAGCCAGCAGATACTGTAGATTAAACTGCATTGCAGCAGAGCTCGGTGATCGCTCTCAATCCTCGGCTCTCCCGCTGCACATTTTACTGTTATACACAAAACAACCGACACGGCCTCAGAAACGGCGCAGCGCTCAACCTTGAGTGGAGGGCGTGAAAGACATTTCGAGTTTTTTTTCCAAGGCTGTGTTAGAAAAACAAACTGAAGAAAATGAAATAATGAAAATGAATGAAGCAATTTAAAGCTCCTGTGAGGAGTCTCCCACTTGATGAAACAGACGGGGATTAATATTGATGCTTCAATAAAAGCTTCAAAATCCAACAAAAAACAAGACCAAGATCTTTTATAACGCTTGTAGCCGCCCCCCACGGGTCTGCATCTGATGACCCGAGTTACCGAATGCTGCAAGAGCCGCCTGTGTTGACATTTTCGATGTCAAAGATTGACTATGTGTGGTACATTTAACTAGTTTCAGAAAGCAGAATAAGACTTCTCATCAAAACAACAGAGAAACTAGAGACCTCCACCAAGCAGCTCATGTCCCCCCTTATATTGTGATTCACACCAAAACTTTTACTGTTACGTGTCTTTTATTAACTTTTATTTGTGTGTAAACTGGTTTGTTCACTGTTCATAATGTTCCTAAAACAAGAAATGCCCTGACCCGGATTCAAACCCAGGACCTTCTGGTTGTGAGGCGACGGTGCTAATCACTACACCACTGTACCACCTATCTACACCACTGTGCCGCCCATTATCTATGTTATCTTTCAGCATTGAAAATTCCAACGACACCCTTATTTTTGTGTGTTCTGGATCACAGTATCCAGAATTTTGTCCGGATCACCAACAAAATTTAATGGGATCCTCCTGGGGCTGAGACGCACCACTGGTGAAAATTTCAGGTCAATCCATCCGTTACTTTCTCCGTAAAGTTGCTAACAGACAAACAAACAAACCAACGCTACCGAAAACATAACCTCCTTGGCGGAGGTAACAAAGAGCACCTCTTTATCGCAAATTCAAGAGTCTTCACAGGAACGTCAGAAAAAGAAACAGATTTGAGAGAACCTCCAAAAACTTTTGTAAGAACATATGAAACCTGTGTGAAAAAATAACGATTACTAAGCAAATAGAGCCAACACATAAAGACAGACAACGATAATAACACAATGAAGAAATGTTGGAAAAGTTCCTGAAGTTCTTGTAGATATTTGCAGTTTTGTGTTATCTCTCTATGCTGCTTTACTCCATTTTTTTAACATTCATCTTTTCACCTTTATCTCAAAGTGACAAGTATTTGCTTATTAAATACAACTTTCTCTTTTAATGCTAATGAATTCATCTTCACGTCCATTCACCTCACAAATGAAGGCATCCTGATCGCAATTTACCAACATAACACAAGTCTCTGTATCCGTCAAGGTCTCAGACTTTCAGTGAATGCTGATTATCATTTTTAATTATGATCTGGATGCTTTTTCCGCCACTGATTAAATTGTCAGTCATCCAATGACACAGTATATTGTAAATTTATGAAGAGTCTGGTTTAATCAAGGGGCACTTTTGTTCATTTTGAGACTTAGACTTGCACTGGCAGGATTTTTAACTTTACTTACTTAACTTTAAGATCTTCAGTATTTCTCATTTAATACCAACACGTCTGTAAAAGTGTACGACTTGACGCTGCACTGTTAAAAAAACGACAATCTATTCACAAGAGTTTGTATTCTTAATTGGGTGAACATAAAAAATTAAAATAGCTATTATTTAACAAGAAAATACATGTCAGACCAACAATAA